CACTTATACTCATTTACAAATTCACTTATCTAAAAAATTGCACTCTAATAATTTTTTTTTTGTATACAATAACGTTATTTCACTTATACTCATTTACAAATTCACTTATCTAAAAATTGCACTCTAATTTGTGATTCTAATTGAATCTTAGATGCATCAAAAAAGCTAATAAAGCTGTGTAACAACTGTTTTCTATCATTTCAATATTCTTCTTCTTGTAATTTACGATCCAAGGTAATAATTCTTTGAATTGTATTTGTTTATTTGTGATTTGGCGAAAGTTATCATTGTTTGAACAGCAGCATCATCAAATTTAGGTTCAATTGAACTCCATCTTCTTTGAACTCTGGTGTTCCAGATTATCCCAATGTAAAGAAATGGAGCTAACCCCGATTTTCAAGCATATTATGGTAAACACACGACTAAAACATGTGGGTTTCTGTGGGAGTGTGGCCGAGTGGTTAAGGCGCCCGCTTCAGGTACTTGGGAAGTCTGCGGATTTCTTCAAAAAGCCGGATATGCAGGTCTCTTTTAAGAGGCGCGAGTTCGAACCTCGTCACTTCCAGATACATTTTTGGGCGGTTTGAAGCCCCGGCGGTCAAAAACATTACTATAACAACAACCATGAAAGGATAAAGTATAAGTTTATTTTTTTGATAAATTATGAGTTTCGTTTTAGGTAGAGCTCTAGTGTTTGAATATTTTTACTATTAATCTATATAGTGCTTTTTTTGGCTTCAAATAGAAGTCGAATAGCTGGAAAACAACCTACAATCTGATTAAATTAACCTGTCCTGCAAAAGAAATCTTTTGCTTATTGTACATTTACAGTCTATTGATCAATCATAACCTCATGAGCGAAAAAACAATCATTGAGGTTTAGCCTTTGGACCCCAATTCTTTGTTGGGTTTTCTTGATATCTGACAATTTTCAACTTTCTTAATTTTTCAATCTTTCCACTGAGTTCATTTTTCACAAAACTAATTTCTTTACCTTCCAATTTTATAGATTCATTAGTTAAGATTTTGTAGCCTGCTCCGTTTTGATTCAATTTATTAACATCATTTGGTGCTTGAGTCTTTATATACTCTTTGAAAACTGCCCATAGGACATCCCAATTTGCATTTGTCTTTATTGCTGATGGTGTAGCATGTGTTAATGAAGCATCATATCCCAAATTACCTAAGCCCGCAATGATAATTTTCAATGGTGGGACTTGACATTTCAAAACAGATGCAATTTTTTCAGGCTTGAAATAGAAAGGTTCTTCAACTTCATTTAATGCTAAAGTTAACATACCTTCGATTCTTTTTCTTGTACCATAAGTTTCATCATCCAATTGCTTTTCATTTATATCTAAAATTTTGGAAACAAATTCCTTGTTGTGTAAAGGACCTGAATACATTGGACCTGTCAAATGATTTGTGAAACCACAATATGGACAATGAGGTCCTACAGGTGGTCCTTGTGCTAAACTATATTTCCCAGTACCATTTTCTCTAGTGGTGTGTTTACCTAAAGGTTGATTATGATGAGCTCCACATCCAGAACAAACATATGAAATCATTGTCTTTGATGCCAAATTCTTAACTTCAATTGGTGATGTTTTAACTTTGATGAAAATACGAACATAAAAATCAATTGATAATGATAATAATGGTTCAATGGTTTTCTTGTATTTAGCAGCGGTAGTACCAATCATGTTCAAGACTAATCTCAATGCTGATTCATGAACTGCATCTCCAGTTAAATTTGTACCTCCATATAAAGCATAACATTTTTCTGGATATCCGTTACCTGCCAAAACGGCAAGATCAGTACATGTGACTAATAACAACCCATCACTTGCAATGTTTTGAATAGCAGCATCAATGAAAGGAGTAGCTGTACCATAAGGATCAAGATCAATGACATGGAATAATCTATTATTGGCTTTTGATTCGTACATATAGGCATTTGCATCACCTTTATTTGATTTCAAGATGGATTTTAGTTCATTGTATTGAATGTTTCTATTGATTGAATTGACAGCTTCTTGACTGAAATCATTAGCAATGATTTGTTTTACATTTGGGATTTCTTTAGCATATCTAATAGCTCTTAAACCAGTTGCTGATAAAGCTTCTAAAATATTGATATATGGTTTGATTTCAGTATTAGCAGGTTCGTCACTATTCAATTTTCTCTTCTTATTCAAGTTTTTCTCTCCATATAATTCAGACCAAGCTCTAATGGCAGCTGTACTTAAATCTCTATTAAATTGTTGAACTGGGTTATAAAAAACATCCTCTTTCTTTGGGAAAAGAATTTCAGCTTTTCCTTCTTTCACTATATTGAAGTCTGATGAATTGATCTCGCTCATTATTTTCCTATTTCTCAAAAACCGTCTAAAAATATTCATAAACGAAGTGATTCTGACCTTTTTTATGTCAGAAAGTTGAGTACTTAATACTTGGGAAAAAAAATTTTTGTATGATGAAGATAACTGGTATGGGGCCACAAAATCACTGGAGATAGTTAAAGTGTTGAAGAAGGGAGGAAATTGGTTGTAAAAAACCCATAAGCTACATCAAATTGAGTAGCAAAATATGGAGTAGTTGAAATTTTGCTCCTTCACTGGTATTTTGTGCCATTATCTTTTAATTTCATGCTTTTCCAGCCCCGAGATGAGCATCAAACGCATTCGCGAAGGCATTTCCCAGCAAAAAAAACACGGATTGGTCAAAAAGATTTGAACTGTATGGCAAAATGAAGGGAACAAAGACGTAGAATGATATGAGTGAACTGGTGGATGAATTGATGAACAGAGACCGTGTGTTTGTGCCACAGGAGGGAATAGACACACCGTATTCAGGTGCTCCCGGTGGAGTATTTGATTATGACAATGACGAGGATTACGATGATGATGATGATGATAGTGATTACGATACAGATGATAGCTTGGATGATGAGTTGAAGCTCATAAACGCACAGCTGCAATGGGAGGAATCATTAGAGCAGCTGAAGACACTCGTGGGATTCGTTATACTCCCTTTGATTGGGAAGATGTTGGGGAGAAGAGTTGCTGGATTTGGTGAGTATATCTTATTGATTGATCAAGCTTTCCACTAACAAAGAGATCTAGTCTGGAGAAAAGCAATGGATACCTTCTACTAAAATAAATCAAATCACAAAACTATATGCATTTCAAAACACCCCTTTAATAAACATTTGACATTATAGATCCAGTCTTCAAATGAATCAGGTTATGATACGGCTTGAGTATTCTATTGGATATGTTCTTCATCAATATGTCATCAATCAATTTGTGCTCTATATTTGATAACTTCACTTGTGACGAACTTAGAATTTCTATGATTTTGGATAATTTAAGGATCAACAGCTTTATGATTGTTTTAATTAGCAGTGTAGAATCTATCTTCAATCTAGTTGCTCCTTGATCATGTATTGTTTCTTCATCACTGTTTATAGTTCTCAAGTCTCCATTCAGAAACTCTATACTTGGATCTCTGGGCAAGTTATTCTGTTGGCTTAAAAGCCTCGTCAATGACTCGTTGAACTTGTACAATTCCACAGTCAATTCTTTCCCACTTAATGAGCTCCCCAGATTCAATCCTATATTGTATAAATCATTGGTAAACCTAGAGCAAAAGTCAGTCCAAGACCATTCACAATCCAGATGAAAACCACACTCACACTTTCGAATAGTCATCATTGATTAATCTAACCTCATCTTTCCCCAACTTCACCACATTCATATACCAAATATCACGATCCTGTCTATCATCAAAATCAGTCAGTATTAATACCCACAACCAATCGAAACCCACTCACATATCGTACAAATACTTGAGCTTCACCAAGCACAGCCTGATCTTCTTCACACACTCTTTCTTTCTATGATCCTCACTCATTGCCTTTTAAATTCCATAGTTTTCATGTTAAAAGTTGATTCAATCCACCGAGCCCACTTTTTTGATTTTTTTTTCTCTGTTGGAATTTTCCAATGCTATACACATTGACGTCTATTGCTCAAGGACATAACTGAATTTGCATAAAGAAATATGGTTCAGATTGAACTGTTTCTATTCCTTGTTCTACCGATCCTGATAGTCGGTCTTGGAGGATTAGTTTACATGTGAGTCTGGTTGTGTTGTTTGTCTGATCCAGAGACGTATACTAATTTTTTATCGATAGGAACAATGAAAAAGCTATAAATAACTGGGTTGGTGAGCTCAAAAGCAAAATCATACGGACTAAACAAGTTTACCTTGGTGGGAAAGTAACTAGGACTGTGAATTGGTGTAGTGGGTGGTTAGTGCCAGTGCTTTACGTTGTGATCTTTGGTAAATTGGTGGAGTTTTTCTATACTAGATTGTATTACAAGATTGATAATCCAAACACTTTGGTATACAATTTTTTACTTTCGTTATTGATTTTGACATTCACTATTGCTATAATTGTCAAGCCTGAACAATTGACTCAGGAAAATGCAAGATTTTTCAATACTTTTTATCAAAATGATGGTGTTATTTTCTTCAATGATCAAAAATGTGAAACTTGTGAATTGTTAAAACCTGCTAGGTCAAAACATTGTAAATATTGTGGGAAATGTTTTTTATTCTTTGATCACCATTGTATTTGGTTGAATAATTGTGTCGGTAAGGGGAATTATAAATGGTTTTTTAGCTTTCTTATATTGAATGTTATAGTACTCACATATTCCTCTGTGATTTCATTCAAATTGATTGAAAAAGTTGTGAGGGAGAATAATATTGGATATGATGAGTTTACATATTATTCTGATGAGCTTATATTGTTCTTGATTAGTATCTTGTTAGATATTATGCTTGTATGGTTTGCATTTGAAACTTTTAAACAAGTTTATTATGGTATGACAACTAATGAGACTCAAAAATGGTTTCATGTACATGATTTGATCAAAACTCAAGAGTTATTCACAGATGGTGAAACATTTTATGAGTATTTACCTAATGAAAATGTGTTTTTAAGCTTGAATTTGAAAGATAACAGAGCTATACATATTCCTAAAGAAAGTTTAAAACTTGTCAGGTCAACTGAAGAAGTGAATAATATTTATGATTTGGGTCCATGGGAGAATTTAAAAGAACGTTTATATTCCTAGCCGTTTCTTCAAGATTTCTGATACTTCAATCTTTTGCACGATTCGTTGTTGTTCTTGTTGTGGCTCAGGTTGTTTTGATAAACTGGAGGCTGAAGTATTTGTAAACCTAGATTGGAGAAGTGAAGTCGCAGCATGCTTAGTTAACGGAGCTGTATCTGAATTTCCAAGCTTATATTTGGGTACATAGCCATCAGGGATTGTATTGATGATTTTGGGACTTGATGGTTGTTCCTTCTTGATAAATCTTTTATAGATAGTATCAGTAGATGATTGTTTAATGGCTTGTTGTTTTGGTAGATTTCTTTGGAACTTAACTTTTGAATCAACAGATTTCAACTTGATTTCAAAATCAGGTGAATCTTGATCCAATTCATCTTCATAATGATACTTTAGTTTGACTTTTTTCTTTTTAGATTTTTTCAGCCCACCAGCACTGGGTATATTTGAAGTCGACACAATTGAATCAGTCTCAAACCCCTTTAAATCCAATTCCAATACAGAACTTAAATCTCTATAATTGGGAACCAATTTCAAATGACCCAATTCACTAACCAAATCCTCATCATCTTGGAAATCCTTCTTGTCTTGTTGCTTAAACTCAAATCTTTTAGCCCTGGATGATCTAAAACCCCTACTTTTAAACCCACTCTCTTCACCACTATCATGCATCCCATCATACTTCAGCACCGTACCATAACTACCCTTTTGTCTTTTCCTCCCATACATCACACAGACATAATCAAAACCATCAAAACAATTCATGTTCATCTTTCAAACGAAAAAAAAAACGTCAACAAAAAAAATACTCGGAGAAAAAAAAAACAGACAAAATTTGTCACAAAAATTTTTTCCACTAAACTTTCCATTGTTCAACCACAATTCCACCACGTTAAACCCCCCAAATGAACATTCTGAAAACACTATTCAAGGCTAAAAAGGACATCAAGCTCCTCTGGCTGAGTGTTTTCCTCCGCTTGATGGCCTATGGCGCCAGTAATATCGTGTTGACACTATACCTCAAGTCACTCGGGATCTCCGAATCTTTAATTGGTGTATTCATGACGTTGACCTTGGTTGGTGACACTGGGCTCTCGTATTTGTTAACATGGTATGCAGATGGGCTAGGGAGAAGATATGTGATGATTGCTGGATCGTTCTTGATGATTATATCTGGGTTGATCTTTGCAAATTTTGATGATTTTACCGTCTTGTTAATTGCGGCGATATTCGGTGTTGTATCTCCAAGTGGTGACGAAGTTGGACCTTTTAAAAGCATTGAAGAGAGTACAATGGCACATTTGACAGCGCATAAAGATAGACCTGATGTTTATGCCCTCCATTGGCTTTTGGGGACTTGTGGAAGTGCAATGGGGTCTTTAATCACTGGGTTATTGGTTACGAAATTTTTAGATATGGGATTTACTAATGTTGAAGCTTATCGTGGCATTTTCTATATCTATGCCATGATTGGGTTGTTTAAATTGGTGCTGATGTTGTTTCTAAGTGATAATTGTGAATTGAATGGTGCAAGTTTGATTAAACATAGAAGTAATGAAGAGGCTCCATTATTGACAAATGAAATGGATGGTGATGATGAAGAAAATGAACCACCTGTCGCTTCATCATTATCTAAGGATACTATCTCAATCTTGGTTAGATTATTGTCTGTTTTCATGTTGGATTCATTTGGTTCAGGATTTATGACAAGTGCATGGGTTGTTTATTATTACAAGACTCATTTCTTGATTACATCAACTACATTGGGTATATTGTTCTTTTTAACAAACATTGTTAATTCAATTTCAGCATTACCTTCTTCAGTATTGGCTAAGAAGTTAGGACCAATAAAGGCAACTTTGGCTGTTCAAATACCAAGTGCTGTCTTTTTAGTTATAACTCCATTTATGAAGCAATTTTTGGGTGCTGCTTGTTTTACAATCTTGTTTTATTCAACAAGTGCAATGGATGTTGTTCCAAGACAGGTGCTATTAACTGGATTAATCAGACCTGAGGAATTGACTAGATGCATGGGGATTGTGAATATTGGGAAAACATTTGCAAGATGTGTTGGACCAATTGTGACTGGTAAACTAGCTACTCATGGATACCTTTGGGTTTCATTTATTATCAGTGGTGCTCTGATCTTTAGTGCTGATTGTTTGTTGGCTGTTTTGTTTTATGGTACTGATAGAAAGATACTGGAGACACATTCTTGAATGAGGTAAGTGTGATACATGTTTGAAAAGAGAAGCTATATCTTCTTGATCCAATACTTCAAAGGCATATCGTATTGTGTCAGATGTCTCAATGACTCCCAATTGTGATCGCTGTCACCGTTCAGTTAAGTTGAAGACGATCTGTTGTTAGCTTATAATAATTTTAATGAACAATGTTATGCGAAACCAATCCGTGGCACATTTATTCAAACAATCGAATCAATCAATAACACCAACCCATTCCTCTATAGCGTAGCTTCTCAATTGTTCCTTCGAGATGATATTGTCGCAAACGGATAAACATTGACCGAGATTTCGGCCGAGCCACCAACTAACAATAGCCATCACGAACTAAACCTACACTTCGCCCATTATATCAAATGATGATGGTTGAGATAGAATGGGTGAGCTACAGTAGAGTACAATCTAAGATAATAAGATATTACTGAACTGGCTTACTCCAATCAGATCACCTACCATTTCGCTCCCAATCGCTCGTATTCACGATGACTTGTGTCTCGCTATATAATCCGCGAAATGCAAGGGTCCTTCTGCTAGCTTCATTAAAGTGGAAAGACAGGAACAAGATCAAGTCACTGAATTACTTGAAGACACGTTTGCACGGTGCTCAGTACAATGACTAAGCCCATATTCCCATTATTATTTCCTTCTCATGGCTGCTTCTTATTGGCCCAGCCATCGCCAAATTGGATCCTCGTGCTTAAGCCTAGTGCACCTCTGCGTATCTCCAGAATCTCCAGAAGCATCACCAACGACACCAAAAACACCAACCACAGCCCTTTAAATACACCCTAGCTCTCTATAAACCTGTACCATTTCCCACCGGCTTCCCAGCCCTCCAGAAAACCCTTCAAAATCCAGAGTTAAGCTCATGAAATTACTTTTCTAGGCATAAAAGTTACGTAATCCACCTTGGCCTTTATACCACAAAAATTTTGAGAAAGGGAAAAAAAAATCACAATCTTTGGCAATAACAACAACAAAAACTATACAAACAACTTCAACCTTCCTTGAAGTAAATGAAGAATCATCTATAATATGGCTGTATGGGAGCACTTGAACGTATGTACTTGGTCCTTATCTCCCCCTTTTGTGCTCAGAGTTACTAACAAATCCATGTAGGTTGATAAGGCTCATATTGCTTATGCTGTTATTGGTGTGTTTTCTGCTGTTTTCTCTCTTATATCGTTATTCGTTAAAGAGAAGCTATACATAGGTGAAGCAACCGTCGCTGCTATTGTTGGTTTAATTGTTGGACCCCATTGTTTAAATTGGTTTGCTCCAACAACATGGGGGAATTCTGATTATATCACTCTTGAAATTTCAAGAATTGTATTATGTTTACAAATCTTTGCAGTTGCTGTGGAATTGCCCAAAAAATATATGTTGAAACATTGGTGGTCTGTTGCAATGTTGTTAGTACCCGTTATGACTGCTGGTTGGTTAGTTGTGGGACTTTTCATTTGGATTGTTATTCCTGGTTTAAATTTTTCTGAAAGTTTAGTCGCAGCTGCTTGTGTCACTGCTACTGATCCTGTTTTAGCTGCTGCTGTTGTTGGTAAGGGGAAGTTTGCAAGAAGAGTTCCAGGTCATTTAAGAAATTTGTTGACTGCTGAATCGGGTTGTAATGATGGTATGGCTTTCCCTTTTATCTATCTAGGTATCAATTTAGTTATCCATTGGGGGAATGGCCGTGAAATCGTTAAAGATTGGATCTGTGTGACAATTCTTTACGAATGTCTCTTTGGTTGTATCTTGGGAGTGTTCATTGGTTATGTTGGAAGACATTCTATTAAGTATGCTGAAAAGAAAGGTTTGATTGATAGAGAATCATTCTTAGCATTTTATCTTGTTTTAGCATTTGCTTGTGCAGGTTTTGGCTCAATGTTGGGTACTGATGATTTATTAGTTTCATTTGCAGCAGGTACAGCTTTTTCATGGGATGGTTGGTTTGCTAGAAAAACTGAAGAAACTCATGTCTCCACCGTGATTGATCTATTGTTAAATTTATCATATTTTGTCTATTTTGGTGCTATTATTCCATGGCCTCAATTTAATAATCATGAATTAGGTTTAGATGTTTGGAGGTTAATTATCTTGTCAATTGTGATCATCTTTCTAAGAAGACTTCCTGCGGTGTTGGCTTTAAAACCATTTATACCCGATGTGAAAACTTGGAGAGAAGCTTTCTTTGTTGGTCATTTTGGTCCTATTGGTGTTGGTGCAGTGTTTGCAGCTATTTTGGCTAGAGGTGAATTAGAAGGTGCTCATACACTGGAAGCTACACCTTTGGCTCATTTACCAGATGAATCCTCAGAATATTATCAATTGATTGCAGTGATCTGGCCTATTACCACATTTTTAATCATTACATCGATCATTGTTCATGGTTCCTCTGTTGCTGTTATCACTTTAGGTAGACATTTGAACACGATGGCCATTTCAATGTCATTTACAACAACAAATGGTAATGGTAATTCAACTTCTTGGATGTCTCGTCTACCAGAACTGAAATCAAATGGTCGTTCATTCTCATTACATCGTGTTGATACAATGGCCCCATCACTGGCGAGTGGTAATGGTCAACTATCTCAAGCACCAACAGTGGAAACAAGTGGTATACCTGCTAGACCTGCAGGTGGTATGGAGAGAAGAAAGAAGAAGAGTAAAAAACATGGCAAACATAGAAAACGTGGATTGGGTCTTAAAAAAATTGGATCTCATCATGCTCAAGATCGTGATGATGGTCAAGTTGATAGTGAAAAATTGTTGCGTGAAAGAGAAGCAAAAGCTGCTTCTTTTGCGTTAGGTGGTAGACCAAAACAACAATCTGATCAAGATCCTGATAGTTTTGTTAATCAAGGTATCACTCCTGCTAATACATTTTCTGAGAAAGTTCCATGGCCAACTTCTGGTGATGACGAAGAAGCTCAATTACCAAAACCTCAACATGAACCAATTGAAGAAAGTACTGAAAGTGAATCAGTTGCTGAAAAACAAGAATCTTCAGAATCTGGTGAAAATTATGAAAGAAATAGAAGACCAAGTGCTGCTTACACCGAAGGTAATCAATTAATTATTGAAGATCAACATGGTGAAATTCTAGACACTGCTAAAATGGATGTTCCAGAAAGAATGAAGAGAAAACAATCAAAGCAAAGTTCCAAGAAAACATCTGCATCCAAACGTTCCAAGAGTCCAGCTTCTTCCTTATCTTCAATCACTAGAAAATCTTCTTCAATCCTTGAGCGTGTTAATTCAGGTGGTAAAGCCAATCCTAAATATACTGCTTATAAATTGGATAATCAATTAGTTATTGAAAATGAAGATGGTGAAATCATTAGAAGATATAAAATCAATCATCATAAGACAACTCAACAAAGAAGCAGAGCCAGTACAATGGCTGGAGGTATTGGTAAAGCATTATCTGCTGTTGGTATTAAATCAAGCTTGGGTGAAAGTCCAAAGGAAGCTGCTGTTGATCATTTAGCACTGGAGCCTATTCAACAGCCTGAACATCCTGAAGATGAAGATGTTGATTCTGAAGAAGAAGAAGATAGTGAATTAGAAGAACAATCTCAAGAAGAGGATGATTCAGAAGAGGATGATGACGATGATGATGAAGTTGAAGATTCAGAAGGTGAAGAACAAGGAGGTATTGATGACGTTGAAGAAACTGAAGTTGAAAGAGCAAGAAGGTTAACTGCATTAGGTCAATTTGCTGCTCCAAGAGATGAGGAAGATGAAGAGGAAGGGGTCCAAGTCCAACCAAGAAGTCAACCAGTAGACCAACAGCAATCTTCAGCTTCAACGACAACGGGTACAAGTTCAAAGAATGTGGTTAAGGCTCTAGGTCGTGGGTTCAAGAAACAACAAAATACGCCATCTGTTCAAGATTATGCGAATATTAGACCAACTAATAGTTTAACATTCCAAGAACCTAAAAAGGGGTCATCATGAAGCTAATACTTCATTGAGTCTTTGTCATTTTCACAGTTCGTGTTTTTTTTATTAGTATTATCATCATCATTTCATACAAGTTATTTAATTTACAGCACAAGCATTTCTTATAGATGTTAGCAAGTGATACCTTCATCTTCATTTTTTCAGTTTGCAATTGGGTTAATTTACAGTGAATTTATTGTTTATCACACAGTTTGTGACATTATTATCTGTGTGTTTTCAACATTAGGGTTAGACGTTATTTTGTTTAATACAAGGGTTATTATATCAAATTTGTACACATGTCACCGATTATAAGACAAGGCCTCATGAAAGTATTTACTGTTCGATATTTATTCAGTCTAAACTTTCTCGGACCTACAAATCATGATATTTTCCCACGTCATAAACATATATTTTTTTTTTTTAGTTGATGTATTTGATGAACTTGGATGAGGAATGCAATTACGCACGAACCGCTTGGATTGTAGGCTTCTCGCTATGTAATTGGAATTCAGGCTTCCTTATAATATCCTTCTCAGCCAACTGAGGAACCTATTCTCCACCACGGAACAGTGGGGGACTCGCCTCTTGTTGAGGAATACCCACTAAAACTCACCCTAAAATCAGGGATCAGATTTGAACAACTACATAATTTAACAATCAATGAATTAAATTATTTTAAAACATCTAATATTTACATGAATATATAAATATTTCAAATATATAGGAATAAATTAAAACACACACAGTACCTAGCAAACGAAACTAAGCTTAAATTCAAAACACCAACGCTTAAAAGTTAAAACCATAGCATCACGAGCTGAAACCTTCAAAAATATTCATTTTAATAGAAATTCCATTCACCAATACACTAATGTTAAAAAACCAACAACAGCTACACCACAAACCACAGATCCAATAAAGCTTTGCCACTTAAAGATGGTTGCACCCTTTACATATCTAGCCATTATTTTGCCATTTACACAAAACAATAATGTCGGATATAGTCTAACATAATCATCATTAACACCAGCTTTAAGTTCATCAACTGCAAAATTAAAAGCACTTTCGATAGCAGCTCCATCTTGGGGTTCAGGGGACTCGTTCAATTGCCCCTTTTCTAATTGACTAATATCTCTATATGATTTTGCTAATTTTATATCATTGTCATTAACTTCATACCCTTGAGAATTTTTCTCATAAATTAGTTTTTGGTGGTAAGCTTTAATACACTTGCAATAAATACAAAATTGTTTTTGTGGGAAACAGCTAACATAAATGGCCATATTGGCTAATACAAAAAACCAGGACTTCAAATCTGGAGATGCTTTTGGGTAAGCGATAATATTAACAATCCCCAAAGTAATGAACCCGATGAAAGTTGAGCTGAAGCAAATGTTAAGAACATGATCAAGGTATGATATGTTATATTGCACGTTAATGATTCTGTCGATCGACCAGATACGTAGAAGGGCATTCATATTAATTGACCTGGTACGACCATTCATGTTTATAAAGCTGGTGTGTTCAATGACTGTGGGATAAATACATGGTTAAATGGCTGAGCAAATTGTGCGTTCCTTTAAATAGTTGTCTTGTGAGCAGAATTTCTATACCTAGAAGAATATTCTCATTAATACAGATTCGCGAATTTGTTTTATGCTAGTTGGCCTGAAATGCAAAACGCATTCGCGACAACGATAAAAAAAGCATCAAAATGCGCTATCTACAAATGTTGACAAATGAAGTTGGACTGATCCACTTCATGACAAACCAAGACCAAGAATAGGCTTTGAATAGACTGTATTGTTACTGAAGATGGTGAATGGGTCTCCAGATAAAGAAGTACCGCTTCCAAATCTCTTCCCCAAAATCATCAGATACCCTAAATACTCTTTAGACCAGGAGTATGAATTAGTTGACGTTGACAATCCAAACGATCAAGATTCAATAGCTAGCGATGAGATAAGGCTAAAACTACAAAATTTTGAAAATTCACAGTGGGAGAATAAGACCAATGATAAGTTTTTTTTTACAAAGTTATTTGGTAAAGAAGATATTGATGATGAAAAATTATCAGATTTTGATAAATATAACAGGATGGTTCAAAAAGAGGCTGTTTTAGAAGTTAAAACTAAAAAAATAATTAATGAAATGCAGAATAATAGTTTAAAAATAAATAAAAACATCGAAGCTCAATATGATGCTGGTAATGATATGGAGAAAAGTACTCATAAGAAACGGTTTCTCAAATTTGATAAGAGAAAATCTAAGCCTAGTCAATATGACGATACCCCTAGATTATACAGACATGATAGTTTTGGGTCAAATAAAACAGAAGTAGTGGATATGTTTAAAACAGATAATTCACAGTCATTCTTCAGCACTGGTGATTTCAATCCTCATGAGCATAAAGGTAATTATGGAGGTGGTAATTACAATGGGAAGTATCATTTACAAAGAAAGTTGAAGAAGCAACAGATCCAAATGATTGCATTAGGAGGTACACTAGGTGTCGGTTTGTTTCTTGGGTCTGGAAAGGCTTTCTCCATTGGGGGTCCATTAGGTTGCTTTCTAGGTTTTTTAATATCAGGTTCAATTGTTCTTGCAACAATGTTGTCATTTGCAGAAATGTCAACTTTAATACCCACAACTTCAAGTATCTCAGGATTGGCCTCAAGGTTTGTTGAAGATGCATTTGGATTTGCTTTAGGATGGTGTTATTGGTTGTCTTTTGCAATTGCTATGCCCGGTGAAGTTTGTGCTGCAACTATTATGTTGAGCTATTATCAAGATTTAAATATACCCAGTGCATCCACTGCTGGATTTGTTTCATTGTTTTTATTTGCTATTTTATTTGTAAACTTGTTTGATGTTAGAATTTATGGTAATATAGAGTATTGTGTTAGTTTGTTCAAAGTTTTAATTACTATTGCATTGATAATATCAATGATTATTATTAATGTTAAGGAAAATTATGGATTTAGATATTGGAATAAGAAGGACTCAACAGATGTGGCAACTTATGGTCCGTTTAGACCAACTTTTGATTTGAATGATATTGGAACAGGTGCTTTAAATGGTATTGGTGGTGGATTAGGTAATTTATTGGGTGTTGTGTCTTCAATTTTGATTTCATCATATGCTTACACTGGGAGTGAAATTGGATTTGTTGCCTCAATGGAGTGTAGAAATCCAAGAAAAGCTCTGCCGTCTGTTACTAAACGAGTTTTTGGAAGAGTTGTGTTTTTTTATTTGTTATCTATTTTTCTTGTTGGTTTAAATATTTATGCAGGGGATCCAAGATTATTGAGATACTATTCTCCAGATGCTAAAAGGGGCCCAATTTCCATTAAATTCTTGGAACATTTGAACACTAACTGTACACCATTTTCACAGATAGGATCATATACTAATGGGAATCAAAGTCCTTGGATTATTGCCCTTCAGAGCTCTGGACTCTGTACGTTCTCCTCAGTTTTGAATGCAGTATTTGTTGTTTTCGGTGTTTCTGCTGGCTCTTCACATTTATATGTTTCAAGTCGAACGTTGTATTCGATGGCTACACAAAGAAAGGCGTTTGCAGTTTTCACAAGATGTACAAGAGCTGGTGTCCCATATGTTTCAGTATTATTTTCAGGTGCATTTGGATTATTGTCGTATCTATCAGTGAATAATACTTCACTAGATGTTTTCCAAGATTTTGCAAATATTTCATCTGCAACTGCAATGTTGATGTGGGCAGGAATGTGTCTTTCATTTTTAAGATTTTATTATGGATTGAAACTAAGACCTGATATTATTGCAAGAGATGATCCTTCATATCCTTATAGATCCCCATTCCAACCATTCTTAGCAATTTATGGATTAGTTGGCTCATTACTAATTGTGATTTTAATGGGATTTGTTGTATTTTTGAAAGGATTTTGGGATACAAAGACATTTTTCACGTCGTATGGGGCCTTGATGCTGTTCGCAATTTGTTATGTCGGTTACAAGTTTTTCAGAAGCTCAAGAATCCATAGATTGGATCAACTAGATCTTGATTCTGGTAGAAGAGAGATGGATAGAATCATCTGGGACGAGGATAAGTATTACATCAGCTCTTTCAAAGAAATTATCAAAAGAGCACTTGGTTGGTTAGCATAACTCATCATTGAACGAACTATAAACGACTAATTGAAGTTCTTCTGTATCAGATCTAGTAGCTTTGGGAATATTATGTCTGAAGTTTCTCCCTCGACAGCATGTAGGATCCCTAATCCTTTATAAAAATCCTTTACCGGGTTAATAGTTTCATGATACGCATTCAATCTTTGTTGAAACACTTCAGCATTGTCATCTGGTCTTTTACTTAATGGTTCTCCTGTAACGTCATCAATACCAAACTGTTTTGGTGGGTTATATTGTAAATTGTAAATTCTTCCTGATGGAATGTGCACCCATCTGTTCTCTATTCTTTCCAAAATGACTTTCTCTGGTACCTTAAGTTCCACCACCAAGTTCAAATTGGCATCTTTTTTGGTTAAATCTTCGGTCAGTAGTCTAGCTTGAGGTAAAGTTCTTGGGAACCCATCTAGTAACCATGATGCCTTGGAGTTGAGTAGTGATTTGTCCTTTAATTCATTGAAAATGAGCCCACTGATCACGAAATCTGGTAAAAGACCACCTTTGGCGATGATTCCTGAAGCATAAGAGCCGATTTCTGTCTTGTTTTGTATTTCTCTTCTCAAAAGATCCCCAGAACTTATCGGAAGCAGCCCTGTGTAATGTTCCAACAACTTTGAAGTTTGGGTACCTTTCCCAGCCCCTGGAGCCCCCAGTAAGAGCAGTCTCAAAGGACGCGAGGGTAGTGACATTTCCAATAAAGTGATAGCGAGTGAATTGGAGATCTAATTGAGTCTGGTTTGTTGATGTTTTGTTTCTTCGAACTAGTTTTTCACCACTAAAAAATGTGTGTTTTTCCAAAGGGTCAAAAGGAGCATGACCAGAGTCACAAGACGGAAAACTACAAAAAACCATTGAAATTCAAACATTTCGTTATTTTAAAAACATCCTTTCAAAGCCTCGGCACTGGCAACGTTCCAAGGAGACAAAAACATACTTCTTTGGATATCACGAAGCTCTCCAGTGTTGAGATACGCGTCACTCAAATCTTTAGCATTGACCTTACCATGGGTAGCGATCTTGAGAGAGATGTTTCTATCCAAGTTCTCCCATATTCTCAGATCATCTGGGAAAAAATAAGCTGATCTCTGCCATGTAAACTGTTCATTTTTTTTCAATCTTCTATTAACCTGTGAAACCAAGTATGGAACGTTTTTAAATTTATCACTGATCAATTCAGAAAGTGGTAATGCTTCCAATTCACTCTTGATAATCACCAAGTAATCCTCCAAGTTCTCAACAACAGAGATAGCACCAATGACTAGAGTGACTAAAAGCGATGTACCTGCTGTCTCAATGTTATGGAACAGTTGATCCAATGCAGCTTGTTTTGTCTCTTCTGTATCATAAATATATAAAACTTGTGAAATCAAAACAACTAGTCTCTTTGCATCATTTGATAATGACAAGATTAGTTTAAACTCTTCCAAGGCTTCATCAAATTTATCTAAAAAGAAATATGACAAGCCTAAAACTGTTCTTGAAGAAATAACTGTTTTCTCATCTTCAGTCAATTCCAAACACTCTTGAGCACATTCAATAGCGCCCTCATAATTCTGAACACCAAGTTCAAATCTTGCTGATTGAGCTTTGATTCTTGCAAAATTCAGTAGTACATCATCACTTTCAGATTCTTCATATGCCTTTTCTAATATACTCAACAATTGAGTTGAAATTTCTTGCCCCAATTCATAATCATTCAACTTTTCCAAAATCAAACAACTGACAGATAGCCCGAATGGGTCCAATGGGTAATGCTTCAAATATTGTAACATACCATAACATGCAGTAGATAATTCTTGAACAGCTTCAACATCTTGAACATCGTCACCTTTACCTATTCTCTTCAAGCAAATGTTTAAACCATATAGCAATTGTGCCACTGGTGATCTACCATTTGATAAAATAAAAGCGTGTGTGAAAAGGTTGGATGCAAGTTCAAAATCACCCTGAGCTTGAGCAGCTAACGCATGTCCTAACCATGATATTGGTTCACTTGGAGCAAGACTCTGTCCTCTCATATAAGATTCAACAGCAAGTTCAGGGTCATCATATCTTAGGTATAATAATGCCAAATCAGACCAGATTTCAACATTCTTTGGATCTATTGAACTACCTTTGATGAAACAATGTTGTGCAACACGAGGATTAACACTAATAGAGGCAACACCTAATGCAATCCATGGTTCTGCATAATTTGATTGTAATTTTATAGACTCTTTCAATGAAATAATGGATGAATCTCTGAACTCTGTATTCTTAGTTTTCAAATATGCAATTAATTGGGAAAGACCTAAATTATAAAAGCTTGAGGAGCGCAATGGTCTTGAAGATGGGTTCAAAGATAGGGCAGCTTGATTACAATAAACCAAAAATAATGCAACAAGTTCCACTAATTTTTCACCCTCAATGTATTCGTCAATCAATGACGAATCAAGATCAACATCAACAGATTGAAACAGTTCTAGGAATTCTTTGTGTGGGAACTGATCAATTTTAGATTGAACAATCAAGAAAATATGAACCAAATCACCAGTGATTTTCCAAAAATTTAATGATTGTTTGTTTCCTTTTGGTAATAACTCAACAGCTTTCAAAACAAGGCCAATAGCTTTCCCAAAGAACCCACGAGAGACACATTCATTAGCATATTGATACAAGGCATCATATAACCCAGCAACAACACATTCTTCATTTGGTCTTTCACCTAACAACTTTCCAAAGATCTCAATAGCGACGTCAAACTCACTAATATGAGTTTCCACAACAGCCAAAAGATATTGAGCAACCCAATGCTCAGGTTCCGATTCCAAAGCTCTTCTGAAAACTTTAGCTGCAGCTTCCAATCTACCACAACCATAGTAAGCTTCACCTAACCCAATCCATGATTCAGTATCATTGGCATTTAACCGAATTGCAGTTTGAAACCATTCAACAGCTTTAGCATCATCTTGAGTTTCCAAAGAGGCACAACCCAAGATTCTATAAGGCCAACTATCATTACCTAAACGACGTTTTGAATTTTCAGATATGATCAAACGTTTACAAAACATCTCAGCTCGTGGCCAATCTGTTTTGGCAGTAAAATCTTTAACCAAGTACCAAGCTGCAGTGACTTCATTTGAATCAATTTCAAAAGCTTTAAGAAAACACTTTGCTGATCTTTTCTCATCCTCATAATGGTTTAAATAGATCTCACCCAATGAAGTATATGATGGAGCAAAATTCTTTGAGGCTCTCAATGATTCAACTAGATATTCATAAGCTTTATCAACGTTACCACCTTCCAGTAAATAACTTTGTGCAATTTTCCAATTAACAGAAGCTTTCAATTCTAGAATGTGAAGAGTATTACCTTTCAAATTCGATAAAACTTGACATAGACCCTCTCTACCTGTTTGATATTCCCCTAATTTGACTTGACACCATGATAACTCCATAATGGCTTCATCATTATCTGGGAACTCCTCTGTAACCTGAGCTAACAAAGTTCTTGCATCTTGCAGTTCACCTCTCTCCACTAAAATCAGACCTTTACCAACTCTTGCATTAACATTTGTAGGTGATTCAACAAGAATTTTATCAAAAATTTGTAAAGCTCTTTTAAAATTCTTTGGGGCTTCATAGTATGTCAAAACAACACCATAATTCACCAATAGATCTTCCTTAGAGTTCTTGAAATCAAACCCAGTGTGTCTTGTAGAAGTGACTAATAGCTGAATAGCAGCTTGACATGTAGCTAACGCTGATTCAAAGAGTTTTAAATGGATTTGATATGACAGCACAATACGGTAAGCGAGCAAACTTGTCTTACAAGATTCTAAGCCTTGAACCATTAGTGCTAAAAGTTCTTCTGGCGCCAACGCTGAATCTGTTTCATCTGTTTCTAACTGTTCCAATTGTTGTTCCTCTTGAGATAGTTCTTTTGATTTGGATGGTTTCTTCTTTTCTTCAATATCAATCTTGAAAGGTGACAGATCTGACAAGACATAAGCATAGATAATTTGTCCTAATGGTTCACTTTTGAATAACTTCAAGAAATTTTTTAGTGTGGTTTCATCAATTGTCGACAAGTCAGATGAATCAATCCAATCAAAATATAATGACCAAGCAAAAAATGATGTATGTTTGACAAGAACCATACCCTCTATCATTTCCTTTATGGATGCAAATAGATCTGGCTTAGCAGTTGATGGTGCTGCTTTTAATACTTTATATCTATATTTCAAATATTGTTCTTCTGTTTCTCTTCTTTTCTCGTCATCATCTAAAGTATTGATCAATTCTTCATAAAGATGGGGTATGACTGAATCTTTATAGTATTCCCAGGCGATTTTATCCATGAGTTGCTGATTTTTAGATTTGAGTCTTTCACGAGTAGTCTTTTTGGACACTTCAGAGTTTTCCCTTTTCAATTGTATATCTAAATATTCTGTAATAACTTTTTGAGGCTTTTCAATGATACCTAAGCAAACTTGGCCCAGCTTATTTTCAGGTAACAATGACCTTAGATATTCTTCATAAACTTCATCGCTTGAGTTATTCTTCAAGTATTTTCTTATTTCTCTGATGAATTCAGATAAACCTTCCTGTAAACTAACCAGCAATTCTGCATAATCACCAGCAAACTCGAAAAATTGTTTGTAATCATTATGGTTTGACACTATCAAAAACAACCCTTTCCAGGCAGTTATATTATCATGATCAACTTCAATTGCTTTTTTGTATGCCTTGATAGCAGGATCTATTTGTTGTAATAAATGACTTGATTTACCTATAAAGACAAAGGCAAAATAGTTTTTCGGATCTATTTTCAACGCATCTTCAGCCAATTGTATGCAATACTCTGGGTTATCATCCTTTAGAGCTTGCTTTGCAGCCTTAAGATAACCTTTGGCTTCAGACATGTCTATTAGTGTTCCAATTGGGTGTGATATGGATCTCAATATGCTTTGGATGAAGTGCTTTTGTCGTTTTTGAAAGCATCAAAGTTTTCATTTTCGCGAATTTTGGGCTCAAAGACAGTGGGAAACTGGATTGAAATGGGTGGAATGATTGATTTTATTTAGTAAAGATATATTGAAAAAGGCTGAAGGAAGGCATAGAAATCCAATTTTACTACAATACTTGTTTTTGAACTATTTTACCTCCAAATTAGCCGTGGAAATTCATTAAGGCGTAGATAAGCGAAAAGGAAAAGCACCATCGCCTCGTAACCTCTGGTTGGCGCAGTGTTTCAAAACGCGGTCCACATTTTTTTGTATAAGCGCGTTTCTGCATTATAAACAACTTTTCAAAAATTCCTTCCAAAAAGCTGAAATTGACCAGTTCAATCCTTCAACCTTTGACAATAGAAAGTGGCCAACCTGCAATAGTCACTTTTCCACCTCATCAAAGTGGCCACTATTCACATTAAAAACAGTTGCTTAGAGTGATTGATACTTGACTATGCCGCCAAAAGCCAAAGCTGAATCTTCATCTCAAGCTACACCGCGTCGTGCCACCAAAAAGACTGGTGCTTCGTCTGCTGACAATGGTAAATTTAAACAGAGCTCATTGCTGAACTTTTTTGCTAAGTCTCAACAATCCAAACCAGCCGTTAAGAAGCCAGAGCAAGATTCTTTCCCATCACCTTCATCTTCCCCATCAAAGGATGAAATCATTTCATCTTCATCAAGTGACAAAGAAAATACCAAACCATCAAACAAAACAGCTGAAACTACTGTTGAATTAGATGTCGAAGAAGTTGAAGAAGTCAAAGCTCCAATTACACCGGCTGCCAACTCTTCTGTTATCAAGAGACCACCTTTGAAAGATACAAATAGTAATGCATCATCACCACCAAAACCTCAATCAAGTCCAACGAAAAGACAAAAGAAACAAATCAGCTATGCTGAATCAAGTGATGAAGATGAAGGAGAAGTTACAATCTCAAAGACTCAACGTAACAAACGTCGCCGTGTTATAAAAGATGATGATGCTTCAGAAGATGAATTTGTCCCAGACGCCAAAAATGAATCAGAAGATGATCATATGGATGATGATTTTATTGTTCCAGATGATTTTGAAGAAGACAAAGCAGTGGAAATTGACGATGATGATGACTTTATAGAAATAACCAAAAAGTCAAAACCAAAAGCTAAAACTCCACCACGGAAAGCAACTAGCTCATTAGCAAACAAATTCACCTCAGGATCCACATATAAAGCTACATCAAAGTCACCTTCAACAACTCCAAAACCAAAAGCAGTAGTAGCAGCTAAACAAACCAAGAGTCAAAAGTTCACGAAAGAAAACGAAGAACGTTATCAGTGGCTAGTTAATATATTAGATGCTGAAAAAAGACCAGAATCTGATCCAGAGTATGATCCAAGAACTTTATACATTCCTCAAAATGCTTGGGGAAGCTTCACAAATTTTGAAAAACAATATTGGGAAATTAAGTCAAAAATGTGGGATTGTATTGTTTTCTTTAAGAAAGGTAAATTTTATGAACTATATGAAAAAGATGCAATGATTGCTCACAATGAATTTGATTTGAAAATTGCAGGTGGTGGTAGAGCAAATATGCAATTGGCTGGTATTCCTGAAATGTCTTTTGATTTTTGGGCAACTTCATTCATAACAAAAGGTTATAAAGTTGCAAAAGTTGATCAAATTGAAACTGGTTTAGCCAAGGAGATTAGAGAAGCCAATGGTGCTCCAAAGGGTAAAAAAGATGTCATTCAAAGAGAATTGAAATGTGTGTTGACCGCTGGTACTTTAACTGATGAAACAATGTTGAGTGATGATATGGCAACTTATTGTATTGCAGTTAAAGAAGATATTGATCCAGTAGATGAAGCTGGTAAAATATTCGGTGTTGCATTTATTGATACTTCTACTGGTCATATTCAAATGACTGAATTTAAAGATGACAGTGAATGTACTAAATTGGAAACTTTAGCCTCACAATTGAGACCAAAAGAATTGATCATCTCCAAGAATAATTTGTCTCAACTTGCCATCAGAATTTTGAAATTCAATGCCCAAAACAATGCAATCTTCAACTATATCAAGCCTGACTCTGAATTCTTTGATTTTGATACAACTTTTGAAACTTTAACAAGAGGAAAATATTTTGAGGCTGAAAACTTGGATGATTTATCAAAATGGCCAATGACTTTGAAGGAATATTATGAATCAAACAAAATGGTTGGATTTTCTGCATTTGGTGGGTTATTATGGTATTTGAAATCTTTGAAATTGGATGAAAATTTGATTTCGTTAGGAAACATAACCCCTTACACTACTATCAAAGCCTCAACCAATTTGGTATTGGATGGTCAAACTTTACAAAATTTAGAAATTTTCGCAAATTCATTTGATGGAACTGATAAAGGTACTCTATTCAAGTTGATCAATAGAGCAACATCACCTTTTGGTAAACGTTTATTGAAAACCTGGGTTGTTCATCCATTGCTACAAAAGAAAGATATTGAATCAAGATTAGATTCAGTAGACCAATTACTAGAAGATGGGGATCTCAGATCAACTATTGAATCCTCATTGGCCAAGCTACCTGATCTTGAAAGATTATTATCAAGAGTTCATGCTTCTCAATTGAAATTGAAGGATTTCACAAGGGTTATCGAAGGTTTTGAAGATATCGCTAAATTATACAAGAGACTGGGATCTTTTGAGTTGAAAGGTGCTTTGGCCAAAGTCTATTCTAAATTCCCTTCAGAAATAGATGAATGTTTGTCCAAATGGGAAGATGCATTTGATAGAGTTCAAGCTAAAGACCATGGTGTTTTATTGCTCAGTAAAGGCATTGAACAAGATTTTGATGACTCTCAAGAAACAATTGCGGATCTTGAACATGCTCTAAATACCAAATTGAGAGAATATAGAAGACAGTTCAAATCACAAGCTATTGATTATAAAGATTCTGGTAAAGAACTATATACCATTGAGATGCCTGCAAATATTAAAGTTCCAAATGATTGGAAAAAAATGGGTGCTTCAAAGAAAATGACAAGATACTGGTCACCAGAAGTTGAAGGCCTTGCTAAAAGTATTGCAAGAGCAAGAGAATCTCATAAATTAATTGAAGAATCATTGATTGAAAGAATGTCAAAAAGATTTGACTCAGACTATAGTGTTTGGATAAATGCTATCAATGCTATTGGTAAAATGGATTGTCTTGTTGCATTGGCTAAGACTTCAGAATCAATCGGATTCCCTGCTACAAGACCAACATTTATTGATTCAGAAACCGGTGTTCTTGATTTCAAAGAGCTAAGACATCCTTGTTTTAATATGGGTGTTTCTTCTTCAAAAGAATTCATTCCAAATGACGTTACATTAGGTGGTGATGCTCCAAATTTGGGTTTATTAACAGGTGCAAATGCTGCTGGTAAGTCAACTGTCCTTAGAATGACATGTATTGCTGTTATTTTAGCTCAAATTGGTTGTTATGTGCCATGTGAAACTGCTACGATGACCCCTGTTGATAGAATAATGACAAGATTAGGTGCAAATGATAACATTATGCAAGGTAAATCCACATTTTACGTTGAATTATCGGAGACAAAGAGAATTTTAGAAAATTCCACACCAAAGTCATTATTAGTTTTAGATGAATTAGGTAGAGGTGGTTCTTCTTCTGATGGGTTCGCCATTGCTGAAGCTGTTTTACATCATGTTGCGACTCATATCCAATCATTAGGTTTTTTTGCAACTCATTATGGTTCATTGGGTCAATCTTTCAAGAGTCACCCACAGGTTAAACCATTTAGAATGGCAATCATTGTTGACGAAGGCTCTAAGAATATCACCTTCTTGTATAAATTGGAAGATGGTGCTGCTGCTGGATCATTCGGTATGCATGTTGCAGCAATGTGTGGTATTGATAAAGAAATAATCAAAAATTCTGAAGTTGCAGCTGAAGAGTTTGAACATACTTCAAAATTGAAAAAGAATGAAAGTAATTATCTAAATCTAATTCCATTAGGACTACAATCAGATTTTGCAAGATTACTGAAGGAAGGGTTCAGAAACTCATCAGATGGTGTTGGTGAGGGTGTTTTGATTTATAATGAAACTGTTCAAAAGAAAGCTTTGCAAAGTATTGGTCAATTGATTGACGGATTATGATAAAGCTATGTCATGACTACTGTATATTAGTGTAAAATATGGGTAAAAGAATATATAATATAACTAAGAACACATTAGCTTCGTAAGTGGGTCATTAAATTTAGCAAACATAAGTAGCTGTTGTAAAAGAAGGTCATTAACCATTGGGTATTTCAAGTTTGTCGATTGGCGAATTGTCTGTACTGCACAAAACCATTATTGTCTTGCTGATTGAAATTGTATAATTGTGGAGCTTGGATCTGAGACTTTGGCAGAATGAAAGGCTGAGGTTGAAATTGTGGAACTTGGGAACTTGGTGGTGGGGTGAATGAGTAATTTTGTTGGAATATCAACGGTGGATGGGTTGTTTGAGTTTTATCAATTGGAGGAGATTTTGATGGAAGAGATTTAGCTCTTTTCTTTTCTTCAGTTGAACGTTTGCGACGATAATATCTCAGTGAATGTGGATCATTCGGTTCCTTCATATTAACATTGTCAACATATCTAGCTATTTGATAAGTGGACTCATTTGGTTTGTAATACCACAGATCAGCATGGGATTTTTGAGGCAACGCAAGAACTTCCTTATTCATAAAAAACTCATGAACCCATCTTGTATCTTGGTATTCTTCAATGGCGTTGTCATAACGTTTGTCTTTCAGATTCAGCAGTTGCACGTTCTCTGTTGTGTGTTTCTCAGAAGTAGCTGTATGCTCTCTAGATACTGGGGGTGTTATTTGCTTTGATTTTTTCGCACTTCTTGGGAACCTCATACCTTGGAGACAAACGGCTTCATATGGTATTTCAATTGAGTTTCTGTTGGTGTCAATTGGATAGATATCAACAGTTAGCGATCTTTCTGACTTATTATTTGTGATTATGGAGCCTGCAAAATAATCACTGAATTTACCTTGAATCATATCACCCAGACATAAAGTTGACAGATATGTTGAATTATCTTCAAATTTTGGTCTATGAACTTTGCAGTAGAACTCATTTCGTGAGGCAAAGTAAACACCACATGGGAGGGCACAAGTAGCATGAAATGCCCTGGTACATTTAGGAGCAGAGCATTGGAAGCAAGCACCTTTTTTGACATGACAAAAGACACATTTAAGACTTTTTCTTGCATTTGGAATAGTTTCAATGCCCTTAACATAATCACCTTTTTCAATATCATCAATAACTTCAACTTCTGGAATCAAGTTCGCACATATTCTATGGCAATACTCCTGCTTCCCACCTTTCAAAGATTTCTCTGTGATTATCAGTTCATAATCAGTGAACTTCAATTGTCTAGATGGTAAAGAATTTGGGCATAATATACATTGTGGCCCTTTTGGTTTTGGGGGTTCCACTGTATCCTTGATTGGATTAACCTTTCTTTTCTTTGGTGTAGATTCAATTTTCTGAACTTCGGGTTCTTTTTCTCTCTTGACCTCTGCCTCTGGAACTGGGGTTTCTTCAACAGGCTCAGGTTCACCACGAACTCTTCTGATTAATCTTTCGACATCAATTCCCACAGAATCAGCAACACAAAGACATTTGGAAGTCTTTAGTCCAAATTCAAACCATTCATCGATTGCGAAATTGACAGATTCAGCAACATTATAACCGTAGTTCAACCCTGCATGATAGCCATATGGATACGTTATCATGAATTCTTGCTCATGGTGTACAACTTTATTCACTTTGATACCTTTGGATTCAAGGTAAGTTGGTGATACCAAGAACGTTTTGTGTCTTAAGAAGTCATGACAATTTTGGTAATCCTGTGGAAATGTCTCTTTCATAACATCATCAAATTTTTGTTTATAAGCTTGCGGGATAGAGTACCACTGCTTTGGAGCACCGAAGTGAATGTAGTTTATTGAGTAAAGATCTTGATCCTCTAAATGCCATGAGAAAGTAGCTTTCCAAAGTCCAGCATATAAGTAGGCATCGTTAACACCAGGTAATTTCTGATCCATAAAATCCAATACATTTGGTAAATGAGCAACGTTCCAAATCTTCACTGAATCATCAAATACCGACCCAATCATATCCGCACCATACACTGGTTCGGCGTAGGTTAATGATTTCCAATAAGATTTTTCCAAGGCTTCACATCTTTCCGGGGTAAATTCTGAAGTGTCAATGTTGTATTCAAAATTGTCAAACAGTTTTTCATCATTATGATTTTTACTTGCCAAAATTCTTTTATTGAGTCTGGTATTGACATTTGATTTTCTAACTTTACCCCTTGGGGCTGGTGGTTGATTGTTTGGTTCTTCTGATAATGCCTTCCATTGAACAATATTAAAAGTTCTCTTCTTTTCGATATTTTGTTGACCGAAAACACCATTATTACCGCTAATGTGCTGAACGATTGGATTTCTTATCTTGATTGACTTTAGCGCTTCTGTTGTGATCTGTGGTAAGCTTTGGATCCATTCTTTTGGAGGTATAACCTTAACGACACCTGATTGCATCCCATACTTGTTGATAGCTTTCATATACTTTTCAAAGTCTTTAAACTCTTCGAACGAAGGTCTAAAAATCGGAACACCGTCAGAAACCTCTGATGGCTCAATGTTAGACCAGGTGCTGGTTTGTTCTTGCGTTGAATCCATCTTTTTGTTGACTCTTTTAGACGGTTGGAGCTGGCTTTAGATATACCACAATTTATGTCTTAATCGACAAAAAGACCTGATTCCATAGAATCTAGAGCAAACAAACTAGAGATGAAAGGATCTCAAAAAAGTTTGGGTCAATGATGATGTATTTTGGGCACTTTGTATATGAGGTAAGAATGAATGAGCGCTGTATAGTTGTCTTTCAAAACTTAAAGTCTTAAGATGAACTGATTCTGAACTGTTGCATTTGGCGGGTGTTCAAAATTAAAAAAAAAAAAAAAAAGTTTGCCCGCTGACTTTGACAGATTTTCGCGAATTAGATCAGATTTTTGTTTACAAGAAACAATTTGATCTGAAAATGTGACAAGAATAGCTGGTGCCAGAAACTGTTCAAGAAGAGTTTGAGGATGTCTAGAGGGGAGAAATGGGCTGCTTTAAAGAAGAAGGACGATGATCCAAAGCCCAGAAGGTCTCTCAGGTCGCTGCGAAAGAGACCCGTGCAGCCAATTGTCATCTCTGATGATGAGGATTCAGAAGAGTTAAATCCACTCCCAGAGGTCAAAAAGCAAAAACTATCCTCTTTAAGAGGCCACATCAAATCGTTTTCATCTAACACACCCCAATCAACAAGATCCCCTACTCCAGAACTACCCAAAGCACCAAGCAATCTTGACCAATTTGATCAATGGATAGATAAATATTCCCCCAAATCAACTTCTGAAGTCGCAATCCATTCCAAAAAACTAGCTGAAGTGAAAGAAGATTTAGAATTGATGATTTCTGGTGACTCCCCATACAGAATACTACTACTAAGCGGTCCAGCAGGCTCATCCAAAAGCACAGTTGCCAAATGTTTAGGCCGCGAATTAATACCTGCAATACGGCATACTCAACCTTCAGAGACAGATATCATAGAATTTACAAATGATGATTCCATAGAATCAACCGTGACTCAATTTAGTGACTTTTTGGATAGTGTGAAGTATCGCACTGGAAAAAACTTATCAATGGTTTTGGTTGAAGACTTACCAAATGTGTTTCATGGACCTACTAGAGATAACTTTCAACAAGCATTACAACAGTGGCTTTATAAAGATTTGTTCCTACCCCCGTTGGTGCTCTGTGTTACTGAGTGTGAATTTCCTAACGATGGTCCAACTTCTCAAGGCTTCAATATTGATAATAATTTCATCGTGGAAACTATTTTGGGTAGAAAATTGCTGATGAATCCTCAAATCAAGAGAATAAAGTTCAATCCTGTCAATATGACGCTGACCAGAAAATGTTTGACTAACATTGTTTCTCAAGAAGGAGACTTGTTCAATAATATACCCAGACAAGAGATTCTTGATAAAATTAAAGAATTGAGTGATAATGGTGATATAAGGTCTTCTATTGCTGCTTTTCAGTTTTGGGCAAGTTACAGATCAAAACACGATGATTCACGAAAATTCATCAGCATTGGTAAAGAACCAAGTATTTCGTTATTCCATGCAATTGGTAAATGTATCTTTGGAACAAAAAATGAAGAGGAGGATGATATTACCACTTTGGATAAAGTGCTGAATGATTTCATCTCCAAACCAAACATTTTGAAACTTGGAATCTTAGAGAATTACACAAAATTTAATAAAGCCAACTATGATCTTGAATCGGCATGTGATATTGCCGAGAATTTGAGTGTCTCTGACTTGTTTGGAAACGATGATTCCTCAATAGAATTCGCAGCAAGAAGTACAAGAACAGTTTTCAGAAATGTCAATGTCAAATCCAGCTCCAATGGTAGTAATCATAGTGGAGCAACTTTTCCAAGGGAATGGAAAGTCCAAAGAGGGATCAACGCCACAAAGAGTGATATTCTACGGTATATTGAAACAGAACTCAAAAGAAGACAGGCATACAGGACATTTCAAGATTCAAATTTGTTATACGGGTATTATGAACCTATAATCAATAAGCAAAGGGGGTTTAAGAATAGAGCAAGGATACATTACTTGAAAACAAACAATAAAACAATACCAAAAGAGCTGCTGGTCAGCTCTAACCCATTTATTTCTGAAAGACTAGGTGGTCCTTTCAAAGAAGTCTTTGGAGATAGTGATATTGTACCCGATGAAGAGATTACAAGAGATAGATATTTCAAGACAAGCAATATCAAAGATGATGATAGCTCCTCTTTCGACTCTAGTGATGATTCAGAGCTTGAAAATGATCCAATTGTGGATACAGATGCTGATGATGAAGCAGGTGACGAGTTTGGCGATGATGATACTTTTGAGAAAGAGCTGGTCAACTTATCACAGAAACCGGATCTCAAGGCTACAACTTCAACCTTGAGTAATGGAGCAAAACCGAACAACGCTGAATTTCTTAATGATTTTGATGATGATGATTTTGACGATTCGGATTTTTGAATGTTTACAAAATATAATGTACTCATCTCATGGCAATATTTACGATGTAAGATTAAAAATACACAACCTCGATAAATAAACAAACATTAATTATGCTTCAAGAGCAGTCTTGAAAAAGTTTGGATCATCTTCTAAAGATTCCTTGATGATATCCAATCCACCTTGGAATTCTCCATTAACATACAATTGTGGGAAAGTTGGCCAATCTGAAAAAGCTTTCAAACCTTGTCTAACACTATCATCTTTCAATATATCAAAAAATCCAAATCTGACTTGATTCTCTCTGAGTATAGCAACTAATTGACGAGAAAACCCACATTGAGGAGACGCTGGTGTACCTTTCATGAATAACATAACTGGAGCAGCTTCGGTCAATTGTTTTAAACGAGCATTCAATGCTTCTTCAGACTCTTCCTCTTCTTCTTGTGGTTGAGTTGGTTGAGCTGAGTGTTGAACACCTGCTAATGGAGCTTGCGCAGGTTGAGCTTGTGGTTGTTCAGATGTTGAAGAGTTTTGTAATTCATTCAAAGCAGTAACAAATTCTTTTGGATCAGCACCGGAAAGTTCTTTCAAAATTGTATCATCTCTGATTAAAACGAAGTATGGCACCGCGCTGAGCTCAAATAGTTCAGATATATCCGGATGTTCATCAGCATTAACTGAGATGAATGATGTATTTGGGTTTGACTCGGCTAATTGTGAATATACTGAATTTATTTGAATACATGGTGCAGCCCATGGTGTGTGAAAATAGATCGCTATAAGTTTATCTTTTGGAGCGTTGTTCGTCAACTCTGTGAACTGGTCTTCAGATGTGATTTCAATAACAGACATCTTTTGCTGGAGATTTTGTATATATTGACTTCAACTGGATATTTTAGGATGATTACAAACTGTTTTCATGTTGAAATCTTCTTCGGAAATTAATCTAAAAGATCAAGGGCAAAAAAAAAAATTACCGGAAATCAAGTTTTGTATGAGCAATAATCACGTGAAATTAAACTTACGAGGGCAAGAAAGGATATTAAGCTATACTTCAAATTGGCAATAAACAAATAAATATATAAATAAAGGCTATCTCAATCTCTTTCTAGCCATTTTGAGAACTGTTAGCCATTCTATGTGCACCATAGTTTTTGGATTCCAGTGCATTTTGGTCTCCAATTCTTTAATAAAAGCATCTGCCATATCTGGACTTTTAGGATTGGCTTTTTTCCAATTATGATATGAACTCCAAGTAGTGACATATTTATGATAAAAATCTAATGGTATATCTCTATGAATCTGTAGTGGAGATGAGGATCCTTGGGCTGTGACACCAGGTCTATGTTCAAACACTTGTTCATCTTGGAAATGACTCTTTGGTGGGTCAACTCCTTTCAACAAGCCTCTCACAATATTACGACCAGGTTGTTCCCAGTACGGACCAAGTTTTGTAGGATCATCATACGTGAATTGTTCAGCAATGTAATCAGCTTCTTTCACTCCAAATACTGGATCAGCATACCCCCAAAATGCAATAGTACCACCTGGTTTCAAAATACGGTCAATTTCCTTGAAGAATTTATCATGGTCAAACCAATGAATACATTGAGCTGCAGTTACTAAATCCACTGAACTATCTTCAAGAAATGGTAATGACTCAGCAGGTGATTGTTTGAATTCTATTTTACCTTGGTACTCTGCATCAATTCTACCATTAGCAGAATCAACCATTGTTTGCGACAAATCAGTCCCTATGACTTTTTCAAAGTATTTGGTCAAAGGGTATGAAGCTTGGCCTGAGCCACATCCTATATCAACTGCCAATTGATGTTTACCAGTATGGTATTCTAGGAGGGAATCATAGAGCCGTGAAGAATAAGTTGGTCTGAATGAATTGTAGTCACTGGCCTTGAAATTTGCGTCTGAGAATGCTGACATGTTTGATGAATGATTAACTTTATTAATTGAAGCTCTCAATTATAAAGGAACTACCTCTGCTTTTATACGTAGCTCTGTTCAGTCAGATACCAGGCTGTTTCAACCAATTGACACCATTTTTAGATTTCGTTTCTGGTGGTGATGTTTTGAAAGTGTCAGCCTCTCAATTTCACAACGTCTACATCCCCGAAGCTCGCTCTACGTCAGCCGACTCCGACAGTAACCGAACAACTAGTAATACTTTGTTGCAAAGACGTATACACTGATCCACTCGACATTCAGAACGGTCTCTTCAGTCCAATGAAGGTCTTTACAAATCTCATCAAACATCAAATCAACGACATCGGGCTCGTTGGGATTCATCTTTTTCCACAAATGATACGAACTCCACGTTTTCACCAAACATCTGAGGTCATTTGTACCGATATATTGCTTCTTCAACACTAAAGCATCTTCATTTCTCGTTCCCGGTTCGTGCTCAACCCTTTCAATATCAGTGAATCTGTCAGTTGGAATATTCACATCACGATAATTGGACTTCAACAAGTTTGTTCCTGGATATTCCCAATACGGGCCCAAATACTCGGGATCGAGATAGACATATCTCTCCAATATAAGTGAGGCATCTGGGTAATCAATAAAGACTGGATCACTATACCCCCAATAAGCCAATGTCCCACCTAATTTCAGAACTCTACAAGCTTCTTGAAAGAATTTCTCATGATCAAACCAATGGAAACATTCAGCAGCAGTGAGCAAATCAACTGAATGAGGCTCTGCAGGTATTGACTCACCAGAACCAACTTTGAATTCAACTTTTTGAAGAATCTCACCTTTCCTCAACTTACTTGCCTCCTTGATCATAACTTCAGATATATCAACACCTACAACATGATCAAAATACTTCACTAATGGATATGTGGCCTCGCCTGGTCCACAACCAACATCCACGGCTAGTTTCCGATCACCTTTATGATAATTGGATAATTTCTTGAAGAAACTTGGTGGATATGCTGGTCTATAACTTGTATAGTTTGTAGCTAGGAAATCTTGATCTGAGAAAGCTGACATTCTGGATAAAAAACTTTGGGGATTTCACTTTATATTTTGTACCCAGATCACTGACTAAAGGTTTAGTAAGTGTCTGATTGATAGGTATATGGATGGTTAGGGTTTATCTATACCATTTATGCAGTAAATATCGTTGCTATCAAATGGAATTGAAATTATTCTTTTGATCATTAAACCCCTGAGAACAACCATCATTACCGTTTGGTGATGAGAGTCCTGGCGACCAGTGCTTCGAACCAAATACGAGAAACGTTTTCTTTCGTTGAACAGGAATGTATAGAACGTATAACTAGTGACCATCTAGTAGCTACAATTCACGTTATAAAATCAAATATTTTATTAGTACCTAAAGTGTCTTTATAAAATATATAAGGGTATCAAATTAATTAAAGGGTGGACTAGTATTGAAATCTTGTAATAAAGTCTATAATAAAACGCGGAATGGAAAGTAAAAAGCAAAGGAAAACAAATCATTGTCCTAAATGAAAAACAAAGATGATAATAATAAAGCAACCCCAAAGAATGAAAAATTGTGGTTTGTGGAAGCACTACCTTCGTAGATACTTGCAATGGTATTGGATGGATCATTGGAACCAGAAGAAACTGGAGATGATGATAATGAAGAAGTTAAAAATGAATTAGTGGTGTACACTGAAGTTGAAGAAGTGACACCATTTGCTGAAATTGAAGAAATAGTAGCTGTAGATTGTGCAGAATTTGAAATAACATCAGCTGGTGTTGTTGTAACTTGTGAATTTGAAGTTTGTGTGGTCTTTGTGACTGTGGTATCTCTTGAAATTGTTTCAACACCAACAGTTGAAGCAGCAGGTTGTAAACTAACTCTTGAAGTTTCTTGATCTTGAGCTGGCGCATTTGATTCAGCACCAGAACTACCTAGCCCTTCATTAGCAGCTGTTGGAGTGACAGTTGTTGAGACTGTAGAGCTCATGACACTTGAGGCTGGGATAATATCTGAAGAGTTAGTGGAAGTATTACTTGAACCATTTGAGGTTGTAGGGCTTGGGGTTGACAAATCATCAGAAGGCCCTTCAGAAGCAACTGGATATGATGGATTTGATGATGGTGCCTCATTAGAAGAGTTCTCACTAATAGAACTTTCAGCATTTGAGAATGAGGATCCACTTGATGAAGTTGGTGTAACAGATGTGAAGTCTGGACCAGCAGAGATAGTTGAAATAGTGCCAGTAGATTGGATATTTGAAGTTGTTTCAGTAGCCAAATCAGATTCAGTTGCTGAAATTGATGTTGAAGCTGAGGATGCAGAATCTATCATTGAACTCAAAGCTGATGGTACATATGAGGCAGAACTTCCTGAATTGACAGCTGAAATGGAGGCACTTGAGAATAAATTTGATTCCACTGGACTTACAATACCTGTTGAAGTAATGGTAGCCTCAGAATCACCGGATGTGCTACTAACAATACCAGAATTACCAGCAATGGATGTAACACCTGTAAAGCTTGATTCAGTACCAATAGTAGTTGTAAAGGCAGGATCATCAGTTGCTGTAGTTATTCCACTCAAACAAGTTGGACACAAACCATCACTTGAGCTACTACCAACCTTTGAAGAACTTGATGAAAAATCAGCAGATTCTGACTCACTAGCAGCTGTAGTCGTAATAGCAGGATCTTCTGAGGTGGTAACTGATCCACCTGTACAAGTTGGACATAAGGGTTCATTTGAGCTAGCACCTATTTCTGAAGAGCTTGGAGAAATCATTGTTGTTTCAATTGAATGATTTGATTCAGATGATGTACTGGAAACACAGGTTGGGCACCATGAAGAGCTCAAAGCTTGACTAGCTGATGATGATGGTGGTACAATTGGACTAGTTGAGCTTGGTGATAGACTTGATGATGGTTCATTTGGGTTAGATGGCCCTGATGGTGAACTTGAAGAAGTAGAAAAGCTTGACTCTATTGCAGATACTGATGTTGAACTGGAATCTTGCTCTGGAACTTCAGATCTTGAACTGGATACTATTGATGTCAACTCAGAAACAGGACCCACCGAGGAAGTGGATAGTTGTGAAGATGATTCAGTTGATGCAGTTGTTGATAATGATTGTTGTTCATCATCTGAGCTTGTGGATGACAATGTTTCAAAAGTGTTAGTTGGGTCACTTGAAGAAGTTGAGACAATGGAGGTGAACCCACTTTCAGTAGCAATAGTTGAAGAAACAGAACTTAGTGAAACCGAAACCAATGAAGTAGATTCAACAGTGGTAGAGCTTTCCAAGATTGGAGTTGTTGAAGCAGAAATAATGGATGAAACAGCAGATTCTGGGGTGGAAGACGCACTATCAATCATAGAAGAGCTTGAATCACTGATACCCAAATCAGTTGATACAGGACCAACAGAAACAGTTGATGAAGAACTTGAAATAGATGCAGTATAACCATCACTAGAGGAGCTAGATTGTGCGTCTGTGCTTGCTGTTGAAGTCACGATCAAAAATGAACTGGTGTCACTATTTCCTGGGGTTGATGAAACAGAAGCAGATGAAATTGCTGATGAACTAGAGGAGCTAACGGTTGAATCACTAACAGGTAAGCCACTTGATGAAGCTAAAACACTCGAGCTAAAGGAAGATGATAACTGTGTGCTTGAAGATGAACCGACAAAGCTTGAATCTGAAGATATAATCCAACCAGAAGTTACCGTGACAGAAATTGATGAATCTAAGGAGGAAGCTGATGGTGCTGGTGAGATGATGGTGAAGGTTGGCGCAATAGATGAATTCCAGTATACTGGTATTGAAACTATTGAGCTTGAAACTGTAGATGAAATAACTGGTGGCAATAAGCTTGAAGTCAACAAAACGGAAGATTGGGAGGTACCTGATGGTTGGTTCATTCCTGAGCTTAAACTTGAGATGCTTGCTGTCGTAAAAGCATCTGAGCTTGACTCAATAGATTCCACAGATGAATAAGAAGGAACAACGTTGGCAGATGAAGAGGTCATTAGTGAAGATACAGAGCTTGAGCTTAAGCTTGAACTTGATGTTGTGACCGAAGATGAAGCCGAGGAACTTAATGAAATCAATGAACTTTCAGGACCAATATTAGTTGTACCAATGTGGGAACTGGTTGATATCAAAGAGCTAGTAACAACTGATGACGAGTCTGAGCTGATTCTGATAGAACTTGTAGTTGGTGATGGAGCCTCAGAGCTACCACTTGAATTAGCAGCAGTAGATGATGATAATAAGCTTGTTGAGATCTCTAAACTTGAAGTTGACCGGATAGAGGTAAATACACTTGATGTGAGTGTTGATAAGACCTCAGAGGATGAACCCACAATTGAACTTGAAGAAAGTCTAGAGCTAAACGAGGAACTTGTGGAAGAATCTGAAACTGATGCCTTTGATAAATCACTCGATGATGAAGTTGAAGACAGAACTGATGAAACAGTTGATGAAGCACTTGATGATTCAATAGAAGAAATGTCTGTAGAGCTGGAAATCAAAGACACTAGTTCTGTACCAGATGATGATGATGATGATGATGTAATCTCCATTGAGCTTGATGTAATCTCCATTGAGCTTGATGTAATCTCCACTGAGCTTCCATATGAGCTAGATGCTTTCCCAGAACTTGCTTCAGAGGAGCTCGGTTGGTCATAACTTGAAAACAAGGAGCTAGACACAGAAGACAAAAAACTGGTGGAGGATGAAAACCACCCGGATGAGCTTGAGGACACCAACAAAACCGATGTATCCAAAGAAGATTCAGCTGAAGTGATTGAAGAAGTAGCCGTTGAACTTGATAAAACGGTTGAAGTCACACTGATAGAAGAACCAGAAGATGGAGTAGATGTAACCGACCGACTAGATGATGTGATAAACGAATCAATATTGCTTGAAGAAGATGCATATGATGAAATATCGGATATACTGGATAGACTTTGTAGTGATGAAGAGCTAGCAACAGAAGAAACGGATGATATCAATGAGATTGAGCTGAATTCACTTGAGCTTGAAAATTCCGAAGAGCTAATCGAATTTATTGAAGATACAACTGAACTGAGGGATATCGAGAGAGTTGAAGAACCCGATGAAGCCAATGAATCTGAAGATAAGATGCTTGAATCAGCTAGAACAGATGAGAATGAGCTTGAAGTGGATGACACCGATGATATCGATGAGCTGCTCAAAATAGATGAGCTTGAAGATACCAATGAGCTTGAGGCGGAAGCTGAAGTTGAACCCAATGCTGACGCTGATGACATGGAGCCTGAGCTGCTAAAAGCAGAGCTTGTGCTGAAAGATGGAGCTGAAGACAATGATGAGCTCTCAGTTGATACTAGTGAGGTTGAAATCACACTTGATAATGTGTATGTTTCAGAAGATGATAATGTTGAAGTTGACGATAAACTTGAAAAGCTTGAGATCGAGCTGGAGAAAGAACCACTTGAAGAAAACAATGAAGAGCTATCACCAGAAGAGTAAACATTACCAGATGTAGAAAAAACCATTGAGGAGCTTGAAGAATATGAGCTAAATGGTGCTGATGAAGAGCTTGAATAATAGCTGGATGAATCATGGGACGAAAAACTGGAGAACTTTGAGCTGACCAGACTTGAAGGTGGTTCTGATCTGCTTGAACTTGAGGCCACATCTGATGAACCTTCACTGGACAAACCACTAGAGCTGCCACTTGAAAATGTGGATAAGCTTGAGGAAAGCACAGAAGGACTTTCATTCGAAGATGAAATGCTTGAAAATGAACTTGTCAATGGAGCAGATGAAAATTGACTCGATGAAGCCTCACTGGAAGAGCTTACACTTGATAAGGAGCTTGATGATAAAACCATAGAGCTGATACCTGATGATGAAGAGCTTGATGGCAACGAAGATTTAATCCTCGATGATGGAGCACTATAGTCTGATGATGATGACAAGCTAGACGATGAAACATCTAAGCTTATACTTGATGGAAAAGCTGAAGAAGAGCTTGATGATGAAGACAAAGTAGCTGAAGTGCTTGATTCCGAGACTGACGAGCTCAAAGATGATGATGAAACCCCTGATGAGCTTTGGCTTGACGATGAAATATCTAAGCTTATACTTGATGAAAAAACTGAAGAAGAGCCTGATGACGAAGATAAAATTGTTGAGGTAATTGATTCAGGGATTGATGAGCTCAAAGATGATGATGAAACCCCTGATGAGCTTTGGCTTGACGATGAAATATCTAAGCTTATACTTGATGAAAAAACTGAAGAAGAGCCTGATGATGAAGATAAAATTGTTGAGGTAATTGATTCAGGGATTGATGAGCTCAAAGAGGATGATGACAGAGCAGATGAGCTTTGTGGGCTTAGTGTCGATGCAGGAAGATCAATAATAACAGTACCAGTCAATGCTCCAAAATCCAAACTAGTTGAAGTTGTTGTATAGGAATTACTCCAATAACTAGTAATCGTAGTCCATGATGTAGTAGGAATTGGCGTATAGACAATAATAGTCTCTGCAGTGGCAGTTGAGCCATCACGGGTTCTTGAAAAAGAGGAAACTGAACCTGTATACCCTGTTGTTTGCAAATATATTGGGACAACATTGTATGAAGCAGTTCTTGCAGCAACCCCAATGTTCCATTCAAGATTGGTTGAAGTTGATGAAACTGTTGTTGTAGGATTTTTGCAGCTTCTCTGTTGCTTGATTGTATTCTTAAGTTGCATGCTTGATGAACCCAAATGTTGTAAATATGAGATAAAAACTCTATAACCAGCCGGAACGTTTGCGATCTTTATATTGCAATTATTTGGGGAACAATCAACAATGGACCCCTCTGGAAGCTCCTTATAGGAAATTGGAAATAGCCATGCATTCAAGTCATTAGTTAAGTAAACCTGGAACTCAGAAGGATCAATTTGTGCGTCTTCGGCAGAAGTGGTGGAACTGAAAATCATTTGAAGAGTCAAGTCTTGCTCATTACTACCACAGCTTGGAAAAAGAAGATATTCTTGAACAGTATCATATCCAGTAGTATGGGCAAATTTATAGACATCACCAGTATCAGCAGTACTTCCAAATGTGACTGTGTCAGCCAAAATTCCGTTAAAAACAATTGTATTTGTACCTGGTTGAAAATGAGAGGCTTCTTCAAGGTCAACAGAGCGAGCACTACCACCATTACCAAAATAAATTGAAAATTGAATGTTTCCTGATAAAGCAGGACTTATAGTGGAGATATCAGCAGTAACCTCACAGTTCAATTGTGAATAGTCCAAAACATAAGCACCATTTATAGCAGAACAGGTGAAAATGTTTGTTCCTCCATAAGCAGCAGTTATCGTAGGAGAAGTACCGGTGAATTTTACCCTGTAAACATCAGGCATAACAAGTTGAAATGTATCACCGACACTCACTCTTGAAGTATCAGGAAAAGTATAATCAGCTTCTAATGACCATGCCGAAGTTGGGAGATTTGTGGTCTTTGGGAATTTTATAGCAGTAAACACATTATCCAACGACTTTGCTAAAGTGATATGAAGGAGATATAACAAACAGACCAATAATTGAAGGTGTATCATCACGGCTTGTCTTGGATTTCAACGTTTGAGAGCTTGAACTAGTACTCAATTAGTCCAATATGAAACCAGAAGATGAGCACTATATAAATAATAAGCACATTCACCAAGTGGCGACCTTTCTTTTGAATCCTATTGTTTTAACATCGTCAGGTTTTCAACCTGGTCAACCTCAAAAAAGATCCAGCGTCCTTAGATTTACGGATCTTTCATTTTAACGTGTGGTTCACTGCATAATAATTCAACTTTTGTAGATGGAAGATTAACTTTGAGCGTTGATGCATATTCGTATTTCCCAAAAAATAATTGAGTTGAATTTTAACACGACTGCAAACTTTCAATTCGTTCGGTTCAAAATAAAGGTTGTACCACTAACAAGATCACATAAACCAGCATATAGAGCATTCTAAGAGCTTACTGAGGCATAACTGACAGCTAAAATTGAAGCATCAAAGTGGTTCAAACTTCAAGAGTGTTTTTTGAACCATCACAATCTTTTGGGGTCTATCACAATCTCAATAACGGATTCGCCTATTCTCAAGAGCTCGTCAAAAGCACCAAAAAAAAATCAAATTACACTTTTGAGTATTCCTGTGCTTCTCTGCCTTGCATTTCATGCACCAAATTCTTTGGGGGCAGAAGCCTGTTACCTGAGCTGAAAACGATCAGTGATCACCTATGATCCTTATGAAAATATGAAGCTTAATATTCCTCTATTTTCATATTGAAAAACTCCACGCTTTACCATCTGAAAACCCTCAATCGAATATAAGCTTAATCTGATCAGTTTCCCTGTCGTATAACTCCTGTTATTCCATAGCCATCCCAATGATAATGTGTGAAGTTTTTGAGGTTTGATTGATGATTTTCTTTACTTTCACCATTGGGAACCAAAAAGGGAAATTTGTGATAAATTAAACCGTAGAAACCTCATTGACACTGCACCCTCGTACATTCAACGGAGATTCCAGATTTCAGAACCCTTGCTTGATCATTTCTTTTGAAGTTTGAGCTCCCTAGATTGTGAAGTTTCTTCTTGACACTTTACTTCTCTTTGAAAGTTGGAAGTGGAAACAATATTATGGTTTCTCAAGCCTCAAGTTTAAACAATGAAATCTTCTGATGACTTTCCTCTAAAAGTATGCACCCTCATAACCGTGACCAACAATTCCAACAGCATCAGCGACACAAAATGTAAAACGTTCACTTTACATTGAACTTGTTGCCATATTGTTGATGTCTTGCTTATAGCGACGTACAACGCGATTATAGAACGTCGAGTTTTCAAGTTTTGAACCTTTTTGTTCTCGGATATACACGGCGTTCGCGAAGACTTGACAAACAAATTTCCAACTCTTTATAGAATGATGAATTAGGATTGATTTTGATCACAGTCTTATCCTCTAAATGGTTATCGGTTGTTGAAGCGGTGTGAGTCAGTCTGACAATCTTCTGATTCTTTCTCTTTATTTGTGTGAGATTTAGGTTTGGTTTCAAAACTACTGTGTTTTTCTCATTTTTCAATGCCTGACATCCCAAATTTTACCCATTCAAAACCAGCTCCCATCAGTGTCAGGGTCGTCTTCAAGACTCCAACGATACAATTCATTGATTATAGTTTCTTCTGGATGTTCTACAGATATTTAATTGCGGATTTTGAAGAATTAAAGTTGTTGTGGTGCTTTTATACATCAAAAACTGAGCCCCATTCGTACCTAACATACTCTTCTCAAATGTAAGTTACTGTTCGATGTGGGTTCATTGAGAGCTTTGTTTCCATCTTCATCGGTAATTTCAACTGATGATACCATCGTAGGAGATGACGATTTTGATTCTTTAAAATCATAATTCTGGAATTTACTATAGAATACCATAGCCGTGACTGAGAATCCATGGATAACTATAGAGGTAACAACTATGAAGCAAACGATAGGCCAGATACACCTCAAAACCATATAATATGGAGCACTAGAATTGATCTCCCTCATTGGAACTTCCCCCTGAGTTAAATGCTTTTCAATTGCATCTTTGGTTATTATGGAACAAAAAATTCCACCAACACCAACTGGACCAAAATGACCAACAAATAGAGCCTCTTTCCAAGTTTTGATAGCAGGAACAAATGGTTTAGCGAGTAAAGCAGCTGGAATTCTTCTTAAGAATATTATAACCAAACCTAAAGTAACAAGTCTCCACCAGTGCAATCCTAATTCTTTGTTATTAAAATCTTGCCATGGAATTATAGTTCCAAAGTATAAAAAATATCCAACGTTTAAGAGAAGGTCAATAGAATTAGATATATGTTGTCCGTGGCTCTTTTTAAAAAACCAACCATCCCAAGCAAATGCTGCACCAGCTGCAAATGAAACTAATAAGTCATCAACGCCCAAAATTGAGCCAAAACCAGTACACATTAATGATAATAGAATATAAAAGATTAAGAGTGATTCCCTGTCAATGAACTTTTTATTTTCACAAAATTCAATGGCTTTTCTTCCTGAATATCCAATAATTATACCCAATATGACTCCAAAAACACACTCATAAAGTATAGCAATACAAAACCAATCTCTTACAATTACTCCAGGCTTTCCTCTATTTGTCAAGATATCAACGGCTAATAAAACAAATGGAAACGCCAGCCCATCATTAGCTCCAGATTCAGCACTTAACAAATGTCTCAAAGAGGCTGGGATCCTTTCGCCAAATTTACCTTTACCCACAATAGCAGCAGCTAAAACAGGATCTGTTGCAGTAATAGCAGCAGTAATCGCCAACCCATCAATGAAACTAAACTTGGGAAATAAAACCCATGCGAATAGTCCAGTGACCAACCAACCAAGAATCATAGTGAATAATAACAGCACTACCACTGAGCGAACATTAACCTTCATATATTTTTTTGGTAATTCTACCGAAACTGCAAAAATTTGTATAATCAACACGATTCTTGAAATCTCCTGAGTCAAATAATCAGAATTTGTCCATTCCAAAGGATTTATCAAGTTCAAAGCGTGAGGTCCAACAATTATACCAGTGACACATGACAAAAATGCTTCGCCAACAAACAACCTCTCTTTCAAAACCAGTGATAGTAAGCAAAATATAGTGGAAAACACACCCACGATAGCGTAGGCTTTATGAGCTTGGTCCACCTCCAGCTGATCCCATACTGCCATAACCTCTGAATCCTTGATCAGTTATCAAAATAAATGTTTATGATGAACTTTTCAATATTCAAAATAACAATTGGTTATCAAAATAATTTCAGGGTCCAGTTGATCTATCTCCTATCTGAAAATATAAGAAATTATGTCCCACGAGGCTCATCAAATTGTTCAAGATTACATCTGCCATGATGTATCGGGTTTGTATTCACAGATTAAATTCGCGGGTTGGATTTTCGCGACCAAGAACACGAAATCAAAAAAATGTTTACACAGGAATGATAACTTGGACAAGGGAAATTCCCATTGATAATTAAGCGCAATTAGACCGTCTATTATCTCAATTGAATTTTAACCAATATTCACTATATATATATTCATTGAAAGTCATCGAAACAATGTCATTCTTTCAAAATTTCTCCAAAAACTTGCAAACTGGTCTTGAAGAAGGGTTAAAAGAGGCACAGAAGTTGTCTTCAGAATTCCAACCAATTGCAACCAGAACTGCTAGACAATTACAAGAAAGATTCGGTCAAATCGATGATATCAGTCAATTGCCACAAGAATACGTTGAATTGGAAAAGAAAGTCGATACCTTGAAGACTGTTTATCAAAACTTATTATCTGTTACTTCAACTTATGAGAATGAAGCTTATGACTATCCTTCAAACTTGAGAGATTCCGTTATTGATATCACTAAAACTGTTTCCACTAAAGTTGAGAAATTAGCTAATGCTAGATCAAGAGATGAAGCTCAAGCTATTTTGATTGCAAGCAACCCAAAAACTCAACCAAAAACTCTCAACCATGCTATCAGTACCTCTACAAACTTGTCAGCTTTGAAAATTCAACAAAGCTCAAATGATGATTCTTTTGATTCAGTCGCACAAGGCTTAACTCAAATTGGTCAAACTGAAACAAAGATTGGTGAAGCTAGATTACAACAAGATGCTTTGATTAGAACACACGTTAATGACCAATTCAGAAAACAATTAAGAACAAACTTGCAACGTTCAGATAAAGCCAGAAAATTGGTTGAAAACAAAAGATTGAGTTATGATGCTGCTAGAGCTTCATTGAAAAATGCTAGACCAGAAAAAGAAGCAAGTTTAAGAGTTACTTTAGAAACTTTAGAAGATGAATTCGCTGCTGCCACTGAAGAAGCTGTTTCTGTTATGAAAAATGTTTTAGAAAATACTTCAATCTTGAATGAATTGGTTGAATTGATCACTGCTCAATTGGCTTACCATAAAGCTGCTTCTGAATTATTATCACAAGTTTTGCCAAACTTGCAATCTTTGAGAGATGATGCTGGTACCAAAGTCTTATCCGACATTGAAGATAATGAAATATAAGCTGTATACTTATGAGTCTTCCCCGTGACATTCATTTTTTACTTTGTTTTTATAGTTTTTGTTACCCAACTTGAAGTTGGCTACTGGATCCTTTCCTTTAGAGTATAAGTTGCTGTGTATGTTTTGAGGTGTTTATTATTTTCTATATATGATTTCATTATTTATCATCCTCTTCGTCTTCACCTTTAGTCTTGACATTCCATTGACATGATATATCCCATCTACTACCTTTTGCATTATAACTAACATATTTGATAAACTTCAAGACAGATGGATCTCTAAGCATCAAAGAGAAATGGTTCCAGCTTGCTTGATTATTAACCACGACAGAATCATCTTCACTCTTTGAACTTTTGTAAATAGCTGGATCATCTTCATCACCATCTTCTGGATCTTCAGTTACCATACCTAATTCATAACCACCCAGTTCACCACTTTCCCAACCTTTAGAAGGTGTAAGTGATAGAGTGGCTTCTAATAATGCATCTAATTCCGAATCTTCATTGTTGATTGAAGTTGCCAATTTGAAATCATGACCTGGTCTAAATCTTCTAATTAGAATTTGATCAGATATTGGAACCAAATCGGTAATCAAACTTAGCCACTTTTTGAAACTTGTTGATTTTAAAAAGCTTGCTAGTTCAATTAACTTCAAGCTGCTTTCATGTTTAGTAGTCTTTGCCAATAATTTGAAATTAGGCCCTTCTTGAGGACCTAAGTTGGAATTAGTAACGCCTTCTTTTGTTAATGGTTCTTCTTGTTTACCATCCATGTATAAATAACGCCATTTATGTGGCGGTAATGAAATCTTCCAAGGGAATTCAACTTCATCTTGGTGCTTTGGCATAATTTCATCTAATTCGGTGTTCCTTATTTTCTTCTTCAACTCATCGGCCAATTCCTCATTTAACAAATCTTTGATTTCTATAAGAGATTCATCAATGAAAACTTTTTGTAATCTTTTGATTTCTTCAAGTCTCAATAACGCTGGATTCAAAAATTTTGAAAGATATTCTAAATCAATTTTATCTAAACCTTCAAAATTCTCATAATATTTAACTTCATGACTTGAAAATGGAATTCTAACTTCTTTTGGGAAGTCAAAAACCTCCAACTCTTTACTCTCCAATTGTTGTAGAGTACTTCTTGCCTCAGTTTTTTCTTGTTCACCTTCAATGAATCCATCTTCACCAGGTTGTGGGATATGGTACCAACCCTGAATAGACAATCTTTGCTTATCTACCCTAACTTCTTCAACATCATGGAAACTTAGCCCTGGTTGAACATGGAAAAATGCAATTTGATTGAATTGTGGGACTAACTTGGCACTTGGGTCAATTTTTGGGACATTTGGTACAATAGAAGGAAACAAACGTAATGCACCACCGTAATGTTCTTTCCAAATTTTATCAGGTTCAGGTAAATACAAAATAAAACTGACCCTTCTTGAGCCAATGACATCATCATGGGTTAATAAATGACAACCTTTAGTATAAGTATTGATACTCATATCAGTCTTGGTACCACTAAGCTTCCCACTTTGAGTAACTTCTGAAATGAAATCTCTAAATTCTTGAGAATATAAGGCTTCTCTCAATTTGAATAATGAAGGTAATCTTGAAAGATCATCCCAATCTAATCCTGAAAGATTAGCTAAATCACCACTTTGGAAAACTTTATAAATATCAGTTTCCTTTTTTGTGAAGTGAATTTCATTTTCAATCTCTTTTCTAACATTTCGTAGCAATGTATCATCCATCAAGTTCTTGATTGTACCCCATCTATATGGTTCAGAGTCACTGATTGTTTGAGTTAGATCTTTTCTGAACTTTTCATCAAATATTCCTGGACCAAAGTATTGTTTAACATCAGTACGATCTTGGAATTGGGTACTTTGTTTCTTTGAATCTTGAGCTGGTGCTTCCTCGGTGGATCTCTTTGGAACACACATTCTTGACCTTTGAAGATTAAATAATAGACCAAAAGAATATAGAAATTCGTTCAAGTCGTTGAAAAATTTTTGTCACTAATTCAAGATTTTAGGAAATCGTACAATTTTTTTTCATGGAGCTCATCTCATGTCACCCATGAAAATCTGTCAATACTTTACGGGTGTTTAAAGACTACCAAGATTTCCAAGTATGAAGGATAAACTGATATTTGATGGGTTCAAGGTGAAGAAGTTGACTTGAAGTGGTGATATGTGCTATAATAATTTCCCATCATATGACATTAGCTCTCTTTGAGCTTAAAGAGTGACTTACAAGCCCCATATATACTACTACAATAACTACCTATAATTTCACAATCCATTAGAAAACGAGATCATGATCAAGGAGCATTTAGATCTTGAGAAAATGAAACTGAGCTTGACTCACCTTCATCATTTTGCTTAGTTTGTTAGATATAGATATAGATGGTTTGTTGTTCGAATTTACAAGTTCACCACGTCCACCTTAGTAAAACGGGTGTTAAATTAAAGATTTCCATGGACATCAAGTGTAATGAAAGTATCGGGGTATATGAGAACAATAAATGGCTACCACCTATTACAGTTGCCTTGAAGAGTGATAAAATCAACCATTTCTTTGAATTTCAAGAAGGTCTTGACTTCAGTATTATTAATGCTTTATTAGAGCAAGTCCGAGAATTGCCTCCGTCAATGAGGAGCATTGATAGTTGAGAAACCCATTCAACTACGCGAAGTTCAAAACATTAAAGAAAAATCAAAAATCATAACACCTATTAATATTTGCTCCAAAGACTATGTAAAAGTTTTAAAATTTGGGATATGAGCAATGCCATTTCATGTGTTTTATCAAAAAACGCATAATAGAATAAGCCACCCTTTGCTCGTACTGCGACTCCCTCTCATATAGCACTCCCATCTGACACGATGTAAGCCATCCACTCATTTGCCACCTTCTTTTGTTTCATTTAGGTTACGGTGATGACGATCTAATGGTTCAACAACCAACTTATCAAAAGAGTACATCTGACTGATCTTGGATTGTCTTTGTAATACTTGTAATTCCTCACGAGCTTTACTTAAAAGTGAATGCACTTGCTCTGGATCTTTAACATCTTTTGATTCTTTGAAAGCATCTCTCGATCTTCTGATAAAATAATGTCTGAAGTTATAATTATTGAATCTGCTTGAAGCTCTGATGAATTGACGGTATAATTGAAGGACTTGTTCCTTAGCTGGAGGTGTGATTGAACTCATTTTAAAACAGTGCTTTGATTATTAGGAAAGCGTAGCTGCGAAAATCTCTCTTCCGATTTCTTTTCAATCTGGTTGTGCTATTGTTTTCAGCTTTGATGAATCTGAGTAATTTATACAATCTAGCCTCGAAAGGCAAAAAAAAAGTGTTGACGATATGATTCGCGAAAATTGGTTTTAACGTGGTCTTACCGGATTTTATCTGAAATTATTCAAAACAACAGCAAAGAAGCGATTTCACTTTCTTCAACAAACTCGAAATCTTCAACTCAATTGAATTAAAAAAGCTTCATATCATGGCTGTTGTTACCGGAAATTTCCATGTGGACTATGTGATCACCATCGCTGTCACCTATCTTGTCACCCTCACTCACATGGGTATCGATTTGGCCCAAAAACTCTACATTTTTTATCCAGATGTCACTATTGCTCTTGCTGCTATTGTTGGTGTGATCGGTCTCATTTACTTTATTAGAAACATTGTATCCATAGTTTATGGTTTATTCATCACACTGGTCAGATTGGTGATTATATTGACAATTGTATCTATTGGTTCCTGGGTCTACTTTAGAGGTTTTGAAAACTTTCAAGGTGACTTCAAAAGAGTTGTTGATTTTGTGGCCCATTACGACCAGCATTCTCTTGAAGAAGTCAAAGAGTATGCATCCAGTGTCAAAGACCACTCCCACACATTGAAACAATATGTCAATTTATAATTAACAAGTGTATACTACTATAAAATGTGACAGTATTAATATTACTATGAAACTTTTGATCACGTGAATTTTTGACCGGTATCCTCGGATCATCGTATTTTTTTTTTTTTTTTTTTTGGCTTAGCGATTGTTTTGGTTCAACAGGAAGTGAAGGCAGAGCAAAAACAAGGGCGTTGAACTTGTCCATTGTTTAGCCCTCAATCCTATAGAAACACAGCGTTGGATATTATTGATTGGTAAAGAATCATATATTGATACAAGATGGTTAAGGATACTTCATACTATGATATCTTGGGTATCTCCCCAGATGCGTCTCAGACTGACATCAAAAAGGCATATAGAAAGAAGGCAATGCAAACTCATCCCGATAAACATCCAGATGATCCAGGTGCTGCTAAAAAATTTCAAGAAGTTGGTGAAGCTTACCAAGTGTTACAAGACCCTCAATTGAGAGACAAATATGACAAGTTTGGAAAAGATGAGGCCGTCCCTGATGCTGGATTTGAAGATGCTGGCGAGTTTTTCACAAATATTTTTGGTGGTGAAGCTTTCCATGATTGGATAGGTGAATTATCAATGTTGAAAGAATTGACTCAAACTGCTGATGTTCTTGGTGGTGACGAAGAAGCTGCAAAAGCCGCTACAGCTGAAGCCAGCGGTGAGAGTACAACAACTGGCGGTGAAACCACAACTGCAACTTCAGAAAAGCCAACCGAAAGTTCTTCTGATCTGTTACATCAACCAAATGGATCACAAACTACACAACAAGGGAAAAGACCTTCCACAAAGATCAGTAAAGAACAACGTGAAGAATTACTTCGATTGGAAAGAGAAAGAAAAGAACAAAAGGCTAAAAGAGTGGAAGAACTAACTGTTAAATTAGATTCAAAATTGAAAAAACTGATCTCAGCAAGCACAGATTCTGATGAATTAACAAAATTTAAAGCCCAACTACACAAGGAAATTGAAGATTTGAAAATTGAGTCATTTGGTATTCAATTATTACATACAATTGGGAAAGTTTATAACCAAAAGGCTTCAGCATTTTTGAAATCTCAAAAAACTTTTGGTATTTCCAAAATCTTTACATCTGTTAAACAAAAAGGGTCAACTGCTAAATCTGCTTGGAATATTTTATCAACTGCCCTTGATGCTCAAGTTGCAATGGAGGAAATGATTAAAGCCCAAGAAAAGGGTGAAGAATGGGATGAATACAGAAAAGCTGAGTATGAACGTACAATGACTGGTAAATTTTTAGCTACGGCATGGGTTAGCTCGAAATTTGAAATACAAGGTGTTTTAAGAGAAGTTTGTGATAAAATATTGAATGATAAATCAATTTCATCAAAAGAAAGAGCTGCAAAGGCTAATGCTCTATTGGTTATTGGTAATGAGTTTATAACTGCTGAAAGATCTGAAGATGAAGCTGAAGAAGCTAGAGTATTTGAAGAATTGATGGCCGAAGCTACTGCCAAGAAGCAACATAAGAGAAGATGAGCATCTAGTTAATAATTTTGTGTACTATAAAGCGCGCGTGTTCAAGATGATAATAGAAACTTACAATATTGCAACTCTAGGTAGTAATTTATTAAACACCAGATGATCCATACTTTGAAGCCCAATCTTCAAACTCGCTTAAATTTTCTTTACTAACACTTGGTCTAATATATTTCAATGAACTTTCGAAATCACTTAAATTTATAGGTCTAATTTCATCCCTTGCTGTTGATAATAATTTATCACCAAGTGATCTTAATGGGCCCATGGCTGCATCTTTTGCCAATGCAGTTATGTCACTCCCTGAAAACCCATCAGTCATTTCAATCAATTTCAATTGATCTTTCTCATCTAACGTATGTTTTTGATGTGCTAATAGCTTGATTATTTGGGCTTGTCTTGTTTCAGGTTCAGGTAGTGGAATATATTGACGACGAACAAATCTTCTTCTAGCAGCTTCATCAATTGCCCAAGGTAAGTTAGTAGCAGCTAAAACCAAGACACGCTGTAGATCTTCACCAGTATCTTTTCCGGCAGCTGCATGTGTTAGATCACTCCATTGGATTAAAAATTCATTCTTGATTCTTCTTGATGATTCATGTTCACCACTCTCGTTACGAGATGATAACAAAGAATCAATTTCATCAACAAATATAATTGAAGGTGATAATTTCTTAGCCAACATAAATAAAGCACGAACTAATTTTTCACTTTCACCCAAAAATTTTGAAGTCAAAGAAGATGCACTGATACTGAAAAATGTGGACTTAGATTCAGTAGCAACAGCACGAGCCAACATTGTTTTACCAGTACCAGGAGGTCCAAATAACAACATACCTCTAGCTGGTTCTCTCAATCCCGAGAATAAATCTGGTCTCAAAAATGGATACACAACTGTTTCTTTCAAAGAGTTTTTAGCAGTTTCTAAACCAGCAATATCATCCCAATGGACCTCATCACCGTGAACAACAATTTCATTAAAAATCTGTTTAGCAGCTCCATGGTCTATACCTCTAATCTCTGAAATGATTTGCTCTTCCATTTTTTCTCTAATTTCCTTTTCGCTTAATTGGGACTCATCTGCAAATCCATCAGATTCTTCTTCATTTGAACTTATTGTTTCAGTATCTTTTGTTTCACCTCTGATTGGAGATTGAGATCTTGATCTTGGAGTTGAAGATTTTGTTGTCTGAGGTTTCGTGGTTGATGATTTTGTTGTTTTTACTGCTGGTCTTGTTGTAGTGGAAGTTGATGTTGGCTTAACAGCCCTTTTAGCAGCCTGAGTTGTAGTTGGATTAGTTGCCGCTTTAACGCCAGGTCTAGTTGTTCGTGCAGTAGCTGAAGGCTTTGCTGTAGTGGTCGGTATAGTTCTTCTGGGTGTTGTTGATGTTGTAGTTGGTTTGGTAGCCGGTTGTCTAGTTGCAGCTGTTGTGGGCTTGGCTGTGGGTATAGTTTTTTTCAAAGGCACAGCTTTCTTTGGTTGTGTTACAGGAGTTCTTATGGTTGGTCTCGTTGTAGTTTGGGGTTTCGGTACAGCTTGTCTTGATACTGTTGGTTTCTGTGTGGGTACTGGTGAAGGTTTTGGTCTGTTTATAGGTAATGGTTTTGTTTTCGGAATTGGTGGTCTAGATGGTGGTGGTTTTGGTGGAGTTGGTGACGAAGCAGTTGTTGAAGTGGAATCACTTATTGGGTCATTAAAAGGTGACGCCTTTCCATCAATATCAATTAAATTAGGGGTTGAATGCACCACTGATGGGAAGCCAGGCTTACTTGAGCCAGATGTTACTCTTTTGGAAGGCGAATCAATTCTTAATTTTTCAAATTGAGAAGCAACTTCATCATTAGGTTTGGATCTTGCCAGTTGCGATTGTGTGCCAGTAGCTTCTAATTGGGAAAAGGCATCATCTCTTTTCAAAGTTTTCAAATCAAAATCAACATCTTCAAAACTTTGATCAAATATATCATCAGGATTATGACTTTTGTTGAAAGCTGAAGTGGATGATGAGTTCAAGCTTTTGGAAGTTGACCAGTTTTGTTTGGAAGGTTGGTAATACATGGTTGTGGCTGCGATTTTGGATAATTCTGAAGGTTTGTTGGCGTAATTATGATTTGAATTGAACTTATGGGGTCTTTCAGGCCTCAAAGTTTTCAACATTCTGGATGAAGATTGAGCTGGTTGCTGTTGTTGCTGATTCTGTTGAGGGCTATGACTTCGAAGAGTTGGAACTGAATAAGTCGAATTGTTTGATGGATACTTTGACAGATTCTGTCTCATTTCATATTTATTAACCAAATCGTCATATGCTCGATTAACTCTATCGAGGTGTCTCAAACCTTTTCTATCTAAGTCTTCAATTCCTTCTCTTAGATAAATTTCATCAGCAGAATAGTTTGATCCGGAGTAAGCCTTATCAATCAGGTCCAATTTGAACAAAACGTGAGTATGGAGTGCCTTCCAACCTTGTACAGCTTTTTTCAATTCATTCTTTTGCTCTAATCCTAAGTTGTAAATGGTTTTGTTCGCTGTTTCGTTGTATAGATCAGTCAAATCATCCAGAGGAGCACTTGGTTTTTTCCTTATGAAATTCATACTATGCAAAAGAGAAAGGTGGGAAAACTGAGAAGGCAATAAGTTGGGAAATTGTTGATGGATAGCTTATTGACCTTGTAGTATTATCATGTAGCTTATGAGCAGCAGATTTGTGATTTTATTTGGGGGTATAGTATAATGAACTATTTGAGTGAGTCTCTTGACCTATGATACAAACACAATAAAAGGGTTTCAGCCAGGCAATTGATCAGTGGTTCTAGGGAATTAGTTATTATGATGTATTAGTAGTAGGCTGTGGATGAGATTTGGTATTTGGTGATGATGTTTTTGTTATCAGCTAAAGAATGACTACTCTTGTCTGAGTATTAAAGCGTAATGTGGTAGGGCTAAGCTCATCCAAATGATCAATGTTTTGTATTTTGGTTTTTTTCTATTCCTGTCTTTTGCTTTTGAGCAGGGGCACACATAAAGATTATGTCATCGTCTCTGTGAAATTATAGTGTAGTGAAGACTCTAGAGCATGAATACTGAAATTATGGTAACTTTGAATAAAATGAGATCAAGAGCTTTCAATTACTTATATAACGTATTTAACAAGATTGGAAAGTATCTCAATAAATGTTTCAGTACAAAATCCGCGAAATATAAATAGAAACTACGTCTTTAATTCAATCATATTCAACAATGTGTATATTGAATACATCTAAGGATATCTTGATTTAACGGGACACACTGCCGTGTAACACGACGCAGAATGTTCTTTGTAACCAATGTTTTTCTCACCACGGTGTGATCAACCTATAATTCACATTAAACCCATCCAGCCAATCCAAAATCCTAATCAAATCTCCTTAACTTAATAAGCGAAATAAGACTCCAACTTACGAGAAGAGGAACGAATAGAGGACGATTGAAGGGTAATAAACTTATTATAAGCCAAATAACGTGGTTGCAACTTTCTAAAGAAAGGGAAAAATAGATCAAAAGAAGAAACTAGTGAAAATTTTTGAAATTTATAGGAATCTATTTGCGGGTAAATCTCTAAAAATTCGCGAACATGCTATAAACTATAAACTATAGGGCATTCTATAAATCAAAAATAAATACTGTGGAAAATAATAATGCTGATATGATTGAAACAACTTTAGTGGCCCACCAGACGTGTTGGATAATGAAAGGACATAATGAAAAATCGAATTCCCACTCTTGTCTCTTTGTATTGAAATGACCAGTCATTATACCTGAATTTCCACCATATTCACCCATCATTGCACGAACTGTAACTTCTTTAATGGCAACATCTGAATTTTTACTTTTAGAAGCACTCCATTTAGCATTGGTTATGTTTTTATTATAGAACGTTTCACAGCCTTCATGATCATGACCTGTTAAAATGATACCTGGTTCATCATTAAAGATCAAGCTTAAAACACGTTGAGTAGTATCATAACTCAAATGATTTTGTGATCGTAGTAGATTAACCTTGTAATCTTCTCTTGCATCAGGACCATAGTAATCGATAAATGGACCATCAACACAAAGACCTTCTTCTTTATAGAATGGCACATGAGTCAATAAGATGGTTGAACCTTTAAATTTTCTTTCAAACAACTTGTAAAGGAATTCCCATGTGTACTCCAAAAATTCAGGTTGTAAAGCAGGGCCTTCTAATAACAATGAATTTAAGACAACAATTCTATAAGCATATGGAGTACCACGATTATATTCGATCCAAAAGTTATCCTTACCAAACAATTTGAAATATCTAGCCATATGTTGCCAAGTAGCATCACCTGAGTAGCCAATATCATGATTTCCTGAAACATTCAAGAATAAAGGTTCATTTTCAAATAATTGAGAATAATCTTCAGTATTCCAATCATAAACGTCACTATAACCAAATTCTAGATCATGGATATCTATAGCTTTCTTCTCATTTAAAAATTCCATCCAGTCAACTCTTTCATTCTCTTTAATGAAATCTAAAACATATTCACGTTCTTTATCAGGTTGATCAAATAATCTTGTAACATAACGTCTCGTTCTGTTGAAAAATTCCGAATCACCAATCCATTGGGAGCTAAACAAATCACCCAAGACTGCAACATGTGTTGGTTGTAATCTTTTCTTCATAACGTTATAAATATGACCAAGATAATAATCATTACCAAATGTGTCTAGTCTTTTGATATATGGAGTTGATGGCCAATTACCTTTAATTTGAGGATCCCCAAACGCGAGCATCTTGATATCTTTGATAGTTGGTGATTTGAATTTTGGCTTGAGGATATATTGATTAAGCAGGTCTCCTAAATATGGAGTTGATTGTAAATTGGTTAATAGATCATTTTGAGACAAGTTTGGTATGGATTTTTGAAATGACCAATTACATTTCTCTGGTGTCAATGATGGGTATGTGTAGATGTAAATATTTAGTAATAGTGCTATTGTAGACACTAAGTACGTGAATTTCTTAATGAATGACATTGTTGATGTTATTCACTAGTGATTATTTCAGGTTCAGTTTTGATGTTGTGTTCAGAAATGACATCTCAGAAAAAAACAAGATCTCGAGCCTGTCATGAGTCTATGTGTCAGTAAACTTATAGTACTACAATTTGAAGGAGGAAAGTCAGAGCAAAAAGAGGGTTTAAAAAACTGTCTTTTGAGACTGTGAGCTTTTATTATGAAAAATTCAGTTTTCGACTTTTATAGTCTCCTGAGATAATTGTTGATACCTACTTTGAGTATGTTGAGATCCAGTCACATGACTGCTATACTAAATTTGACGAAAAAAGCCCAAACTTCACTTCACAAAAAAAAAAAAAACTGGAGAACTGTGAACGAAATAAGCACTAAAAAAGATATACATCTGCTTGTGTTTCCTTCTTTTGGAATTTGAAGTTGACTTAGTGCTTATCCAACATCTCGTGAGCGTTTAAATTAGATCTATCTTTCAATTTACCATGGCTGCTCTACCAAAAAGAATCATCAAAGTGAGTTGTATCACATCTTGTGATAAGAAGTGGCAACCCAAATCTAACAATATTTTCAACAGGAAACTGAAAGATTAGTCAGTGATCCAGTACCAGGTATAACTGCTGTTCCCCATGAAGAGAATTTGAGATATTTTGATGTGACCATTCAAGGTCCAGATCAATCTCCTTATGAAGGTGGTGTTTTCAAATTAGAATTGTTCTTACCAGATGATTATCCAAGTGAGTATTAAATCAGAGCGGTTAATGGAAACCCACAACATACTAACATGAAATCCAGTGATTGCACCAAAAGTGAGATTCTTGACAAAGATCTATCATCCAAATATTGATAAATTAGGAAGAATATGTCTTGATGTGTTGAAAAGTGAGTATTCACATGTTTATTTGCTTGATTAAGATACAATGTACTAACATAACTAGATAACTGGTCTCCAGCTTTACAAATCAGAACTATCTTGTTATCAGTCCAAGCATTATTGGCTGCACCAAATCCAAATGATCCTTTAGCCAATGATGTTGCTGAAGAATGGCTAGAAAACGAAAACAGGGCCATTCAAACTGCTAAAGAGTGGACCAAGAACTATGCGAAGGAATAGAGAGCGGAAACATATGAGCTGTGTATACTAGAGTAATGATGATGTCCCTATATAAAGCGTTGATAGGTGTAACTTTGTAGACTGAGGTTGAATCAGCGAGGAATTCGCGAATTGGCTATTTAAAGTACTTGTAATCGGCATGTCGAGAGCCATTTGTGATGCCCGAAAGCATCAACTGAGTGCCAAAAGGGGCCAGAGAATAAGGAAATTTGGCAATACTTTACTCTGCCTCATCACCATCATCATTTTTCCCAACTTTACTGACTCAATCTAACAAATCCACTCTTTTCTGCCTATTCCACCATACAATTTTGGATTTCACTCGTTTTTTATCGGTTCAACCGCGTTTCTGAAAATAAAATTCGCAGGAGAAAGAAGAAAAAAAATTCAATCCGAAGAATCTTCAATTAGTAACGTTCTAATTTAGACAAGTCAACAGAGCAAGCTGCTATACATTTGATTCACAGGGCGCTTGGTACTCCAGCTGGACATTGGAACTATAGTCGCAATCAACGCCTAGCTACGCCTGAACACTATCAGCGTCTCATTAACAATAGATCAAAGAAGTGACACGGATCCCATTTTGATCCCGGTTACACATTGTTCTAGTCAGAGAGTGGTAAAGAGATATTTGATCTAGTTCAATCCATATTCACACAATAGACAAACAAGAACTGTTCATCATCAACTTGCTCGCCAATTGGCTATTTCTATCCGCAAGCGTATTATTTTATTGAAGAGATTGTTGGTGCTATCGCTGTCCCCTAAATATTCACGTTTTCAACAATGGCCCATCCTCAAGGCCATGAGGACCTCGATCCAAATACATCACCAACAAGCCCTTTTAATGACAACAGATCACCTACAAGTCCTTTCAATGACCAGAACCAATTCCAGGATATAAACCTCAATAACGATGCATCAAATTCTTCATTAGATTTACCCAAAAGATCATCTGGTTCAATTTTGAGAACAGGTTCTTCAAAGAGAAGAAACAATAATGCAAGAATCGTCTTTAGTGACCACGATACAACCATCAATGAAGATGATAGCAAACTGGAGGACAGTAATGAGTTGACAAAATCATTATCCACTGAATCTTATTCAAATACTCCTAAGCTACAAACTCATCCAAGGTTTGAAGATACTAATGAAGACTCTGTAATAGATGCTTCTGATATCAATAGAAAGGACTCGGTGATGAAAAGACATCGTTGGGGTACTCAAAGGAACAAGAAGGGAAAACCAACAGTTGGAAGAGCTAAAACTTTAAGATGGAAATCAAGACATGAAAAACCCAATCATGATGATCCTAATAATAATGATGATTCAGACAGTGATGAAGATAAAACCAAAAACAGAGCCAATGAATTCCGTTCTGTGTATCACAATATGCCATTACCTCAAGAAATGGTTAATGAAAACAATGAGCCTTTAGCACAATATCCAAGAAATAAAATAAGAACAACAAGATATACACCTTTGTCATTTCTGCCAAAAAATTTAATATTCCAGTTTAAAAACATTGCAAATATTTATTTCCTTATAATGATTGTCATGGGATTTTTTAATATTTTTGGTGTGCCAAATCCTGGTTTATCAATGGTGCCGTTGATTGTCATTGTCATTATAACTGCTATTAAAGATGCAGTGGAAGATTCAAGACGTACAGGTCTAGATATGGAAGTCAATAACACACCAACACATATTTTGAGTGGTATTCCAAATCATAACACTTCTGAAGACAATGTTTCATTATGGAGAAGATTCAAAAAATTAAACTCAAGAATGATAATGAAATTTTTCAAATACATGGATGAACATTTAACAAAAGAAGGGAAAGAAAAGGCAAGATTATCCAAATTAGCTAAAGAATCAATGAATATGAGAAAATCATTTGACAGTTTTGAGGATAATAGAAAATCTTTCCAAATGGATGATTTACAAAGACAAAGTTTTGAAAACCCATTCAATGATAATTATGAAATTTCACAAGATGAATCAGTGATAGATAAAAACATAATACTTCCAACAGCTTCACAGGAACAAGCCAAGTTTGAAAAAAACTTTTGGAAAAACGTTAAAGTTGGTGATATCGTTAGAGTCCATAATAATGATGAAATTCCAGCTGATATCATTCTATTATCAACTTCAGATGCAGATGGTGCTTGTTATGTGGAAACCAAGAATTTAGATGGTGAAACAAATTTAAAAGTTCGTCAAGCATTAAAAGCTGGTCATCAAATTAGACATTCTCGTGATATTCAACGTTCAAAGTTTTGGGTAGAAAGTGAAGGTCCTCATGCCAATTTATACAATTACCAAGGTAACATGAAATGGTATGGTGAAGAATCTCAAATCAGAAATGAGCCAGTCACTATAAATAACTTGTTACTAAGAGGCTGTTCGTTAAGAAACACAAAATGGGCTTTAGGGATTGTTATTTTCACAGGGAGTGATACTAAAATCATGTTAAATTCTGGTGAAACTCCAACTAAAAAATCAAGAATATCAAGAGAATTGAATTGGGCTGTCTTGTACAATTTCTTTTTATTATTCATCTTGTGTTTTGTTTCAGGTTTAGTCAATGGTATTTCATATAATGAAAAGATTAATTCAAGAATACAGTTTGAATTTGGTACTATTGCTGGTTCACCTGTTGCTAATGGTATTGTTGGGTTCTTTGTTGCCTTGATTTTATATCAATCATTAGTCCCAATTTCACTTTATATCTCCATTGAAATTATTAAAACTGCACAAGCATATTTCATCTATTCAGATGTCAATATGTATTATGAAAAATTGGATTATCCATGTACTCCAAAATCTTGGAATATTTCAGATGATTTAGGTCAAATTGAATATATTTTCAGTGATAAGACTGGTACTTTAACTCAAAATGTCATGGAGTTCAAGAAATGTACAATCAATGGTGTCAGTTATGGTCGTGCTTATACTGAGGCACTAGCAGGTTTAAGGAAAAGACAAGGTGTTGATGTTGATGAAGAATCTGCTAGAGAAAAGAAAGAGATTGCAAAAGATAAAGAAGTTATGGTTCAAAGCTTGTATGCAATGTCTCAAAATTCTCAATTAAGACCTGAAGAAATCACTTTTGTCTCCAAAGAATTTGTCGATGATTTGAAAGGTGCTAAAGGTGAAGAACAACAACGTGCAAATGAACATTTCATGTTATCTTTGGCTCTTTGTCATTCTGTTCTTGCTGAAAAGGATAAAAATGATGTTGGTAAGATATTGTTGAAAGCTCAATCACCAGATGAAGCTGCCTTAGTTGGTACTGCTAGAGATATTGGTTATTCATTCTTGGGTAGAACTAAAAAAGGTGTCATTGTTGAAGTTCAAGGTGTTGAAAAAGAATATCAAATACTTAATGTCTTGGAATTCAACTCTACAAGAAAGAGAATGAGTGCAATTATCAAAATCCCACCACAGGTTGAAGGTGATGAACCAAAAGCACTATTGATTTGTAAGGGTGCTGATTCTATCATTTATTCAAGATTGAAAGCTCAAAATGATGAAACGTTATTGGAAAAAACTGCGTTACATTTAGAACAATACGCCACTGAAGGTTTAAGAACATTGTGTATTGCTCAAAGAGAACTATCATGGTCCCAGTATACTGAATGGAATAAGAGACATGAAGTTGCAAGTGCTGCCTTGGTTAGAAGAGAAGAAAAAATGGAAGAAGTTGCAGACTCCATTGAAAGAGAAATGGTGTTGTTAGGTGGTACTGCCATTGAAGATAGATTACAAGATGGTGTTCCAGATGCAATTGCCGTTTTGGCACAAGCTGGTATCAAATTGTGGGTCTTGACAGGTGATAAAGTCGAAACTGCCATCAATATTGGGTTTTCATGTAACTTGTTGGGAAATGATATGGAACTGTTAGTTTTGAAAACAACAGGGGTTGATGTTGAAAAAATCTCTGATGATCCAAGAGTTATTGTTTCAACTTTGTTATCAAAATATTTGGATGAAAAATTCAATATGCAAGGTACTTGGGATGAAGTTGAAGAAGCCAAGTCAGTCCATGAACCTCCACAAGGAAACTATGGTGTTGTCATTGATGGTGATGCATTAAAATTGGCATTACAAGGTGATAATATGATCAAGTTTTTGCTACTCTGTAAACAGTGTAAGGCTGTTTTATGTTGCAGAGTTTCGCCTGCTCAAAAAGCTGCTGTTGTTAAGATGGTTAAAGAAAGTTTGGATGTTATGACTTTAGCCATCGGTGATGGTTCAAATGATGTTGCTATGATTCAATCTGCAGATATTGGTGTCGGTATTGCGGGTGAAGAAGGTAGACAAGCTGTCATGTCTTCGGATTATGCATTTGGTCAATTTAGATACTTGGCAAGATTGATTTTAGTTCATGGACGTTGGTCATACAAGAGATTGGCTGAAATGATTCCAACTTTCTTTTATAAGAATGTTATTTTCTCATTAGCCTTGTTTTGGTATGGTATTTTTAATCAGTTTGATGGTACCTATTTGTTTGAATATACCTATTTGATGTTTTATAATTTGGCATTCACTTCGTTGCCAGTTATTTTCATGGGTATTTTTGATCAAGATGTTACTGATGTTGTTTCACTATTGGTTCCTCAATTATACACTACAGGTATCCATAGATCAGAATGGACAATGTATAAATTCTGGTGGTATATGGCTGATGGGTTATATCAATCTGTTATTTCATTTTTCTTCCCATATTGTTTATACTATAAAACTGGGCTCGTTACTTTTAATGGGTTGAATTTGGATCATCGTTATTGGCAAGGTACTTTTGTTGCTTCAATTGCTGCCATTTCATGTAATTTATACATTTTGATTCATTTGTACACATGGGATTGGTTTTCATTATTATTCATTGGTTTATCAATCATTATTGTTTTTGCATGGACTGGTATTTGGAGTTCTTCTTTAACATCGGCTGAATATTATAAAGCTGGTGCACAAGTTTATGGTTCTACTTCATACTGGGCTTGTCTATTTGTTGGTATTTTGATTTGTTTGCTACCAAGATTTCTTTATGATGTTATTCAAAAATTCTTTTATCCAAAAGATGTTGATATTATTAGAGAATGTGTTGACAGAGGTGATTTTACTCAGTATCCAGCAAACTATGACCCAACAGATCCTGAAAGACCAAAAATTTCCAAATACTCTGCAGATTACTCAGTTGAAAATCAAATTGTTTCACCATCTTCTCCAATTTCTTCAAGACATAAAAATTCATCAGTATTTAAGAAACATAGAAAATCACACTCTAATAGATCCAATGATTATCCAATCAATTATGATGAAGAACTAGACACTGAAGAAATTTCAATGCAATTTGTTGATGCACAGGGTACACCAAGATTTCAACAACATGACCATTTCAATAATATTGATGAAGTTAATGAAAATGTTCAAGATTTTGTACCAAGAACTTCATTAGACAGAACAAGATTATCAATGTTGAGAGATAGACAGTTGGGAGATGGCAGAGTTTCTGTGGAGAATGCTAGAACTTCGCTTGATTTACCGGGTTTAACCAAAGCAGAAACATTAATGAGTAACAGAAGTAATCAATGATTTATTTCTTTAAAACAAAAGGACCAAACTATTTTAGTTCACACACACCAAGGGATTGTACATTACACATTTTTTATTATTATTTTTTATTATTTTCACAGTTTTTTGTTCAAAAAGAAGGAATCATTTATGTATTATTATACAAAGACTCTGTAAGTTTCATGTTAAACCATTACTTTGTAGTTCAGTAATTAGTCTTGAGTCTTGAGATGATTTTGTCTCTTCCTTATCCAGAGAATTTCCCAATTCGGTAAATTTGGATGATCGGTTTTCGGAGAAGTGCGCCCATCATGTCGAGACGTGAACTAGAAAAATTGAATTCTTTTGATATAAATATACTAATTTAATTTTATTATAATCGAGCTGTGGAATTATACATGATTTATAAGTATACTCGACATGATTTATTTTTTTTTTTTTTTTTAGTTGATCATGTATTTGATGAACTTGGATGAGGAATGCAATTACGCACCGCGAACCGCTTGGATTGTAGGCTTCTGGCTATATTGTTGGAATTCAGGCTTCCTTATAATATCCTTCTCAGATTAAAATTAAATAATATAATGGTATAATTATAATATAAATATTACGCCCGCGGATCGGTAATTTTTTTTTTCTTAGCTAGTGTAAATATTAATGATGTATATTTTGATGATTAACATGCAGATGAGGAATATGAACCGCTTGGATTATAATTAATGTTATAGGCTAATTCTCGCTATGTTGGAATTCAGGCCAGCTCCTAATTAATATATAATATTAATATCCTTCGATATTCATGAGCAAACTGAGAAACCTATGTAATATTTAATATCTGAATATACATTCGATCAATAATTATGCCGTACTGTATTAAATATTTAAGATCTAAATCGACAAATAATGCTATATATAAAATTGAATATATTATAATAATTGATATTATATATATTTACGTAATTGCATTCCTCATCCAAGTTCATCAAATACATCAACTAAAAAAAAAAAGGTCGCGCGGATAATTAAGCAGCCTATAAGAACTCACCAAGATAGAACTCCTAATATAATTACTTTTCTTGATGAAGTACGGCTTGTTTAGTTAATTCTGAGGTAATTAAAGAACGACTAGCTTAAAGGATCTGAGCATTATTCCTTTATTCAACGTCGACGTGGTCCATTATAATCTGTTCATTAATGCAATTGAATTACACAAATTAAATCAAGATATAAAGCTGCACCTGAGCGCCCACACAATATTCTAAGTCGAAAGCTGCCACCATCATAAGCAGACGAGCTTTCAGCTAATATAGAGATGACTTCATGTTAAGCAATATAGGAATTATACATGGGCTGTTAATTTGATAGAAATTCTGAAGATTGTATCAAAATCGAAATCATGAAAAACAAAAACCAAGCTGAACGATATTCAAATACACTGGCAAACTGAAAGTACACTTTTTAAAATCAAAGTTAGGTACGTACTAACTTGCAAAGTACAAAGCAATCCTAGCGGAGTTGCTAGTGTTGGTATTTAATACTGTATGAAGCAGGTTCTAAAGCCGTTTGAAACCAACTTTAACTATGTTGGATTTGATCTAAATTTTAACAAAGAATCTAGGAGACATTTCACAAGATTAAGTTTAAACCTTCAATTTTGACAAGCTTTGCCAAATACATAGCTCTTGTGTGCATGTGAAATGTATTTCAGAATTAAGAAATAGAAATTTATCTAAATGAAACATACAAGCTGGTTTATAAGAGTTCCTACGTCGACAATGTTGTCCACCTCGTCGTCCGAGATCTAATTTAGGATTTCTGTTTTCTGGTGAGGTAAGAAATACTAAGCTGGTGGGATATAGTTCCTAAAGGAAACAGTTACCAAATAGTGATGATTTGATTATTTTGTAGAGTTGGTTTAAGTTGTTGAATAAGTGTAAAGTTTGATCCGAATGTATAGTCAAATATAGCGCAGTACTGGCTAGTAACCTCTAAGGTTTAGACATCCAAACAAGTTTCAAATCACCAAAGCCAACACACATTATTTTGACTCAGATGAAAAAACTCATCAGTTCGTAAAACTTGTCAGGTCAAGAGCGGTCAACAATATTTGATTTTGACATCTTGGGTTTTCAGGTACTCCTCTCGCAGTTATTACAACCATTCCTTATCAGTGGGTCAAGCCCTGAAAGATGAAGCCCTAGTTAGAACTTGTTAGAAGCAATTTATAAAAAAAAATCCCAAACATCTTGTCAAATACAGGAATTGTGCTTCAAGATACGTTAACAGAGCAGACTTGTGCATTTTGGGTGAAGACAATTGATTTGAGGACATCACCATCATGAAACCATCAAATTCTGATAAAACAGGTTCGACTTGAAGGATGGATCTTGTAGTTCCATAGCAATCAATTGATTAATAGATCTCAATTGATGAAAAGACCGATTGAAAAGTTTTTTCATGGTTTTTTTAACTACCCTTAAAAGTTTTTTCTTCACAGACAAAAATCAACCAGACCGAAGTTTTTCCAGTTCTTTATTTGGACTTTTCCGTCGGTTTTCCAAAAAGACATGAGGACAAAACGTTTGAAAAGCCGTAGAAACAGGTTTTGTAAGGTAGAAACCGGTCTTTTAAGTGAGATGTAGAAAGGGAATTTGCAATTCATGGAGCATGAGCATCGGTTCCTAGTGTAGAATGGTTGGTCAGCCTCATTTATCCAACGGTTAATTGAAATGCTCAAAGGTCGATTGATCTTATAAGCTTTGGGTCGATTGATTTAATTTGTCCATGGATGGCTCGAGGGCAATTGTTGGGATCTTCAGGTACGTGCGTAGACAAGTAACAAGTTTGAGTTCAGTACAATTCCAAGTGTGAAAGTCTTGTAAAATGGTCAAAATAACCGTTGAAATTGAAGGTTTCCAGATCAATTAAAGAATAGATGAGGTACCCTTCTAATGTTCTGGGCTTTCGATTTGTATCATGCTATTCATCAGGTTAAAGCAGGTGTCTATGGTTGATGTGCTTTTGTTTTTTGGAAGATGGGTTATATGCACATAATTTATTATACATCTGGACATGGACAAGATTTAAGATAATCCGATGGAAAGACTGATACAGATAACTGGAGTACGAAGGAATCAAATCAAACGTTAAAAGGTTACTTTCAAAGGGTGGATGATAGTGAAGAGCTGTGCTTTTCTAAACCTAGCTTTATTATAGCAATATATCCATGGTTCATATGGTTTAATGGGATCAAAGTGGATAAATCAGTTGTACTCTTCATGTTAGGATAGGACACATGATGCAAGCTACTACGTTTACCCCATCAACCACCGTCCACTCGTGCTCTGTAAAAGCAATTTATGGACTCATAGCACTTATCATTTCCACAGTGATAACTACATGCTCTAGAGGGCTTGGAAAAGCTTTATGTAGCTCTCGACCTCAGCTCATCCATTGATCTGGAAACCATTAAAAGAAAGCCCATACTGAAAAATTTTCAGTTTATTTGCTGACGGTATAAAAGTGTAGAGATTCCCAACGCCCAAAGCCAATTAGTTAACTTACACAGAGGCTCAACATTGGCTTATTGTTCACTCAACTCTATTCATTATTTTTAGTGCTCTCACATTATTTGGCCCTACACTCAATTCCTCAGCCTACAAAAAGCAGGGATAAAAAAACACCTAACAACCACTCAAACATCAAAACTTATAAAAGATACAGACCCAATCAGCCATTGAACAGAGCTTCCTTTCTCGCCTGAGCCAATTGGTGAGTATACAATTATTTGAACTGGTTTGATTTATGTCCTCTATCGATGTCATTTGGCTTAGATTTCCCAATTCCGGAATTGATCAACAAAAGGAGAATTTCAATCAACGTCGAGCTCAAAACAAGAACTGAAAATTAGTTGAGTCTGTTTGGATTGTTGCACTGTGGGAAGGTCGAGGAAACAGGTACTAATAATACAGCTGACAGTCTATTTTATCACCAGATCTTTTGGAAACAAGACCATATAAATATTCATAGATTCAGCCTTTATTTATTAATAGCTTGCATTGATCAACGCCTTGAAGAATACAATTCTCGAGGAAGATCTTGAAGATTTTGCATCAAACCCACCAACAACAACAAGATATAGCTTTTAGACCAGGTTTCAACTCACATTCGAGATTCTCTCAGTTTCCATAGGGTTTACCAAAACAGAGCACCAGCCTACTTGAACGTTTAACTGCGGAATTGGATGTATTGATACAGAGACATATATACCAAACCAGATATCACAAAATTAGAGAACATAAACACTAACATTCCAAGAGTCTTCCTTCTTTACAAACCAAGACATTCTTGGCTATTGTACCCCAAATTCTATTGACATTTCCAATCGTTGTTCTCATCATTCCCAATATCTAATCTATAAAATCATGAAAGTTCCTGGGTAAGTCCTTCTTTTCTTGTTAATACTCAACCATCCAACTAACAAATATGATGTACAGGTTGAACTACAACCCCAACAATAATAATAATGAACTTCAAGAGTCTCCCATAATACTGCCAAACTCCAAACCTGCACCTGCACCTCCATCTACTAAAAAAGTTTGGAGACTGAAAAAATATCATAGATCTGAGGATGAAATTAAGACTCAACAACAGGATTATGAGAATCTAGAGTTCAACACAAAGAAAACCTCTACAAGAAGACCAAAGAACAAAAATGGTGGTCAACAAGAGTTTGTTTTCGTTGATTTGTCTCCCAAAAAAAAGGTTGCTGCTCCAAAAGATGATAAAACTGCAACTAATTCACCATCATCAACAACAACAACTACACCAACTACTTCAAAGAAACAAGGGAGAGTTTCAAGGTTATTCCGTTTGAATAATACAAATGATGAAGTTGTTAAAGAACAAAGTGCACCAGCTTCATTAATGTCATCTCCAACACATCATTATCAAAATCAAACAGTCAACCAAAAACCTATTCCAAAGGGTAAAATCCACCCAATATCAACAATACCTTCATTACCACCTCAACAACAATATCCTGCTCAAGCTCCAATCCAACCCCCAGCTTTGAAAAGATCATACACAACTGCTAATGCCGCTAGATATAACGAAAGATCTGGATCTTCAACTTCATTAGTTATGACTGTCTCTGAGAATGGGAGAGCTGTTTTACAACCAACTGCATCAAGAACATTATCCACATCTTCCTCAGTTTCGGACTTGTTTAGTTTGACGAGAATGAATTCTACAAGACAATCCCCAATCCCATCTCCAAAGAGAATGGAGTCACCTATTCATCAACAACATCTTGTTGAATCAGAATATTCAGACTATGACCATGAAGATTCTTCAGAACATGATTATGACGATGGTGATTGTGATGAACCAGATGCTACAAAAGCATTCTCCAAAATCTTGAAAAAACAATCTTCATCATCAGGAACTAATGCAGCTCGTAAAAGAGCAAACACTGCTGGTTCAACAAATTCAAACATCTCTTCACCTGTTGTTCCAAGATTACTCACCCGTAATCATTCAATATCATCAATGAATTCAATCTATAAGTCACGTATGGGGATTTCTCCATCAAGATCAAATATGGTACTTCGTCAAACTGCCCTATTACAACAACAACATCAACAACCATTATATTCTCCTCAAGAACAAAATGAATTCGAATTCACCTCCTTTTTCGATGACGTTAACAATAATAATCATCATCATACCCCTTCATCAAGATCAAATTTCCATAGTTCTGGTAGTGCCAATTATCATAAAAAGACAATCTCAATCTCTGATAATTTGGCCCAATTGGGTCCTCCTTTGGAAATCAATTCATCTGATAATGATCCAGAAAGTCCATATACTGCAAACACAGATGTGATGCTACCATTTGAGTTTAGCAGTGGAGGGTTGGATCATACTACTCATATTGCTGAGGATAATGACCATGATCATGATCATCATCACCATCATCACCATTTTACTGATGAGACTTTGAAAGTCGAACAAGATGATCATCAGTTTTTTGATTTTAATGCATTTATAAATTTTAATGATCAATCTGAATCGCATTATTAGGAATGTTTTCATTTCCTAATTGATGTCCATTTTTTTGCATAGTGCACTTTTGAGATTATCAAAAGTCGCCAACATCATCATAAAGTTCTACAATTTAAAGGAAAAACGAGAAAAAAAAAGTAAATATATACAAATTAGTCATGTTGTTTATCTGTAGCTGCTTTTCTCTTTTTCCTCATTTTTGTTGTTCAAGAATTGAGGCAACAAATGATATACAATCCTCTTGTGATTTTTCTGGATTATCCAATTGCCAAACCATGATTTCTTCAGTGATTTTACTCATCCATGGTCCTGGTTTTGTATTCAATTTCTTGATCAAAGTCTTACCATCCACAATTGGTTTCAACTTGTACGAATCTTGTAAATTTTCTTTCAAAATAACATGGTAGAATGATTCATATTTGGAAATAGTGGATTCAGTATCATTTGTTTTGATTAATTCATCAAAGAAATTAAACATTATTGATAAATTCAAATTTTCACCATATTGCTTCAACAACACACCAATAGTGGATCTTTTGAAACCTGGCAATTGATTAACAACTGATTGGTATTCTTCAGAGGTGGAAACAAGTTTGGTGACAACATCAGCATCTAACTTGGATAATTTCACACCTTCCTTGATGATAATCTCTGTTGCAAAAATAGGCTTTTTAACATGGACTTTAGTATTTCTCCATGGTCTTAGAATGATTGATAGCCAGAATAACATCTTGAGTTCTTTATCTTGAATGACATTATTGAATACCGAGTCCAATTTAGTTTCACTTTGGAAGTTTTTAACAACTGCAATGGAGTTTGAAGCTTGCTTTTCAACTTCACCAAATATACTATCAACTTGAGATTTATCATTACCCCCGCAAATAACATCTTCGAAAGGACCGAAATTGAAAATGGATCTCATTAGCTTGAGTTCATTGATTAGCTCTAAGCCGTATACTGGATTTTTCCCTTGTAATGTCTTTTCAATTTCAACACCAACCCTTTCTCTACTAATCTTATGTATCAATGCAGCTTTAATAGATTCTTCCTTCATAGCATTGAAAGTTTCCTCTTCAATTGAAAATCCAAACCTGCTTGCAAATCTAATCAATCTTAAAACTCTCAAAGGATCATCCAAGAATGTTTTCAATGGTTTTAATGGAGTTCTTAAAACACCATCTCTCAAATCTTCTAGCCCACGTTCAGTTAAATCCTCAACTTGATCTTTTTGTATGTTGTAAAATAAGGCATTCAAAGTCGCATCTCTTCTCAAAGCATCTTCTTGTGGTGTACCATATTTGATGATTGGGATTCTGCTATCTTCTGTATATTCTTCACTTCTTAAATTAACAAAATCAACATCCAAGCCATATAGTTTTGTTGTGGCAGTTTCTAAATGTTTCGACTTGGCTGGATTTTTGTCAATCTTATGAACGTTCTTTGGAGAAATCTGATAAGTGTCAAAATTATCAATCAAAAACTGTCTCAAGTTTTCACCAAATTCTTCACCAGTCAACTTGTTAATGGCAATATCCAAATCATTACTTTCATCACCTAGTAATTTGTCTCTAACCCAACCACCGGTGATTCTCAGCTCGAGCTTTTCACCATCATTTTGAGAGTTATAATCGTTACTGAAATCTTTCAACAATTGCGAGATCTTCTGCTCAGTCTCATTTAACTGAACTGTTGGATTTTTAACGTCAAAAGCAGATGTGAAAACCATTGTTCTTCTTGAGGTATATGGAGTGAGTAATGATTTGGTCAATGGAATTCTGGTGATACTTTTCAGCAAATATCTCATAAAAGCAATTGAAGCACTTTAACAAATTCAGATAGCCAGAATAGAAGCTTTAAGACTTTGAAGTCTTTCCTTATAGATCAAACTCATCACAGACAGCTTCATAGTTCAAAAAATTTGGATTCGCGAATTGATTTTGTTGTTATTCGCCCTCACGTTTTGACAGATTTCCGCGAATTTTTCCAAATGAAAAAAAAAAAACATAGGTAAACTCTGTTTATTATGGCGTTTTGTAAAATTCTTGAAGCCAAATCATATAACCATAATCATATCAACGCTTTTTGTTATCATTCCAATACAATAACGCCTAAGTCGATCTTTTGTGTGATTTTGACTTTGACTTTTAACCCGTATTTGTTATAATTGAAGGAAATAAAAACATCAAGATGTCTGATAACAACAAATATAAATATGAAGAGATGTCCAACAAAGTCCTAAGGCAGGACAAAAAGCTATTGTCAAATAGAGCTGATCCTCTAAAGGATGCTGCATTATCGGCTCCAACTTCATTAGCTGGTAAAGTTTCCCTCAAAGATATGGGTTCAAGATCTGCCACCACTAAAGATGCTGATGGAGATGAAGAAAAACGAGTGGCTAAAAAGGTATCTGATCAACTTAGAAGTGAGGAACTTGAAAAAAGAAGAAACATTAAATCAAATCGCTTGAACAACTCTACTTTGCTAGACTCTGGGAGTATAGAGAGCTTGAACTATTACCCAAAATCACAAGAAACAAATGAAGTTTATGAGAAACTTGTATCATGGACTTCCAACCAATTTGGAAATGATATTCAACACAATATAGTTATTAGCGCTACAGACTCAATATTAGAGGTTTTGAAAGATGAGAAATTGACTGATAGACAGAAGAAGAAACAAATTGAACAAGACTTGGACCTTAAGATAACAGAAGATTCATTTTCCGAAGCTATCAAATTATCAAATGATATAACAGATTATGATGCTCAAGATGACAATGAAGGTGATGACAATGAAGCTGGTGTTGCAGTTGACTTTGAAGAAGAAGAGGAACAGCAAGAGCAACAAGAAAGTGAAGAAGAGAGTGACGATGATTTTGCTGGGCCCGCCTTGGACGATTTTGTTCAAGAAGAAGAGAAGGAAGGCGAGGAAGTTATCAAATTTGATCAAAAATCCTCAGCAAAGGCCGAAATAATATACATGAAGGATGTTGATGCTTTCTATTTGCAAAGAATAATATCTTCAGCTTTTCCAAATCTTGATGCAATGGGTGTTCAGTCCTTAACTTCAACGATCTATTCTTTGATAGAGGAGCAGTCTTCAGATAAAGTGTTTGAGCAGAAATTACTGGAGAATATAGATTCCGAAAAGATTGATTTCGTGAGGTTATTGATAACAAACAGACAAACAATTCTTTGGGGTACAAGATTATCAAAAGCTGATAACTCTGATGAGCGTCAAGCTATATTGAAAGAGCTAGAATCTAATGACTTGAAACATTTACTCGATGAATATGAAGAATCTGATGGCACAGAGAATGATCGTGTCACTAAAAGAAGAAAGGTTGTATCAACTGGTGACGAACAGATTTCAGCTATTAGAAAACCAAAAATTGTTAACCTTGATGATCTAACTTTTGACCAAGGTTCTCACTTGATGACAACTACCAAAGTCAACCTACCGAAAGACTCTTTCAAAAGAACCAAAAAGGCTTATGAAGAAATACACATCCCAGCCCCAGCAAAACCTTTGGATGATTCAGAATTAGTTTCAATATCAACCCTTCCACCATGGGCCAGACAAGCTTTCCCAAGCGCAGAAACTTCCACTTTGAATAGGATCCAATCCAAAGTGTTTCCAACAGCATTCAATGATGATTCCAACATATTACTTTGTGCTCCAACAGGTGCTGGTAAAACAAATGTTGCAATGCTCACCATCCTAAGAACACTGAGCCATTTCAGAAGAGATGATGGTTCGTTTGACTTGAGCAACTTCAAAATTGTATATATTGCCCCATTGAAGGCATTAGTTCAAGAACAAGTGCGTGAATTTTCGAGAAGATTAGAAGTCTTTGGTATTACTGTTGAAGAATTGACTGGTGATTCCAACTTGACAAAGCAACAGATTTCTGAAACACAAATTTTAGTTACAACTCCAGAAAAATGGGATGTTATTACTAGAAAAAATTCAGATACCAGTTACACAAACCTTGTTTCCTTATTGATCATTGATGAGATTCACTTATTACATGACGAGAGAGGTCCAGTTTTAGAAAGTATCACAGCTAGAACACTGAGAAATGTTGAATATTCAGGAAGAGATGTTAGATTAGTTGGTTTATCAGCGACGTTGCCTAATTACAAGGACGTTGCTAAGTTCTTAAGAGTTGACGAGTCCAAAGGTTTGTTTTTCTTTGATGCCTCGTATAGACCTTGTCCCTTAGCTCAACAATTTATTGGTATAACTGAAAAGAATTCATTGAAAAAAACTATTGCAATGAATGAGGCTTGTTATGATAAGATATTGGAAGCCGCAGGTAAGCACCAAGTTATCATTTTTGTTCATTCAAGAAAAGACACTTTTAGAACAGCCAAATGGCTTAGAGACAAGTTATTAGAAGAGGATAAATTGAACTTATTTTTAAGATCGGATTCTGCAAGCATAGAAATTTTGAGACAAGAATCTGAAAAAGTTAAAGATACCGGTTTAGCTGATTTGTTACCAACTGGATTTGCGATCCATCATGCTGGTTTATCTAGAGAGGACAGATCCGCTTCTGAAGACTTATTTGCTGAAGGTTATGCACAGATCTTGGTTTCAACGGCTACATTAGCATGGGGTGTGAATTTGCCTGCTCACACAGTTATTATAAAAGGAACAGAAGTATACGCCCCAGATAAAGGTGATTGGACTCAACTATCTCCTCAAGATATCTTACAAATGTTGGGTAGAGCTGGTAGACCTAGATATGATGAAAGTGGTGAAGGTATAATTATCACATCTCAATCAGAAATCCAGTATTACTTGGCTGTTTTAAATCAACAGCTACCTATTGAATCTCAATTGATGGGAAAACTTGCTGATAATTTGAATGCGGAAATTACCCTGGGGACCGTGAAATCTTTACAAGAAGGTGTTGAATGGTTGGGTTACACTTACCTCTATGTCAGAATGCTTAAATCGCCAGATATCTATAGAGTTGGACCAGAGTATAAAGACGATGTTGCCCTAGAATGGAAGAGAGCTGATTTAATACATTCAGCATTAACAGTTTTACACCAAAACAACTTGGTCATTTATGACTCAGTGAGAGGCACAGTCCAATCAACAGAACTGGGTAGAATTTCATCTCATTATTATATCAGTTATGAATCAATGTCTTTTTACAATAAGCAGCTCAAATCACATTCTTCTGTGATTGATATATTTAGAATATTTGCATCATCATCTGAATTTAAGCTAATTCCTGTTAGACAAGAAGAGAAAGCAGAGATCAGTAAACTAATTGAACGTGCTCCCATTCCAATCAAGGAAGATGTCAATGATCCAAGAGCTAAAGCAAACGTATTGTTACAGTCTTATATTTCAAGATTGTCCCTAGATGGGTTTGCGTTAAATGCTGATATGATTTATATCACTCAATCTGCAGGAAGGTTGCTAAGAGCTATTTATGAAATTGTCCTGAAAAAATCTTGGGCTGGCTTATCCAAATACTTACTGGATTTATGTAAAATGGTTGAGCAAAGAATATGGTTGTCAAACTCTCCTTTCAGACAGTTTCCTGATTGTCCTCCAAAAGTTATCAAGAACACTGAAAGCTCAAATTTACCATGGTCAGAATACTTCAATTTAAGTGATCCAAGTGAAATGGCTCAAGCTATTCGTGATGATGCTTCAGCTAGAAAGGCATTTGAGTTGATTAACAAATTTCCAAAGCTCACAATGAGATGTTCAGTTCAAACATTGACACCAACTTTATTGAGATTTGAGTTGGATGTTTTACCAGAATGGAATTGGGACCCAAGGTATCATAACAATGCAGAATCATTTGTACTATTTGTGGAAGATACAAATGGTGAAAAGATTTTGTATTATGATTCATTTTTGGTTCGCAGAAACTACATTAACCAAGAACATTTGATTGATTTTACTGTTCCAATTGATACACCGGTCCCTCCAAACTATTTTGTCACCTTGATTTCCGAGAAGTGGTTGCACTGTGAATACAGAATTCCCGTTGTTTTCAATTCTTTGAAGCTTCCAAAAAAATTTCCAGCCCCTACCCCGTTATTAGATCTTCATCCTGTTCCTATTGATGACTTGAAAGTCCCAGATTTCATCAGTTCCTTTGATTTTGACTTTTTTAACAAGTTTCAATCACAAGTCTTTAACACTTTGTACCATACAGATGAAAATGTATTTGTTGGGATTGTTAAGGGATCTGGTAAAACCGTTATTGCTGAGCTTGCTTTGTTGAATCATTGGAAACAAAACAAGGGTCGTGCTGTTTATATTTGTCCTTCTCAAGAGAAAATTGATATTTTGGTGAAACAATGGTCTTCAAGATTTGGTGATATTGCTGAGGGTAAAGTAATCAATAAGTTTTCAAATGAATTGTCAAGTAATTTGAAGGTGCTAGCCGATAGTCATGTCATTCTATCAACTCCTCAACAATTTGATCTAGTTTCTCGCCGTTGGAAGCAAAGAAAAAACGTTCAATCTATTGAACTTTTCATTGCTGATGACGTCCAAATTGTTGGTAATGGTGCAGAAGGCTCTGTTTATGAAAATATCATTTCAAGAATGAGGTTTATGTCAAGTCAACTAGAAAACAAGCTAAGAATTGTGGCTTTGAGTACATCTTTAGCTAATGGCCGTGACTTTGGGGAATGGATTGGTGCTGATAAGAATAACATTTTCAATTTTTCATCAAAAGAACGAATTCGTCCATTGGAAATTCATCTTCAATCATATAATATCAATCACAATCCTTCTTTAATTCTTGCAATGATAAAACCAACTTATTTGGCTGCTAAAGGATATGAAGCTGGATCATCTTTGGTGTTTGTCCCCTCAAGAAAACAATGTATTGAAATAGGGTTGGAATTTTTAAGATTGGCCAATGCTGATGAGACATCCTTTTTGAATGCTAACATCGAGGACATCGAACCTTTGTTGAACAAAGTGTCTGACCAATCATTGAAAGATTCCTTGAGTAGTGGTATCGGCTTCTACTACAAGAATATGGGAGCTACTGATAAAAAAGTCGTTGAAAAATTGTTTAATAAAGGTGCACTTTCAGTGTTATTTGCTACAAAGGATACTGCCTTCTATGCCCCAACTGCTAATTTGGTCATTGTTTTGAGTACACAGTTTTATGAAGGAAAAGAACATCGTTATATTGATTACCCAATCAATGAATTACTAGAAATGATAGGCTGTTCTCAAGGTGAAAACGGTGAAAGTGATAAGGTCATGATTTTGACGAACAATTCCAAGAGGGATTATTACAGAAAATTCCTAAATGAATCATTACCAGTTGAAAGCTTTTTGAATGTGTTCTTACATGACGCGTTTTTGAATGAAATTAGTACTGGACTGATTAAATCTAGACAAGACTGTATTGATTGGTTGACTTTTTCATATTTCTACAGAAGATTGCAAGCCAACCCAAGCTTTTACGGTGTTAAAGATATCTCTCATGTTGGTCTATCTTCATACTTGACTGAGTTGGTTGAAAGTACATTGAATGAATTATCTGAAGCCAAATTGATCGAATTGGAAGAAAATGACGAGGACGAAGAGGAAGAAGAAGAAGAAGAGGAAGAAGAAATTAGCCCATTAGATGGTGCCCTAGTTGCCTCATACCACAATGTTTCATTCATCACCATGCAAACGTTCATTTTATCGCTCACTAGAAAGTCAAAATTAAAGTCTATATTGGAGATTATAACTTCTGCCTCAGAATTTGACTCATTACCAATTCGTCAACATGAGACATCCATTTTGAACAAAATCTATAACAGAGTTCCTATAAAATCATCTAGTGATGCCAATTTTGAATCACCATATCTTAAAGCTTTCATTTTATTACAAGCTCATTTCTCAAGATTAAATCTCCCTCCAGATTTAGCTTCAGATCAAAGATTTATATTGGAAAAGGTTTTGACTTTGTTATACACAGCAGTTGATTTGTTATCTAGTGAAGGTTATTTGAATGCTATGTACGCTATGGATTTGAGTCAAATGGTTGTTCAAGCTGTTTGGGATACCGATAGCCCATTGAAGCAAATTCCATTTGTTGATGATGCTACAATTGAAAGGGCTTCTAAATACAAAGTTGAAAGTGTTTTTGATATCATGTCTATTGAAGATGATGAAAGAGATGATATCTTAAGATTGAGTGACCGCCCATTGAATCAAGTTGCTGAGTTTGTTAACAAATATCCAAACATTGAAATCTCGTATTCCTTGGATCTTTCAGAACCAATTGTTTCAAATGATCCAAAAAGGCTTGTTGTTAACGTTACCAGAGATGAAGAACCTGAAGACCTTGAAGTTGTTGCTCCATTTTATCCATTCAGCAAGGCTGAAAATTGGTGGGTTGTTTTGGGTGATTCACAAACCAGACAACTATACGCTATTCAGAAGCTGGCACTTTCCAAAGAGGAGCAACAAGTTAAGTTGGATTTCACCATTCCAAGAGCCGGTCATCATAATTTATCAATTTGGTGTATGTGTGATTCATATGTGGATGCAGATAAAGAAATTTCATTCGAAGTTGACGTTGAGCAAGGTGAAGAGGACAGCGAAGAAGAGGTTGACGAGTAGAGTTAGTTCGTGTACTACAAGTTTTTTAATGATTGTATTATAGTCTTTTATGACCGGTTCATTATGTAGTTGTTCATTACAAATTGGCAAGTTCCAATTCTTCTTCACGTGAAAGCATCTCTTGATCTCCATCTTCGTCAACTTCTTCAACACCACTTGAAGTTTGTTGTTGTTGGAATTCATGCAATTGTTCGATATCCCACACTGAAACACCTTCTTGATCTTTTGGATCTGTTGGTTGTGCCATAGTTCTCAAAAATTGTTTGGCATTAGCCACTGCCATATCAGTTGATAGATTCGTGTCAGCATCCATCAAAGCTTGAGCTATCCATTTTGGTAGTTGACTTTTCTTTCTTGCAAAACGACGATCAGCCAACACCATGATACCGTAGTCATCTTTACCTCTTAAGACTCTTCCTAGACATTGAGCAGCATGTCTCATAGCATCGAATGACAAAAAGTCATTTTCTCTAATTTGGTAATGGTCTCTCAAAAACTCTAATCTTGCCTTCAAAATTCTTGATTCAGTATATTGGAAAGGAATACCGATCATAAGAACTGTACGACCGTAATGATGATCAAAATCGATACCTTCAGAAACTTTACCACGAGCAACCGATAACAAAATAGCACCTCTCCCATTTGAACAAGCAGTTCTATAAGTTTCTAGAGCTAATGCAGTTTCTTGAGCATCAGGAGTTTCCACAAGAATCAATTTGTATTTCCAAACTTCATCTAAAATACCCATAGTTTGCCACATGGAAATGATAGATTCCATATAAAGATACGAAGGGAAGAAAACAACCATACCATCTGGTGTAATTTTAGCAAACTCAATCAATAAAGACCCATAGTTTCTAACAATACTTGGATCATTTCTAATTTCAAATCTTGAAGAAATTGCAACTTGATCAGAACCTTTTGTAACAATCATTGGTAAAAATGATCTCTTGGCTAATGTCATTGTATAAGATTCTTGAATAACTGTTTCAAAATTCAACATTCTTGGATACATATCCAATGGAGAGATGGTACCTGATGTAATAATGACAGATGAAAATCTATCAAATATAGGTTTTATGGCAATGGAAGCATCAAGACATGTGAATCTTAGGATTGGATTTGGCACTGTAGCATTCTCAGTTTCGTAAGGTTCTAAAATCAATGCAAAACCTTGTTCATAAGTTGAAACTAATGTGGCAAATGTCGCAACATCTTTCAATGCATTATAATCTTCAATATCTGTGATTTCCAATGTCCTAACAAGTAAAGATAATCTTTCGGAACAAAACCTTAGGGGCTTTCTTTCTATGAACGTCAATTGCTTCACGTGTTGTAAAAATGATGTTGGAGTTTCAGATATCACATGTAAAACTTTCATCCTAGTTTTCAAATATTCAATAAATCTTTTCAAAAATGCAACAAAATGTTCAGCTCTTCTGATATTACCAGGAACAGCCTCCTTCAGTAAATCGTCAGATAACACAGGTGTTTCCAACATTTGTTGTTCATTATTTATAATGTCAGCAGCACTCAACCCAGAAACTAGTTTTTCATATTCTTCTTGTAATTTTCTAGAGTCCGTCTTTTTAACATCATCAATCCTTTTGGATAACCCATTTGCACCCTTGGCTGCTTTTTTCAACACATCATTTGTCAAATCCAATGATAATGATTCAATACAGACGTTATCAATATTATGTGCTTCATCAAATATAACAATTGCATCTTTTGACAATTCCTTGGAAACTCTTTCTGAAATCTTTGGATCTAATAAATAATGGTATGAATAAATAATGATATTACAAAATGGAATCATACGACGAACTGTGAAGTATGGACAAGTTTTTTGATCTTTACAATAATTTGTTAAAGAGTCAAATGAATAAACACCTGGTGGAACTAGATTATCTGGTTCTAATTCATATAGGTTTTCATGAAATTCACACAAGTCCACATTTTCTGTTTCTCCTTGTTCTATTTTTCTTTTAGCCATACCTGATGTCATTCTTCTACATTTTTCATCAACAATCGAACCTTTCTTTTCCTTGCTCACTGTTGGATGTAAGCATAAATTTTTTCTTGAAGTTAACCCTAATCCTCTGAAATCCTCCACGTAACCTAATTCTTTAGCTCTATAGCTCATCAAATTATGCAATTCTATCAAGGCTTTTTCAATTTCTGACATGGTACGTGAACAATAAACAATCTTTCTATGTTCTGGGTAATGCATTTGGTAGGCAACTGTTAAAGATAATAATGAAACGGTTTTACCAGTACCTGAAGGCATTTCCAATATACTGTTACCACCAACATCTAGTGTCTTTTTGATATCTGACATATAAGCATATTGTTCAGGATATATACGTGGATATGGGAAAAGCACAGGCAAATCATCAATATAGAACTTCATTCTTTATGGTTTCTGGCCCAGTTGTTGAGTATGATAGCAAGGATCTTGAGCAACAGAAAGATGGTTCCCAAGCTTATTGAACAATAATGGAGCTGAGCTGGATTCTTGGATCGAAGTGAGCTAGCTGGTGAACGATGGCGTTAACGATGATTGTATGTTGATTTGCTTCATCTTGATGTTTTCGTGAAAAATTAAAGCGAATTCGCGAATTCTTGACTAGGCGTATAAGAAGCGTTCAATTACAAAGAAGACGAATAGAAGGATTGACCTGGAGGGATTATAGTTATGAAGATTCTTTTCATCAAGAGTTCATCTACGTTTAAATGAATTTCAACTGTTCATATGACTCGACTTTTTATATTCCTTTCATTTCCATGCTTAATATATCATAACTACCTGCAACATCAACTTAAATCACACTCTTCACTTCGAAAAATCTCTTCAAGTAATAGATTTGGAACAATGAGTTAGCCGCGACAACAATCAATTGGAAAACTGACCAATATTTAACCCTGTCATTAGTTGATTCTGCAGTGTTTCTATGAGTTCTTTCACGAACGACAATATATCCCTAAAAGAAATTGTTAGTCTTTAATAATCATTAAAATTCTATCAAGAATAACTTACTTGTTCATTTTTAACTTCAGAAGTCAAGACACTTAATCTTTTAACTGCAGCATCTAATGAATCTGAATTTGGATCATTAACATCAATATAGACAACACCGTGAATATTGAATGAAACATCTTTTGTATCAATTGATGAGTACTCATTTGAAAAACAGTAGCCATATTTACCACTATCAGCAGCTTTTAATGAAACATCACCATGAGAAGCACCAATTTCTTGTTTCAAAATTCTACCAGATGGTGATTGGATCTAGAGAGTAGTTAGTAAGAGAACGATCGAAAAATAATAGAAAAACCATCACATACCCAGAAGTCACCAGTTAACTGCTCGGTAGCACGAGCATCTCTGTTACCAAATTGGAAACTTATAGCTAATTCATCATTTTTTCTTAGTTGTTCAAAGAAACATCTTTTGCCATTAGCTGGCAACAAGACGTTATGAGCCGTCACAATTGACAACAAAGAGACGATTGTGAATAGTATGGAGTAACGCATTTTGAATGAATCCCAAATCACTAACTAATGGCTTTAATGAAGGTTCTGATCCGTTGTTGTTAGTTGTTTTGTGTCCTTTTTTTGGATCGCGTCGAGCTGGAAAAAAGAGGTTGAGCCTTTGAAAATTACATAATCAGCATACGCGAAAAGTGCAATTTTTAGCAATATTTCACAAACATTTGTTAGTAAAAGTTGATCGTATTTACTTGTAAAGGTCTAAAGAGTGATCTCTAATTCCATGGCTACAATAACAATATAACATTAATGCATTCTAATTGAAAATACCATGATTATTTACACATATTCCCAATAAAACTTTAAACCATTAACCAAAACCAATTGATCTGTAACGAAACCAATTGATCAAAATAACCAAGTTGTTGTGATGTTTTTTTTTAAATTTTTTTAGTTCTTTTTCTTTTGTTGTATTCTTAATTCCTTAAGCTTATTTTCTACGGAATGAAGAACCTTCAGTCAATCTAGCTTTACCACCGGTTGGTTGAGATAAGACAGTAGCACAAGAATCACAAGTGACAGCAGTTTGGGCATGTGAGAAGACAGTGGTGATGTTTAAACAACCTGGACATTTAACATCCATGAAGAATGAACGTGGTGATTGAACCAATTGTTTTAATTTGTGTTTTCTGGCTTCTGAAGCAGCAGTTGGATGTAATAAATCTTGAACTAAAACCTGTAATATTTGTTAGTAAAATGATCCAAATTAAAAGTATTGGTATGAAATGAAAATAGATGGCTTATGATTTGAATGATTTTCAGTTTTGGGGGGTAAAGAATATCTTTCAATCAAAGATGTGTGAATTTTATCAAAGAGCATCAACTTTACAATAAACCAAATCACCCTATAAATCTGCTTGATGCCTCTTTAGAACCACTTGGAATCTTCATTGAAATTACATAGGATCAATATTCAGCACTCTCCCTAGGTTTCTGGACTTCTTAACTTCAATAAAATCACTTAAACTAGTTGAAAAACATTAATCTTTAATCAAAATTCACTAATTCACACTTGTATCACTTATAATATGCATTCACTATTACACTGATAACTTATTTCCTCTTGTTTTTGATGTCTACGAACTACGATTCTCTTTCATCCCTTATGACTGAAAAAAACTTCACTCTTATCAATATTTCTCTTTTGGGCATCTTTGATGTGGTTTGGATCTTCTTTAATGTGTTCAGTGTATCATTTCAATATCATGGCCTTTCTCTATTCTCATTTCTCCCTTTATATCTTCTTAAACGTACCATATTGACTTGTTGCTATATGCTCTCTTCAATCAGGTACTTTGTTGAACTTCCCAAATATTTTCAATTTTTTTCACTTTTGCCATCCACAGACCGTAAGCAGAAAGGAAAAAAAAAAGAAGCATGTGGTGTTTGGGTGTGTGATATTACGTAACGCAGCTCGTCTTCAAGTGGCTAATTTCCCGATTCGGATGTTTTTGAAATTCATCTGCGATTTGTGGCGCTTAACAAAAACAAAAGTGATTTTGGTGGTGTTTTGTTGGTTGCGGCACACCCACAGTCACTTTTTTCCTCAAGAGAGATGGCTGGTGTTGGGATGCTGGAGAAAACTGGTTATTGTTTACACTTTGGATTTGACATATGGAGACAGGAAGCTACAGACGTGATGAGCTTAAGCCTTAGATACACAGATCTAAGACCCACCAATAGATTATAACCTTTTTATAATATGTGGATGCTGTGATACAGGAAGGTGTGAGAATAAAGTTCCAAGGTATTATAACCTAGAGATCTACTTTATATCTGATCATTTGCAAGGACAAGTACAGCTACTTTGTCAAACGAATTAGAGACAATTGAACCTTCAATGTTAATGATTTGCAAAGCATAGATAAGCTGGTCTAATTGATGCTGATTTAACAACAAAAGCACTGTGAATAGCTGACAATCAAAGAGTTTGAACAACTCAGACTTGTCATTAGATGTCTCATGAACAATCCAATATAATGAGCTCAAGAAAGCTCAAGAAAGCTATATTGAATGATCACTATTAGACGTTACTCTAAGATAACTCAAAAAGAAGCAGTTTCTTTATTGAAACACTCATTCAATTTTAATATTATAATTTTGATTTCAGATTTATAAGTCTTCTGATCAGCTGCAGTTTTGCATGTTTAATTTCCTTATTGTTTGGGACTTAATATCACTAGGATCGTGCAGTAGAAAGTGTTATACAACCAGCTTATACAGTAAATATCAACAAAGATAATAAATGTATTCAAATATAAGTATTCAATATAAAATAAAAGCATAATTCAATAGATAATAAAAAAAAGACACTCAACATTGATGGTACCATTAATGAAGAACGACGACCAGTAATCTGGACTCAACACACACATCTCTCAACACTGTAGCTGAAACCCGATCAAAACCCTTGCAATAGAAACCTATATAATATAATAATGAACAGAGCAAACTGAAAATGACCGTAAGTGTCACCTTTCGAATGTTCACTAGTTCTTACAAATACAATACTTAATTCATCTAAATAAACTTAAAATCATAATTAATCATATAGCGATAATATTCTTTAATTTCAGTTCTCATTCTCTTTTAAAGCTTCATTCTGTTTTCCCTTCTTTCAAGTATTTATAATAAACAAGTTCATTAAATATGTGTCCGTATAGAGAAGGTTTGTAAATAGTAGGGTTTGATCGTTAACAAATAGGCAAATAATTTCGAAACAAACAAACAAACAAAAAAACATTCAAAGCAAATAACAACAAATATAAAAAGAACTAAAACAGTAAAACAGTTGTAAAAAAGTGGGTTCTAAGTAGAATATTTGTTTGTTCATGCCATAAAAAAAGTGATGGTGGATGTGAGTTCCAAAAAAACCAAGTCATCAATTCAAAAATAACACCATTAGTGATGGGTTGGTTCAAAAATTGATAATAATAATAATAAAAAAAAAGGTTGGTTATTTCATAAAACAGAAATAAAAGACTGTAGAATAGACCGAAATAAAAGTAATATAAAATGGATAATATACATGTTGGGGATAGGTCTGTGTGGGTAGTTTGGTTGATGATATTTGTGAATATGGGGATGGTGGTGATAGTGATGATGATTGTCAAGTGTTGAAAAAAATCAAATTCCATAGGGTTTTAATTGCCATTGTGTGTAAAAAAAATAATATCAGTTCCTTCACTTTTTCTTGTATATTTGATGATTGAGGTATATGTATAACAAAGATGAATAATATGCAAACAAATATAAAAAAAGTAAAATATATTTGGAATATGACAAAATTTCAAGGAAAAGAACGATAAAAGCACAATTAAATTCAAACACGAATGACAGGTTTATAATTTCAAAAAACTCAATTTCATTAAATAATTTCAACAACACAACAAATGATGAATGACAAAGTAGATAAAAAACAACAACAATATATTAAAAAAAAACTCAAACAAAACAAAACAAATTCTCAACTTCTAACGAATTGTTTCATTTATTTAGCAGGTTTTTTTTGCTTTTTTGGAGGTGTCATATTTCTATTTTGTCCCACAGAATTATAATTATACTTTGGTTTCTTTTCAGCAGGCTTCAAAATTTGGAATGAACATAATAAACTTTCATCAACACTCATCATTGCACCGGCATTATCAAATTCACCACAATAATTTGGAGCACTAAATAAAGTAACAAGTTGTCTTTTGGAGAAGAATTCATAACCATCTTCAACAACTTGATGTGCCCTACAGATCAAATCCATATCATGTTTTTGTAAAAATCTTGAAACAACATCTGGACCAAAAGTGAATGAAACACCACGATCATTTTCACTCCATCCAGTGATATCTTTATCAGGATCTGACCATAATAAATCACATAATAAACCAACATCTGGTATATCTGTTGGTCTCATAACTCTTCTTATTTGTTCCATTGAATTTAAATCTGGTGATAAACCACCATGCATAGTAAAGATTTTTTCATCAATTATAGCAGCAATTGGTAAACAATTAAAACAATCAGTAAAAGTTTTCCAAAGTTTGATGTTATATCTTCTTTTACATTCATCATAAAACCCATAGATACGATTAATTGAAGCACATTCATGATTCCCTCTCAATATGAAAAAGTTTTCTGGATATTTGATTTTATAAGCTAATAATAAACATATAGTTTCCAAGGATTGTTTACCTCTATCCACGTAATCACCTAGGAATAAATAGTTTGATTCTGGAGGAAATCCACCGTATTCAAATAATCGTAAAAGATCATAATATTGACCATGTATATCACCACATATCTAAAACATTAGTTAGTAAAAATTCAAAAAAAAATAAAACAAATCACAAGTACTCACTTTGATTGGTGCCTCTAGTTCTAATAAGATAGGTTGTTGAATAAAGATCTCTCTCGCCTTTTTACAAAGAAAACGAATTTCGTATTCTTCTAATTGTACTTGTTGACCTGGTCTTGAACCTCTAACTTCCAATAGTCTATCAACGATGGAGTCGAGATCTGCTTCTGGTTCTTCAGCCATGATGGTAATGATGGGATATTATATGTATATGTATAAGTATTGAGTAGTGGTGGTATTCTTCAATTATATTGCCCCCTTTGTAACAAAATGCAAATGATAACAACAAATTTTAACAAATGAAAAACAACAACACAACAAACCGAGCTCTATTAATAAGGACGAACGGTGGCAACTGATTTCTAGTTGATGAAGTGTAATAGTCCCTTTTGTATGTGTACTATGTGTAGGACTTTGATTGGATCAGCCAAAAACTTCAATTGATCTTGTTGTTCTTCTTCTTGATCCTCTGACGTGTTTCAACCCTTGAAAGATGTCTCTCGTTTCTTCAGAAAAAAAAAATCTCAACCGGTAAGGCAACTAACGAAAACTCCTAATTGCTGGGGCCGGGTAGCGCGTTCTTTTCCGTTGAGGGCTTCTTGCTTGTGGCGCGTTTGGACGTTGTGGAATGATGGAGTAGCCTTTTGGTATGAGCTGCTCTTTTCTCCTACTTTGTTTATAGCAAAATGTGGTTGTGTTGAGTTGGAACTTGTTGATGTTGTTGTTGAGGGGGCAAAATTCACTTTTTTTTGACCAAATCGACAATTTTCGAAAGTTGTGTGTTTTTTTTGTTCCGGAATAGGACATTCGCAGGGTAACAGAGCTGGGGGTTTTGGGTTAAATGGGTGATAACTGGTGATTTTATATCGGTGGTGTACGAATTTAATGGGCTAGATGGAATTACCATATTCATTATCCCATACCCTTCTTTTCCCCTTCAAAATACCACACTTAACCACCAAATCATGGCCATCAGGTTGTGGATCTAGCAGTACTCGTTCGCGAAGTTCTAGAACAGGGTAAAAAAATTCAGATTCGCGAACAATCACCGTGACGTTATCTCCAGATTTTGTATGGAGAATGGCATTGATCTTACCAGAAACAGCTCTTTACTGCTCAATCAATGGAGCCTTTCAAGAACATATATCACCTCCGGAAAGTGGCACAGTCTAATTCCAAGCCATGTGCTTTTTGCTACAAAATAACTGGCTCTGTGCTGATTACAAGTGATGGATCTGTAAGTTTGAATACGAACAACACCGAATCAACAACTAATTCAAATATACTAGAGTGACTTCTTTTATACCTGTGATAGCCATTTAAAAGATGCAGCTTTTGCCACACCTATTTATGACAAGGAATATAACGAAGCTAAAGCCAAGAAGGAAGCTCTTGATAAAGAAATTAAAGAGTTGAAATTGAAATGGGACGAGAAGAATAGGTATGCTGGTTGGGATAAACTAGTTTCAAAATTTAGCTCTACAAAGAAAGATGGAAAAGATGATGACAAGAAGGATGAAAAGGATTCAACCTCTAAATCTGAAGAGACTCAAATCAAGGAATTATCTAAACAAGTTTCAAATCATGAATCAACTTTACAAAAACAACCAAGAACCTACCAATTAAATAAAGATATCTTTAAAATACGACTTGAGAAAAAATACAAGTCAAAACAATCTGTTCAATCTACACAACTGAATCAAAAATTAAAAGATCCTACATTCTTCCCATCAGTACCCCAAGCACCTCCAAATACTTAATAATTAACAGCTCTTTCATCAATCCAACATTCCCATTTTTCAATCTTATCTTTCAAAACACTCCCACTAACAACATCAAAATTACCTTCCAATAGATCAAATCTGAAATTAGAGTTGATAGATTGACCCAAATCACTAAATTCCTCATCAACTTCATCATTATCAACTTTTGAAATATTATGAGCGTTTAATTTCCTATATGAATCAATCTCCAATTCCAACAATTCTTTAATTTTTTGTGATTGTCTAGCACTAAACAAATCGGATTTATTACATCCAATCAGGATATCCACACCACCTGGTCTTCTTTCCGTTGTGGATAATATCTCATATAGAAATTTAGCACTTTCTGAAATTTTCTTAGGATCTATACTTGAATCAATTAAAAAAATCAAACCAAATATGTTTGTAGATGTTTTAATTTCATTGATTGTTAAATTGTGCAATTTATTATGACCTGGGAAATCAATCAATTTGAAATTTGTCTTTGTTTGTCCTGTACTTGGTAATGGGAACTTGGTTGTAACATTAGGTTCTTGTGATGTAACTGTAGGAGAAACTTTCCCAGTAGTTAACTATAGACAACAGTTAGACACTAATTCATTGTAGGATACAGAAATTTTAAAACTCACTTTTGTAAATAATGCAGTTTTCCCGGAATTTGATAATCCAGTGATTATAAAAGTTGGTAATCTATTACCTTGTTTTGTTAAGCCTGTGATTGCAATGGCATTGGTTTGTTTATGCAATATTATGAATACTGAAGTCAGTATAAGACCCACCAAAAAGGTAACGATATATATATTGGACATTCTTCTTTTTTTTCGGTGATGAATTGTTTAAATTATCAACCTTCAACCAGCTTTTTTGAATTTTCAACACCTACAAAGTTTTGGCAGCTTGAAATTACATAATCAATTTCGCGAAAATTCTTGATAATATCAAAACCTTTTGAAAAAAAAAATTTGACTTTGGCTTTGTGTTTTCTGGCTAATATATTTAAGCTTGACAAGACTTGGTTGTGGCAAAGAGTTCCTTAAATGATTTACCAAATATCTTTCCAGCATTTTCAAATTGCTAAAATATCTAACTGATTAAAGGACTATAATTGGATGTTTTTGTGTCAATTTGATTTAAATTTTAAACCTGATCTGAGGACTGGAAATGAATTGAATTTTTCAAAGAGTTTGATTGTGACTGAACCATAGAGTTGATTCAAAATGTGGTAAGTTTTATTGATATCCAGCTAAAATCCGTGTTTATATGGAGGGAAGTTAGACTTTATATGATAACATCCAAAATCTTTTAATCTATTAAAGTATCTGGTGAAGCCATTTTTGAGACCAATCATAAAGTTTTTTTTATGTTGAATCAAATAATTGTTACTACAAATTGATTTTTTGGCTGTTTATGATCAGTTTAAAATATTGCAGATTCATTTTACGTCTTCACAGTCCAATAATATCATTTCATTTTTGTTGGATATTGTTTTATTGTAGATTACTCGCGTTAACTATTGCGCAAGTTCCAAAATTATTAACAAGCCCACTATAGATCTAATAGGCAGCGCTTTAAAGGTGTCACGATTTGGATCCCTTTTATGTAACCAAATCAGCGCCAAAAACTAAGGGTATGCCTAATGATGGAAAATTAGCAAAATCGTATAGAGATACTAGTCAATTAGAAAAGGCGCAATTGAACGAGTCCCCAGAACCTGAAGATGGAGCTCTTATCGAAAGGGCTTTTAATTTTGTAGTTGATGAACTTGAAGCTGGTGTTAATGATGGTTATGTTAGACTATATATGACATTATTGTTTTGTATAAATGGCAAAATAATGGCTAGATATGGACTGGTGCAACCATCTTTATGTTGCAGAGCTTTAATGCATCTGTGGTTTGTGGTGTAGCTGTTGTTGGTTTTTTAACATTAGTGTATTTTTGATCTCTTACATGTAAGTCCATCATCATGATTTTCATTAATGTCAGTCAGACTTGATATACAACTCTATAACCTTATATCAGTAATTTGTAATTCACTACACTAAACCTTTGTAGCCATGAATGCTCTTTTCACATAGCCTTTAACCCCTCTATCTTCATACAACTCCATAAATTCTTGTCTTTGATCTTCTGAAACTGTTTTGGAATTCTTCAATTGATACAACATTCTTTTGACTTTCCACTGTCTATATGGGATCAAAGATATCAATGCTAAGAAATACATACAACCAACAAATATTTGACAATAAAAATATGGGGTGTGTCTGGTCAATGTATAATCTCTCAGATTCAATGCAATAACTTCTGCAATTAAGGACATTGTCCCAGTAAATGTGTTTGCCCACCCTAACCCTGCAGCAAATGAGTTCAATCCAACAACATCAACAACCAATGGAACAACATTAACCGATCCGATACCAAACAGTAAGCCCAGCATGATTGCAAAAACTATTAATGAAGAGTAATTTGTCAAGTTTATCCAAAATGCAAATATTAAAACCAATGAGTATAGTGTAGCAAACATTGTGAAATTAACACGACCAAATAATTCACTAAAGACCCCCATTAGTGGTCTTCCTACAGCTTGACTTAAATTTAAAACCACAGTGACAATCATAGCTTGATGTTGTGAATAACCCAATGTGGTTGCATAATTTGAAAGACTGAATAAGCAAATGTAATAACCAAATGCAATGAGACACGCCCATAATGTAGCTAGTTGTAGTGGTAAACTTTTCCAAACTCTATAATCGAAAATATGCCTGAAAACTTGTTTGATTGATTTATCTTGCTTATTTTGAATTGTGCTGTTTTTAGGGACTCTCACTTTGATTAAAAACATCATGGAGGAGCATATAACAAATGAAACAATAGCCAACATTCTATAAGCCCACTTATGATTCCCAGTTTTCTGCAATAGTTTATCAATAGATGGAGCAAATACAGCACCACCAAGGCCAACTCCTATATGGCTTAACCCATTAGCCAGTGCTCTTTTTTTTCAAAAACCATGAAGGTAAGACAATACTATTTGCTCCAAATATCAACCCAAACGAAATACCAATCAATAAACCTTGTGTGACATACAATTGACCAATAGTTGTAGCAAAACTAGCACCAATATATCCGCCCAATTGAATCATTATCCCCAAAGCTAAAGTCCATCTATACCCAATCTTCAACAACAACACTGCACTATAAGGAATGACACAGAGTGTTAAAAACACAATAATCCCACCAATTAGTCCAAAATCTGTAGCGGTACCACCAGGGAATAGATCTGGATTCTTGAGGTAAAATGATAGGAAAACTCCCCATGCACAATTTGGACCCCATGTTGCAAAATTCATTGCAGAGATGTATGCTGTGCAGAACCAACCATAACCTCCATCTGGTGGGATGTCTATATAGTCATCTTCGTTGAATGCGCCATGGAATTCCTCGTATTTGATGACTGTTTCTGGATCTTTGTAATTATCTTGTTGATCATTCATGTTGTTGAAGCATTCTGGTTAGATCTTGTGTAACTTGGAGCAGAATGAGACGACAAGAATTGAGGGTTTTCAAATGTTTTTTATACATTTGTGGTCATTGATGATCTATACAGTTCCTAAAGTTCATTATGCAGTGGAAAAGGATATTGTTGAGTCTATTTTACGAACGTATAAACTTTTTCATGTTTCTAAACCGCGAAATCACTCATAATGGGGGAAAAATGAGTCAGTCAATGGGGGTCTTTTCATGAGATAATGACTCTGATAGGATAAAGTATTACCTTTAATTTCAATCCAGATTTGATAGCTAATATGCTCTATTTTGAACTGTTCATGGTTGTTCAATCGTGTAATTGAACATTCATTCATTCTACCAATTTGAAAGTGGAACACAAGTTGAGCTGCCACTGTAGTACGTTCTTCGAGCCTTGTAACAAACTCAAAAGTTACATTTCAGATAGTTCAGATTAAAACTCTCATTAATAACGAATTCAACGTCTTTTGACTTGGACTTATCACTCACAAGTTGGATCAAAGGCAGTAAACTGTCGTACATGTATAGTTCGCGAAAAAGTATTAACGGTGTTACACGGAGTTAAGCAGATTTCAATCCTCGTTTTTAGTGACACGGGACTTGTTGGCAGCTTTTTCACTGACTGAACTTGGAAAATAGGCCTTTGAAAAGTTCTTGAAGCTTGATAGGGGATGAATATCATGGATAGAAGATGGATGCTGAGATACTGGTAATTATGGAACATCTATTAGTACTCCCAAGCAATTATTATGGGTAGTACTTGTTAAGTCGGCTGTTATTTTGCTGGTATAGCAAGTGTCTAATTAGCTAGGTGAGCAATCCAGAGAACTGCACCTTAATTTGGTTGAGACATTTTAAACAATAGATCTTTTTCAAAAAACCAAAACATTAATAAATAAACTATAAAAACGATCTGGATACCCCCTTACAATATTTATCAAGTTACATAAATTGAGAGTTCTATCAACCATGATACTGAAGACCGTTATCACCAGGAGCTCGCCAATTAAAGGGCCAAATACAAGAATACAACCATTTGGAGTAAGGTTCATCTCATCAACAAAGTCAAACCAAAGAACAATATTCCCTCCAGAACTTTCAAATGAGCCTCAGCATAAAAGTAAATTTGACATATCAACAAAATTGATCATAAACCCACCATTAGAAATTGATAAAGATCAATATATAACTCATCCAGCATTCCCACATCCACAACTTTCAAATAAAGACTGTGAACAGGTCCATTTTGTTCACAGGCAACCAATCTCAACAGGTGATAAAATAGCTGATCGAGGTGTTAAAATTTGTCGAAAATTATTCGATTTCATAACTGGTTATAAAAAACCAGATGATTTAGGAAACTTGAAAAATCATACAGTTAAAGGAACACGATATGAAATGACTGAAGAAAAATGGATGACTAGAGTTATATTTTTGGAAAGTATAGCGAGGCGTCCCTGGTATGGTTGCTGCGTTTGTTAGACATTTACATTCTTTGAGATTATTAAGAAGGGATAAGGCATGGATCGAAACTTTATTGGATGAAGCCTATAATGAAAGAATGCATCTTTTAACGTTTATGAAGTTGGGTAATCCATCATGGTTTACAAGGTTGATTATATATATTGGTCAAGGTGTTTTTTGTAACTTGTTCTTTTTGATTTATTTGATGAAACCAAGATACTGTCATAGATTTGTTGGTTATTTGGAAGAAGAAGCAGTTAGTACCTATACACATTTGATTCATGATATAGATTCAGGGAGCTTACCCAAATTTGATAAAGTTAAAATTCCTGAAATCGCATGGCTATATTGGACCGAATTGGATGAAAAATCGAGCTTCAGAGACTTGATTCAAAGGATAAGAGCTGATGAATCAAAGCACAGAGAAGTCAATCACACTTTGGCTAACCTTAAACAAGAAATTGATAGAAACCCGTTTGCTTTAAAACTTGATGGAATTCCAAAGAAGGATCAGCCTGATGAATATGATCTCAAGTCTTCTAGACCATCAGGTTGGAACAGGGATCAATTACACTTATGAATACAATGTATTGCCTAAATAAAATGCACACTAGTGTAATTTGTCAAAGTGTAGTGCTTACTGACACGTAATCTGTACATTGGATTTGTGAATTTGCGGTCTTGTAAAGTTTTGTAAAATGTTCGCAAAAACACCATTAGCTCATACAAAAACTATGATTCTCCTTTGAAATGTTTAGGTGGTATTCAATAACGGCAGACGGTCTGCTACTGGCTAGTGATATAAGCTCTCCAGAAACTTCTTCTTTCTATTGATGGAATTTGATATATTAGACCCCAAAGATTAAATACTTGAACAGAAACGTTTATGCCAACAGCTTGATTGTGATAACATCATCTTCTGCTATCTTGAGTCAAGTGAAAGAACCTATAATAGGTTAGGTGCATTTCAGCTATTTGATTGAATCCATTCATCAAAGAAACTACACTTTTTTATTCCAAATTTCAACTCGTTTTTATATTGCAAGTTCATTCTTAAAGATTGCCATAGGTTCTAAAATCTTACATGTCACCAAAAGTACTATTAAAACAATTACAATGGGGAGATTACCTCAATAAAGCATTTGGAACTTCAAGTGATCCCCAAGAAGCTCAAAGAGTCCAAATTCACCAACATTTTATGGATCTATTTGTCCATACCCATGGTCTTTCATACTATACCTTCATTTTTGCGTTCTTTAAAAATTGTCCAGATATAATATCAAACATCTCTGACCCGCTTGAAGTTCTTGTGAAATGTGAGATTTATGAGGTAACATTAATTGACGATGGAATAAATGCTGGCAAATCACAAATTAATGGAACATCCCAGTGCAGTACTAGAATTAAGAGCGAAAAGGCATTATGTATGTACATCAGACGACCAATGGTCGATATTCAACAATCATTTCGAAAGATCTTGAGTGGTTTAAGAGAAGTAACACCAGGAAATTCTTTGAGTCAACATTACTTAACCATTCATGAGCTCACGTCTACTCAATTGGTCAAATATGGGTTTTGCTTTACGATATTTAAACCTTGGCACATGAATAGACTCGGTGCATCAGCCATCATATTAAGATTACTGGCCAATAAAGATTTGGGTATGAACGAATTGAGATTAAGTGCAGCATTTTGGAGAAAAGGCAATTTCGAATTGGGGTTGTTACAACCTGCTGAATTTGAACCAAAAAGGGGTCTCTTGTCTTTGAAACAAATGTATGAGCCTCTAATACGGGCTAGAATGGGCTCATCACTAGAAGTAGGTGGTCGATCAAATGAAGAAAACAATGGTGTGCCTATCAGCCTGGTTAACAATTCTGATAATGCTAGTGAAATCAGTTGCTGTGATACTGCAGATGCAGAAATTGGAGCTGGAAGAAGAGCTGGTAATGGCTGCAATAATGGTAGATATGGTACTATTGAGTCTTCAGCTTCAAATCTCAGAGACAATGCTGTTGAAGCAGAGAATCATCTGAACATTAGTGATCTTGCGGATGATAGCAATTATGGGTGGAAAGGTCCGTTGAGATTTATTCCTGGGGATATCAGGTTGTTGGCCAGTAATGAGTTTACAAGTGAAAATGATGTCGATAATCCGCCATCATACGAGGACACTATTCGAAGGGATGTAATGTCTCGTTAGAGCTTTGTAAGGATGATTGAGTTCCTTATAGGATGACTAGTTCATATTTTTTTTGACTATAACGTTAAGCCTTACAGCTCATTAATATATCATTTCCACAACCGAAGCTTGTAGAGCATATTTCAACGTGAAGGCCAACTTACAATTTTGCAAAATAATACACTGTCTTATTCATTTTTCTCGTTATATAGTCCTTTTCATTGATCGTACTTATCAAACGATCCAATATCAGTACTCAAATTATCATCATCAAAAGCCTTCAGTATTTCTCGAACATAATCATCATTCTCAATCCCATTTTCATCATGAAATACATCATTATTGGTGAATCTTGAGTTTAAATCATGATTTGATTCACCAATTTTTTCATCATAGATCGTCGACCCACTACCAGCTTCACTTATAGATTCCATTGATTCAACATCTGGGTTTGTTATTCTTAATTTGGATCTCCTCTTTGAGCTAACCAGGACTTGAACATCTCTATTACCCAAGAACCTATCGATTTGTTCCTCTTCTTCATCAAATGGTGAAGGTGCCAGCTCTTCCGAGCTCGAACTCACTGTGTCACCTTTTGAAGATATCAGTGAAACTCTTGATCTGTTTGCATGATTTGACATTGGTGATAATTCTTGCTTGTCAGCATAATCCTCAGGGTTTGCGAAAGGTCCATGAGATCGCTGGTGTTGTGAAGATGGTTTATTATGGTTTGAAAACTTGATAATCTTCTTAGCAAGATTGTTGTTTGTATTATCAAATGAAAAGTCAACTGATTGCCTAGTTGGTGATCTTTGTTGTTGAGATGGTGAAATCATAGTTGTTGTTGGTTTGGCCCTTGTTGGCGTACGTTGCTGAGAATATCTGCGGCGTTCATACTCATCTCTTTTCTGATTCCATGAGGATATGCTTTGATTATCTATTTGGTTCACTTCATTATAAAGATCTGGATGTTCTGAGTCTGTATCGTCATCTAGATCTGATTCCTTTTTGTAATATTTTTTGTAGATGAAAAAACACAGTAGTGAAATCAATGCTATACTGATAATAGGGACAATAACTGCTGGAACAATAACTTTAGCATTTGAGCTCCTTGGTGTAACGTTTCCAGTAGCGGAACTGAAAGAAAGTATGGAGCTTGATGAAGAATTCTCAAGCGATACAGACGATGTAACTTCTGAAGAGGCTTCTGAAGATATCGATGATGAGATGGAAGATGAAACAGATGATTCTGAGCTTGAGCTTGAACTTGAGCTGGAAGATTTGTCATCTGTTGTAGTCTTGGAAAACTTAAATGCCGAATCAAAAGTATCAACTTTCTTTAAGCCATCAGTATCATATAAATGTAATGTGTATCCATTGCTTCTTTTCTTTGAATTTGCATTCACAGTAAACAAAGTTGAATTTAAAACAACAGCTCCCAGAATATCATTAACATTGAAATCTGTCTTTTTTGTAAAGTCTTGCCATTTCCAATCATCTGTTAAGTTCAAGTTTAGAACATAGGGGCTTGCTAAATTTGTACCAAGAAGACCACCAAGTACCAAAACACTTGAAGCATGCGTCTCATCACCTTTGAAAACAGGTAACACCAATGGATTGATTCTGGAATTTATACTAAGTGACGAAGAGCTAACCGTTTTGAAAGTCCATGATTTGTACTCCCAAAGGGCAATTTGAAACATACTGACCCAACCAGACGATGCTTTACCACCGATTAATAAATTTGATGTTCCCTTGGAATCCAATATTGCATTTGCCGATCCGTAAAAGCCTGTTGGAGATATTGAAGTGATTATTGAGTTCAGTGTTTTTGTATATGGGTTGTATTGTAGTATTCTGTTTGAAACTGTATTATTATAAAGACCTCCATAGATGTAAATTGAATCATGTCCATCTTTATCGGGAGATGTCATTACAGTGGAATCATCGAAATGTTGGTAGTTTGTGTTTTTAGACAATGTTGTATTGTACTTGACCCCTTCCCACTTGGATGTATTGGTGTTATAAATTGAGATGCTTATTGAGTAGTTTGACTGGATACTACCTTTATAAAAGGCATAAAGGTCACCATTTGCAACAGTTATCGAGTAATTCTGCTTAGTTGGAGCAGTTATAATATTTGATGCTATGTCACCATAATTGTAACTCTGATTGTTTGGTATCTGCAAAATCTCATTATTTGAAAGTTTGAGAAAAGCGTTGGAATAAGTTGGAGAGTAAGCCGTGTCCCATTGTGCTTTAACCACATGACTTATAATGAGTGTCAGTAGTATCCACACTTCCACTCCCAGTAGATTCATTGTTGTAGCTTTTGGTCCAACTGTTCACCGATAATACGTCACAAAGGTAAGGTACGCTATTGCTGGTTAACACTTCCCACTTCTTCCATGTAAAGCATCCTCGAGATTTGGCAAAAAAATAGTGTAAACAAAGGTTGCCACAGAAACTAATGACACGTAAATCAAATGGCAGACATGGACACCTATGAAAAATAAATGTCTTCTGCGAGAATCGAATGGTCTGTTTTTTTTTTCGTTTCCCCTGAAAATTTCATTTTCATGGAGAAGCTGAGATCATCAGAAATCAGTCACAATTTTAGAGCGTGAATGAAAATTTAGATCACTAAATCTACCCACTCATAAAAGCAGCCATTGCTTTCAAGCCTAGCTGAAACTTAGCACAATTCTCTCATTATTGCAGCAAACTAGGCAGCATCTTGTCTGAAATTCCAAACTCTGTTTATTGTTGTCGCTTGCTCTCCAAAAACTTGCAGTAGATTTTTCTGGAGACGAAAAAAAAACAGCTTTTGACACCTCCAACAACAAACAAAACATAAAGTCATTATACACAAATTCCCAGCTTGAGCCTTAAGTCATTCATAGAAGCAAGTGAACTCAACATATTCATATCTGCACTTTATCTGGCCATTGAAAGTCCTGCTTTTCCAATTATAGAGCTGCTAGTGAACGGGAAGACAACGTCGGCGGTGGTTTGATCAAGACAAAACAGATTCAACACTCAAGCCGGTCGAAATGGACCCTTTGACTCAATCAAATCATGAATATGGACGAAGTACACCTCAGAGGAAGAATGATAGAAGTGCCTCCTCTTCAAGGCTGGGCTTACCCAAACTGAAAGCTTCATTGGCTCCGGCGGAAGTTACTTTGGGTCAACATCCACATGACAACAATGTCAATAGATCACCAACATCACCTGGATCGTTCCACGAATCTATACCAAGAGACTATTTCCATCTTCATCATAATGATATGGACTTCAAATCTTTAGAATCCACAGTTTCAAATAATGAACATTACAAGTACAATACAACCACCAACAACAATCATCACCATCAAGGAGAAGGATTTCCTAAAATAGCTGAGATACTTCAAAAAACTGTTGACTCACCTCCAGGAACTCCAACTTCAGAATTGTCAGCTGCAACATCACCTTTTTCATCTACAGACTCACTGGCATCACTGGTCGAACGTCAAAATAAATCTAAAATTAACCACCCTGGGCACCAAATGTTCAACTCCAGTCGAAGATTCTTATCACCAACGAGGAAACGGTCAACAGCATCAATATTCAGTGTTTTCAACCACAGTAGGAATAATAGCACGGTAAGGTCCCCTCTGAGTGAAAAGAGAAATCCATTCAATAGCTATTTATCAACAACCACATCAGCCAGTTCTTCATCAACGAGGAAACTGGAACCAACTGCATCGAATCCTCATCATATACATTCATCACCCGAGGTCAGAGAAAGTAACCATGTTTCTTTAGAATATGACCCTGTTTCTAAACGGAAAGTTTTGAACTCCTATGAAATTATCAAAGAAATTGGAAGAGGTGAACATGGAAAGGTCAAACTTGCCAGAGATTTGATCAAAGATGAATTAGTTGCAATAAAGATTGTGGATAGAAAAGGAAGACCCAAACTAGGTGGATCTGCTTTATCAGGTGGACAAACTGCTGAAGATAAAATTAGAAAAGAAATTGCTATAATGAAGAAATGTCGTCACCCGAACGTTGTTAAATTGAAAGAAGTTTTAGATGATTCTAATTCAAGAAAGATTTACCTAGTTTTAGAATATTTGGAAAAAGGTGAAATCAAGTGGAGAAAATCTCCAGGTGAACCTGCTCTTACTTTACCAGAGACATTATCTGCCTTGAGAGATGTTGTTTTAGGATTAGAATATCTGCATTATCAAGGTATCATTCATAGAGATATCAAACCAGCTAATTTGTTGGTTTGTGCTGATAATTCTGTCAAAATTTCAGATTTTGGTGTTTCATTTGCAGCTTCATTAAATGGTGATCCTCAAAATGAACTTGATCTGTGTAAAAGTGCTGGTACTCCTGCTTTTTTTGCTCCAGAATTATGTCAACCAATCACAAGTAATATGAAAGAAAGACCAAAGATAACACACAAGATTGATGTTTGGGCTTTAGGTGTTACATTATATTGTTTATTATTTGGAGATTTACCCTTTTGGGGAGGTAATGAATTTGAACTATTTGAATCCATCAATAGTCAAGAGTTGAAATTTCCTAAAGACTTTCCAAAAAATTATGAATGGGCCGAAGAGGAAATTTTCCAAGCAAAGAATTTGTTGAACAAGATGCTCGAAAAAGATCCAATCAAGAGAATTGGTTTAAAAAGTATCAAGAGACATCCGTTTGTTTTAAGGAATCTTTCAGTGGAGGAAGCTAAACTATTTACTGGTGAACAGAAATCATGTGAATCAAAGATCCATGTTTCTAATGAAGAAGTTAAAGTTGCTGTTACTGGTATTGCTGGGAAAATTAGAAAAGGTTTTGCTAAAGCACTGAAACTGGCTGGGCTAGTTCCAAAAAGAGAGTCGCATCCACCAAGTCTGCTGAAAACAAGTACAAGTGCAGACCTCAGACCAAGCTTAATGGAGCAAAAGACAAGATCTCAATCATACAACCTACATGACTCATCAACTAAATCATTAACATTTGCTGAATATGAGCTCAATAAGAGAAATACGCACGTTCAATCACCATTAGCTACCACTGAGTCACTTTCAGCTGGAGGTGTTCGTAATAATAGGGGAGGTTCAAGACATCACAAAAGAGTTAAGTCTGGTGAAACTTCAGGTTTAGCAACGAGAGCCACCGTGGAAGGAGACTTATTTTTGAACAAATCTTCAGCATTCAATGCTCTGAGTGGTATTATGGATGACGATAGAAGAAGATCAAGCGTGGTCTCCGTTGGTGGTGCTTCTTCGGCTTCTGAAACAATGCCTACTACATCAAATGGCTCTTCGTTGGATAATGGTGTACAATTGGTATCTTTGCCGGTTAATGCTAGTTTCGCTTCATTGGATAGTGTTTATTTGGATAATTATGCAACCTCAAGGTCACAATCAGCTAACGTTGTGGGACCGAAGGTTCCAGAAGAGGTTGTTGTGAAGGAACAATCACCAAGAGAACTTTTCAAAAAGATGAATAGCTTCTCTTTGAATAGAACCACAGAAAAGAAGGTTGATGATTCTGTTGCTCCTCATGAACCTTCAGCCTCTTTTTCATTAGCTGGTGGTGATGATAATGATGATGATGACGAAGACGAGGCTAATGATGGTGACGAGGATGAAGACGACGCCGATGATGATATAGCTGATTATTCTGGTGGTATAGAAAGGTTGAACTCAACGAGTAGTGCTGCTAGAAGAATGAATTCTATCTGTACCAATGTTTCACAATATTCTGTCCCATCATATCTTGCTAATGAGTTACAGCTTTCAAAATCAACTACTGAAGATGGAACTCCTGATATTGTTATCTCAAGTGCATCCAGGTCAGAGACTCCAATGAAACCTCAAAGAAGACCATCTTTACCAAAACGAGGTAGTACACCAAAGTATAGTTTCTTTGGTGGTAGCTCAGATGATGATGATGATTCAGATAGTTCAGCTTCGAGTGTTCCAAGAAGACGAAGAAAATCTTCAACTTTGATCATTCCCTCTGAAAATGAATCAGATAAGCTTGATATTATCAAACATGATAGTGAAAGTGAAGAGAGCAGTGATAGTGATGGTGAAAATGATGAGTTGACGTTGGTTTTAGGGTCAAGAAGATCAAGCCGTGTCAATTCTGTTGCAGTTGCTACATTGAATAGACCAAGCTCAGAGCCAAAACCAAAAGCTGAAATTGAAACAGAATTTTCAAACAGAGTACAAAGGAGATCGGCATCAGGATTAAGAGATTCTGTATCACAAATAGAAAGAGTTTCATCACCATTATCAAAAAATGCACCAAAAACACCGATTGCAAATTCAGGTGCTCATTTACTGCCCCATGTTTCTGTCAACAAGAATGAATATGTCAACCATTATAATAAAGACCACATAATGCCACCAGTGACAAAGACACGCTATTTTGGTGGTGTTTCTTTAGATGAAGTGTTGAGTGATAAGCAAAGAAGTAATTCAGTCACTGTTGGTTTGTTAAACCAAGCAAGACCAAATAGCTCATCAACTAATTCAGAAACTACATCAGATTAATACCAGGTTATATAGTGCATTTTTTATCTTTCCAATACTTTTTTATTGTTTATGTCCCAAATAGAAAAGTACAATTAGTTATGACTTATCTTTTTAGTAGAGCGTCCGTTTAAACCCGTGGTACCTTTTTTCGCGAACCTTTTTCTTCGCGTCCAAAAACCCGAGAACCTTTTTTTAGCAGTGCCTGTTTTTAGTCAAGAAAGAGATATCAAATTGATACACCATCTTCATCGTTGATCTGATCTTTAGTGGGTAGTTATTATAATTTTAGGAGGCTCGTAATATATTCTTTATGCTGCTTTTGTGTTAGAATCTCCACCATTATGAGACAAATACAGACCATCATTAGAGCCTGTCAACGGCTAACAGTTGATCTCAAAAGCTCTTTAAGGATAACCAAAATACGATATGTTGTGTTGCTGAGTTTACTACTGGTATTATCATCATTCCTCTTTATTTATAAAGATGAGAGCTATCAATACACTTCAGGTTCGTTACAGAAAATCAGTGACAAGATTACTCTATTGAGTAACAAAATTGACAGTTTTAATATGATTGAGAACTATAGACAAGAAACTATAGTTTCAGAGACCCCAACAACTACGATAGATACTGTCACTATATCAGATGTAACCACTACACAAACAACTGAAGCTAATGTTTCACCAACTGAAGCTGATGCATTGCCAGCTGAATCTGAATATCCAAGAGAGAATGGTGTTATTTTGGTGTTTGCAAGAAATATAGATCTTTACAAGTTGACCGAAACAATGTGGTCAGTGGAACAAAGATTTAATAAGAAGTATAAATATAACTGGCTAATAGTTAGTGATGCTTTACATAACAGAAATTTCAAAGCAACTGTTCTATCGCTATCTTCTGGAAATGTTGAATTTGCCAGAGTTCCAAGATTAAACTATCCCCCAAATATTGATAAGGCAAGAATGAAAGATTCAAGAAAGGCATTCAGACAACAAAGTATAGTTTTCAGAAAGACAATCAAGATGAGACATCAACAAAGATTTTGGGCTAAAGATATATTGTTTATTGAACAATTAGCTAAATATGATTATTTCATGAGAATTGATCCTGGAGTTTTGTTGTATTGTGATGTTAATTTTGATTTTTTCAAGTTCATGACTGAACATCAAAGAACTTATGGATTTGGGTTTGCAATGAAGGGGAAACAAGGTACGTTCCCTTCACTCTGGGATGATACTCTAGCATATATCAAGGAGAATCCAAAAGATATTCATGAAAATAATATGATTGATTTCATTTCTGATGATAAAGGTGAAACTTTCAACACTTGTCAATTCAGGGCTAACTTTGAAGTTGGTGATTTAAGGTTTTTCAGATCAGACAAGTATAAGAAATTAGCAGAATATCTCGATAACAAAAATGGGATCTATTACGAAGGTTGGGATGAATCCACTTTCCATACATTAGGTGTTGCATTATTAGAAGATAGACATAAAATTCAGTTCTTCAACAACATTGGCTATAATGACCGTGCTTCTGATAATTTGAAGTCATGTCCATTTGATGAGTCAATAAGATTAGGGTCAAACTGTGTATGTAACCCATTAGATGACCTGACATGGAATAGTAATGCCGGTAGTTGTATTGACAAATTTTTCCATGTGAATTCATTCCAAGTTCCAACTTATGCTCAAGATTCCAATAAGGCAATAACTGAAGCTGAAGAAGCCAAGAAGAATGAGGATGAGAAAAAAAAGTACGAACAAGAACAGTTGAATAAAGAAAAACAGAAAGAGGAATAAGAAAGAAAGAAAATAGAGGAACAGGAGAAGAAAAAAGAAGAGGCGAGTGAGAATAAGAATGAAAAAAAGGATGGTACAAGTAATTGATTGGTGATCTAGCCCTTAATTAAGTTATACAAATGCTGGTTGTTATTGTTGTTGTTTTTGATTTGTTTTTATGCTTGTTTAATAATTTATAGACGTTTTTTTGTTTGGTTTCAGTTTGAGCCATGGTAGTTGTCAGCTTCAATTTTATATGCTTCAAAATTTTTTGGTTTGTGTTGGGTATCACGAACTAAATCAGTAACATATTCTAAATCCAAATCGAAATGATCAGCAATGAATTGTCCAATTTCAATATTTTCATGATTTCCTGATAGTTTTTCATATAATTTGAATAATGTTGGCTTCTTGTTGGAATAAGCATAGATGTTAACATCAACTGCACTATGACCATGAGTTGACCAGCCAGTTTGAGATCTAAATGAGACAATATTGTTCAATATATAATGTGTGTTGGCCTTGTTTTTAACCAATAAATCAACCTCCTCATCGGTGAAATCTTTGATACCTAAATCTTTCTTTAAAATTTCTTCAATAATAAATGTTTTCAAGTCATCACCATCATAATTTGCAATCTTCTTTGTCAAGAATTCACCAGAGTGCTTAGCGTTCAATAATACTTCTGGGTACCAAATGTATTCAGGATAGTTTGGAGATATTTGTCTTGCAGTAGCTAACCCACCAGTTTCGTGGTCTGAAGTACTGATTAAGATAGTTTCAACATCTGAATTTTCAGCAAAATCCTTAACAGCCTTGAAGGCTTTGTCAAAAGCCAAAACTTCACGAACTTGAGCAGCAGGGTCGTTATTATGGCCAGCATGATCAATTCTTGAACCTTCGACTAATAAGAAAAACCCTTTATCAGAATCTTTTGTAGCTTCGGTCAATGCATTCAAGGCAACTAATGCTTCTTCTTCTAGTGATGGATGAACAGTTTCATCTCTATCCAAATCAAATGGAATGTCGTAGTCTTCTAGTAATGCTAATAATGGTAATTGAACATTTTCACCTAATTTCAATTGATCAAATTCAGTTCTGTTACCAACATAACTCCAACCATCTTTAATAGCTTCATCAATCAAATTTCTATCATCTTGTCTTGAACCTCTAGTACCATATTTTTGATCATTTGGAGGATAGAAATGAGTTCTACCTCCACCAATCATCAAATCCACAACTCTACCAAGAGGATAATCACCAATTTGATGTTGAGCAATCAAATCTTCATAAATTCTTAAAGAGGTATGACTTGAAAAAGCTGCTGGTGTAGCATCTGTAATTCTAGTAGTGACAACTAAACCGGTAAAGTAACCTTGTAGCTTCAAAGCTTCTAAAAGTGTACCACATGGGTTCTCTTTTGGGTCAACACCAATTGCTGAATTGTAGGATTTCATGGCACAAGAAAAAGCAGTGGCACCAGCAGCGGAGTCAGTGATTAATGAACTTGATGATCTAGTTCTTGAAGATCCAATTAAATGTTTATCGAGCTCCAATATATCGTCAATTGGTAATCCATCACGAAATTGTCTAAAACTTCTTGTAAGAGATAAAGAAGCTGGACCCATACCATCAGTGACAAAGAAGATGATATTCTTTTTGGTTGGTTTCTTGTGACCGAAAAGCTGGTAGCCTCCACATAATAATAATACTAGAGAAATTGGGGTAGTTAGTAAACCATTTAGATGAGTGGATTGGGCTTATTACTCACTGATAAAGCCTGCAAGGACCGTCACGATTATAGAACGAGGATTGAGTCTAGAGAACGCCTTTGGAAGTCTGACGACTTTTTTCTGTTTCTTTTGCTCCTGTGGCAGTAGAAATTGGGTATCTTCGGCCATCGTGTACCTGGTTGTACTTTGGAATTGAGCTCGTAATGTTTTTGAGTTTCAAGATTCACGTCAAGTTTTATCTGAAGGCTTTTATCAACAGCAGCCACTTTCCGCGAATTCACTTTGCAAACGATGATTTTTGAAGTGAAAGTGGATATTTGTTACTTGAGACCCGAAACTTAAGCTAGGAGATTCCAGTACTCTACTTCAGTATGCTTATATACGTATCTGAATATCTTTACCAGCATTTAATCCGTTAAACACGCTATATATGGTGTCTGCCATCTTTAATAGTGTATGCACTGCCCATCGGTTCCTAACCATACCTAAATAGGGTACTTCCAGATTCGGACACAATAACTTTTTCCTATTTTCAAAGCCAAAAAAAACAACTCCAAATCAACTTTTGACTATTAATACAAACAGGTTTGAATAAGGTAAATTATTATAACCATGGGAGAATTAGACTCAAAGAAGTTCAGATCCAAAAGACAGCAAGCAGCTTATGACGCTTCACTAGCTGGTCGTTACCAAAAAGCTTTGAAAAAAAACTCATTTCTAATGTTTGGTTTACCTTTCTTGACCTTTATGGGTTTAGCTTCATATTGGTTCTCAAGTTTCACAGCTATCAGATATGAACAAAGAGATAAAAAAGTTCAAGAGATCAGTGAAGAGGAAATACTTAATATCAGCTCAAAAAGAAGAACTGTTGATGTCAAAGAAGAGTATTATAGATTACAGGGTCTTGGTGAAGAAGATTGGGAGCCAAAGAGAGTCCCAAGAATGAAAGGTGAATCTGAAAATGTTTTTTAAGCAAAATACACCAGCTGCTTGTATATACTATTATCAGTGATATTTATGTTTAAACTTTTACGAATGTTATGATCAATATACTATTTTTTTGTCAAAATCTAAATTTTTTATATTCAGTTAAAAGTGTACAAACGATAAAATTTACTTTTTCTTATTTTGGGTTCTCCATTCATTTCTTTGCTTTCAATGAAATATCAACTTTAGTTAAAGCCAAGTAACTTATCAATGCAATGAAGACGACTTTTGCAATATCTAATGGTTTCTTAATAAAGCTCCAGAATCCATATTCGTATTTGATAACTAATTCCAAATGTGATAAATCATCAATAATATTGTTGAAAGTTAAAGTGATCTTGGTATGGCCATTTGATAAATCAAAGTAAGATAATTCGTGGCCCTCAGTCTTTTTTTCATATGGAATAACTGAGGCAATATCCAACAATTTGGCACCTTCTGGTAAGTAGAAACTAATTTCAATTTCATCATATGATACATCAACAGGACCATTGATAAATGGAACAGCTAAAATGTATTCATCTGAGCCACTTTGACGTAAATGTTCAGTTAATGAGTTTGTCCATCCAATAGTGAAGTTATAATTCCAACCCCCAAAGATAGGATATCTTGGTTTGATATATAATCTATCTGAAAACACTCTTGAAGTAGAAACGTTACCAACCAAATCAGTATAGTAGACATCTTTAGATTCTTCTGGTAGTTTAAGTTCAATAGCAGCAAGACTTGAACTTTGTTTCAACATTTGTCTATTCATCATATAATCACTTCTTGAAAACCCATTCTTCAATTGTGCAGCCTTGTTGGTCAATTTGTAAAATTCTTCAAATTGTAATGAGTTAGCCCAGTGTGAAACCCAAACACCTCTTTGTAATGATGTGACTTTAGTTAATGGTAAATTGTGTCTGTATAATAGGTTTAAAACAGTGAACTTGAATGGACTAATTTCTTCATTAAATTCATAAGTCAATTGTTGATTCTTGACAACACCTTTGTATGGATTTTCTTTACCTTCTAGCTCTAATTCTTTACCATCTGAAATACCACCAATAGCTAATGATGAATCTAAAGTCTTGTAGGCACTAATTGGTAATTTATTAGTTTTCAATAATAAGAATTGTTCATCTGTTAATTCAATTTTATGGGGATATGGTTCCAGACAATCAGTAACCGCAAAATTAGCACTCAATTTGAAAGTTTGCTTTGGGGCAATTGGTTGTGGTAGTTGAACTTTGATATAGTTAACTAATGGTTCATTATTAACTGTTGTTGTATCATTGATTAAAGTGGATGATAAAGTCTTTAACCCATTTGCGTAAAAAAAAGCGTAAACACTCAATTTATCAAAAGCATAACTTGGAACAGCATAATAATATTCAGCATTTGGTTTTGAATCAACATTTTTTATAACCAAGTCAATTTTCTCTTTTGAATATGATTTGGCAATATCTATAGTTCTTTTGAACTCGACATTCTCCCAGCTTTGATCAGGTATGAATGAACAAGAAACAATTGTCAATAAGAAAGACAAAGCTAGCAGTGTGAGCTTCATCGCAATTGGATTGTATTATCGTCTGTTCTTCAACTCAAAATATTTCAACCTCTTTATTGAAATCGTGTTCAAATTAAAATCTGGCTGACGCGCGAAAACCGAGGTATTTTCGGTTACTGCACGCCCTCGAGACATACCCTTTACAGAATTTAGTATAGAGTGTAGAATGAAAATCTTTATTCATTTCTTCTATTTTACATATACAGTTACCCTTGATGTTAATGATCCCTTTTTATTTATTCTTCATCTTGGAAAGCGTTTTCTGGAACTTTGTAGACAGTCAATTTAGGACTGTTTGGATGTTTCAAAATAACAAATTTACCATCATCTTCAGCAGAGATAATATCGATATAAGATTTAACAATACCCCAACCATTACCAGTGGATAAGTTGATTTGCATGGCCAAATCTTGTGGTCTATAAGATGAAACACCCAAGATGACATGTTTAGTATTATCTTTGAAATTAGCTCTTGAAACAAAACCCAACTTGATGGTATCAACACCAGCTAAAATAGCTTGATTAGTCCATTTGGAGAATTTGTTGTTGTTGTTTTTCAATTCAGCAGCAATGATAGCACCTCTTTGAGAAGTGAATTTTGATTTCCAATCAAGACCATTGTTGTTGTATTCATTAACTGCCTTGACCGCTAAAGTTTGATTAGTGGCAGCATCTTTAGAATCAACTTCAGTTCTAACGACAACTGAAACTGGTTCTTCTTCTTCATCATTGGCTCTGAAGGAGAATTTCTTATATCTGTAACCTTTGGATAATAATGGTTCTGAAGAATCATGGAATGGGTTTGGATGGTATTTAACAACGTTTTCATCGAAAACAGAGTTAGCTAAAAAGTTTTGATTGATAAATGTTGCTTCTAATGACAAGTTTTGAGCATTGTTGATATTGGCATCATGAGAATCTGATGGAGCATCATAAGCGTTTTCATCAACGGTGATTCTATCAATTTCTGAACCGTCTCTTTTATCAAAAAAGATAACACCATCTTTTTTAGTAACAACAATATCCCATGAGTAAACAGATTTTGAAGCACACATCAATTGTGTTATAACTGAATCAGTTGTGTAAACTTTAGCTGTTTTTTTAGCACTTAATTCTTGAATAACTGGGTCATCAGAAGCTGATGGGTTATAAAAGGCTCTGTCAATGACTTTTAATGGAGCACCTGCAGTTCTTTCAATTTTTTTGTTGTATAAGTTCAAAGCACCATAAGTATCTAATTCTTCACCAGAGTTAACTTCAAAGTTCAATTTAGTCAATTTACTTAATTCAATGTCAGAAATAACTTTCCAAGATTCATCAACTTTAACAGAAGAATCACGCACTCTTTCAGGTTTATCATCTCTCCAGTTATTACGACGGACTGGGTTAAATGGTTTTCTTGGACCACTTGGTTTGTTTTGAGCACCACCAGCAGCACCACCAGCGAATTGTCTTTTTTGGAAACCACCACCTTGTTGACCACCTCTTCTACCTTTTAGAAGAGTAGTACTAGTTTGATTTCTTGGGGCTTGAGTCTTAGTACTATCAACAACTGAGAAGGCATCATCATCATTAGCTTCAGCAGCAAAGGATGAGGCAGCTGAAGTTCCGTAAGCTTGGAAGTAATCTCTTTGGTTCTTTCTGAATTTATCCTTTTGGTCTTTACCAAAGTTATCATTTGTGTTCCAATCAGCAGCTTTACCTAATTTATCACCTTTGGAAAAAGGAGCGTATGGAATGTCACTGAAACGGAGTTCATCTGGAACTGTGCTTGGAGGACCCCAGCTATTGGCAGCTGGAGCTAAACTGCTTAGATCGAAAGGAGCAGAAGTCATTGTTGAGGGTATTAGCTGTGCTTTCAAAGTGCTTTTCAACCATCTTCACTTCGTTGATTTCATTTTTTTTCAACTTCACCAAAAAAAAATCTTTTGGTGGTTTGAAGCCCGCGAAAATTGAAAATTCACATAGTTAAGAATCCAGGAAACAAAACATGGATTAAACCATGAGATATTTGGGCTTGGGTAAGTTTATTGCTTTCATACTTAAGATGGCTTTTAAAAACACGCTATTGAATATCTTTAGGCCATATTATCTCCTATAAACCCTCGTTTTATCGGAATTTTACAAGGTGGGATACCCGGGTAACCAGGCCATATTTTTGAACTATGGAAGTCAAATCAGTGGCAATTGAAGATTCAAACCAGACACAATTACACTCCAAAACAATCAAAGAGCCAACTGATTGTGAAGCTCAATTGATCCAAGAAACGTTTAGAAAAGATGAATGGAATCTCAGTCGATATTAATCACTTGAAGAAAGGTGAAGTCAAGTATGTTTTCAGAATTGGAAAGAGTGTTGAAAGTGAAACTAACAGATAAATAATAGCCTTGGTACCTCAATGTATGTGGGAATCTTGACATGATATCTTGAATATCTCTAACAATTAATAGTATGGCTGTTAAGTTCAAAGATGGTGTGATATTAGGTGCTGATTCGTATGTTTAGTTTGTGATATCTTAAAATTGAGGTAACTAACATTATCAAATAGTCGTACTACTACAGGTTCATATATTGCAAATCGGTGAGTAAATTGAACAACTTTCAACTCAACTTAAGTATACTAATGAGCATTATAGTGTCACAGATAAATTGACCCAAGTGAATGATAAAATCTGGTGTTGTAGATCAGGTTCAGCAGCAGATACTCAAGCAGTGGCAGACATTGTCAAATATCATTTAGAATTATATCAAGCACAACACAACAAACCAGCTACTGCTAAAATAGCATCTGCAATTTTTCAAGAATTAACTTACACAAACAAAGACATGTTGACTGCTGGTTTGATCGTTGCAGGTTATGATGAAAAGACAAATGGTGAAGTTTATAGTATACCGCTTGGAGGTTCAGTTCATAGACAAAATTTCGCAATTGCAGGTTCAGGTTCATCATATATCTATGGTTGGACTGACGAAAACTATAAAGAAGATATGACCAAGGAAGAATGTGTTCAATTTATAAAAACTGCCTTGACACAAGCTATTCAATGGGATGGTAGTTCTGGTGGTGTTATAAGACAAGTGATTTTGACGAAGGAAGGGATTGAACGTTTGGTTTTCTATCCAGATGGTCCTGATGGATTCTCCAAGAAGTTATAAATGAGCTGGCTAAAAACTTTTGTCTAAATGTGAAAATAGATGATTAACTTTGATTTGATGAGTTCTCTTGTAGCATTCGCGGGTTTTCGCGCTCTCTCTCGAGATTTGGATTTTTCGTGACATTTTTGATGAACGCGTTTGAAGCATTTCCACAACAAGACGAGAATCAAAGCAAAAGATAAAGATGTCATTAACGGCTGAGTTGGTCAGTGTTCTACCAAAAGGCAAGAAATATGAGGTGTTCCATTTCCAATCAAATCCTCGAGATACACATCCATTGGTGTCCCAAAAGTCTAATTCCACGGATCTGAAAACAATTAAAGCTGAACATTTCATTACATTGGCTCATGAGGGTCTCATTTTCTTTGGAATAAAGATATTCATATACATAACTATCGATTACAAGCATAATTCAACTGAAAAACTTTTGTTTGTATCGAAAGCTGATACAAATGGACTAAATGAATCAAATGTGAAGATTGGTAAAGTTACACAAGTCATTTTGGAAAACTTACTACAAATACCAATTGAATCTTATTTAACTGGAATCATACCCAAACATGCAATAACTCCAGATATAACTGATAAAAACAAGATTACAAAGTTAACATCCACCAAAGATGCATTGAAAATATTGATTGAGAGAAAACGTGGAACATTATCACAACCTGAAAAGATAAAACCTTACACCATTACAGATTACCCTAAACCTGTCAAGACTAAGATCTCACTATTCACAAGATCTGAACCACAATATCTTTTCCCAAGTTCAAGCAAGAACCCAAAGAAACATGTATTGGGTGGTGATGGATTATTAAAATGGTGGTTAAAAGCACTAGACAAAATCATTGTTGACAAGTTTGAAAAATCTGGACTTATTGCTAAACTGCAAATACCTGCAGAAGATCCAAGACAAATTGAACGTTATTTAAAACAATTGGAATCTGATAATTGGAGCGTTGGTGATGCTTTCAATGGTAAAGATGATGATCTTGCTATATTTAAAATCCCACTATTTCCAGATGATCCAAAGGCAAGGTTCTTGGAACATCTAGTGGTGGAGAATAGAGCCAAAACTATGACTTTGAAACAATTTTGGATTGAATTACAAGCAAGACAAGAGTTTAGATTGGGTGTCACTGTTTCCGTTATTGGTATTGAAGGTTATTTAACACCAGTCAATGGATTCCAAAATGATTCAATCCAACTGTCCCGTCGTCATTTCAAGAAGTTGAAGAATTATATAACAGGGGAAGATTACAGAACTAGTGAAGGTTCAATTGAAGCTTATAAAAATGTGAAAAATTATCTTGAATCACAATTTGATCAAGATGGGCTAGAAATCATTGGTGAATATGTACCAGAAACTAAAGCAGCAACAATCAACACGACAAGCATCAATACACTAGTACCTAAAAAGGGTAAAAGAGTTGCACCAACAGTACAAATCAATACTCTTCCAGTTAGAAAGAAACAAAAGGACAAATAAATACAAAATAGCATTTTATGAGAGATATTGCCAATGTTGAGTTGTAATTGGAGACTTTTGCGCTCATGACAAACAGCTAGCTCTCGCATTAATCAAAGAACCCTCCAATACATAATAAATCATCGTCTAATTAATTAAAAAATATTCGTTAATAATTGAGATTTCACACAGTTACCCTAAGAATCATCGCTTTCCGCGAATTCGTTCTGTATGTGTCGCGGTTCCAAAAGTTTGTTGTTTTTTCGATTTTTTGGCAATAAACAAATGACAGTTCTTCAAATCGTTTTGACTAGAATTTCAGTTTGCTTCTGTTGAAATTTAGATCGAACAGCTGGGTTTTCCAACACGAAGAAACCACTTAGTCAATAGCTGATCCATTCGGGTAAATCATAAACTGGTTTTAAAGATGGCTTCATTAGAAGATTTGATCCCAACGGTCAACAAACTTCAAGACGTTACCTACGATGCCGGTATCGATTCTTTGGATTTACCAATCCTATCCATCATTGGTTCCCAATCATCAGGGAAATCATCCATTCTAGAAACTTTAGTTGGTAAGGACTTTCTTCCAAGAGGTACAGGTATTGTTACAAGAAGACCTTTGGTGTTACAATTGATCAATATTGCTGAAGATTCGCCTTTGATCCACAACTATAACCATCAAGCTCAACAACCACAATCAACTACCACTACAACTTCCCCAGGGTCTCCAGAATCCGGCTCAAACGATTTCACTTTGGAAGACCATCTAAGACAACAAAAGGGTTATAAACCAGAAGTTCAAAATGAGTGGGGTGAATTCTTACACATTCCAGGTCGTCGTTTTTACAACTTTTTAGATATTAGAAAAGAAATTGAAAATGAAACTTCAAGAATTGCTGGTAAAAACAAAGGTATTAGCAGATTACCAATCAATTTGAAAGTTTATTCTCCAAAAGTTTTAAATTTAACACTTGTTGATTTGCCAGGTATTACAAAAGTTCCAATTGGTGATCAACCAACTGATATTGAAAAACAAATCAGAAATTTGATCTTGGAATATATTGCTAAACCAAACTGTATAGTCTTGGCTGTTTCACCCGCAAATGTTGATCTTGTTAACTCTGAATCATTGAAATTAGCTAGACAAGTTGACCCTCAAGGTAAAAGAACCATTGGTGTTTTATCAAAACTAGATTTGATGGATCAAGGCACAAATGCCTTAGATATATTATCTGGTAAAGTTTATCCATTGAAATTGGGATTTGTTGGTGTTGTTAATAGATCTCAACAAGATGTTCAAATGAATAAAACCGTGGAAGAAGGTTTAAACACAGAGGAAGAATTCTTCCATTCACATCCTGTTTATAGAACTATTTCAAACAGATGCGGTACAAGATATTTAGCAAAACTTTTGAATCAAACTTTGATGATCCACATTAGAGAAAAATTACCAGATATTAAGGCAAGATTAAACACACTGATGGGACAAACTGAACAAGAATTAGCATCGTATGGTGATGCAAACTTATTCAATAAAGAAGATCGTGGTGCCTTGATCCTAAAATTGATGACCATGTTTGCCACCAATTTTGTCAATTCAATCGAAGGTACCTCATCAGATATCAGTACTAAAGAATTATGTGGTGGTGCAAGAATTTACCATATTTATAATGATGTCTTGGGACAATCATTAGGTTCAATAAGTCCAACATCAAACTTATCAACTAATGAAATCAGAACTGCCATTAGAAATTCAACTGGTCCAAGACCTTCTTTATTCGTTCCAGAACTGGCATTTGATCTGTTGGTTAAACCACAAATTAAATTATTAGAATCACCTTCTCATCGTTGTGTTGAATTAGTTTATGAAGAATTGATGAAGATTTGCCATAACTGTGGTTCTCCAGAATTATCAAGATACCCAAAATTACAACAAAAGTTAATTGAAGTCATTAGTGATTTATTACGTGAGAGATTAGGTCCAACTATATCGTATGTTGAAAGCTTGATTGAAATTCATAGATCATATATCAATACAAATCATCCATCATTTGTTGGTGCTGCTGCTGCAATGGCTAGTGTTGTTGAAGATAGACAAAAGCAAAAAGAGCAAGAAAAGAATGCAAAATTACTTGAACAAAATAAATCATTAAAACCAAAACTATTACAAAGTGATATCAATGGATCAACAAAAGATTTAGATGAAGATTATGAATCTGGTGAATCTGATAGTGCTAGTGATGTTGGTAGTCAATCATCACATGCTCGTCATAACAGCAACAATAAAAACGAATCAAAAGATTCATTCTTGAATTTCTTCTTTGGTAAAGAACAACAACATCAAAACCAACAACAACAACAAAATGGTAGCAAATTTGTTAATGGTCATTCAAGACAACCAAGTAAATTGGCAAAAGCATTTGAAGATATGCAAATCAATAACAATAACACCAACAACAATATTTCAAACAGTCATCCATATGATAGTGAACTCACTCTTGATGAGGAAGAACCAATTTTAAGTGAACGTGAACAGTTAGAATGTGAACTAATCAAGAGATTAATCACTTCATATTTTGGTATTGTGAGAGAAATGATTCAAGATCAAGTTCCAAAGGCAATCATGTGTTTATTGGTGAATTATTCTAAAGAATCTGTACAAAATAGATTAGTTTCCAAGTTATACAAGGATTCCCTATTTGAAGAATTGTTATTAGAAGATGCTGATATGGCTCAAGAGAGAGAAAAATGTTCGAGATTACTTGAAACTTACAGGGAAGCTTCTAAAATCATTAGTGATGTTCTTTAAATCAAAAAAACAACAAGAAACCTATATATAGTATCTTTTTAACCTTTCAAAAAAAATCAAATCAAAAATATGATATATATCGTCTGTAATTCAATGGAAATTGTAGGGAATTTCTAAAAGTTTATACTTCCGAGGCCATTTTATCACGTGAGCTCATCGCTAAAAAAAATTTTAAATCCGGTACATTAAAAAAAAATCTATAAACTATTATCATAAAAGAAATTTTATCTCATCAAACAATACAACTAATACAATAAAGCAAATCATTTCAAAATGGTGAGTATTCTAATATTCTAGCAAGCGGTTCTTTTCCACTAACATCCTTTTTTCCCAGAAAATCAAAACAATAAGTCGATCATCAGATAATTATGTTCCTGTGCGTAATACTCAAGAATCGAATTTACCAAGAAACTTAAATCCAGAACTTCATCCATTTGAAAGGGCAAGAGAATATACTAAGGCATTAACTGCTACAAAGATGGAACGTATGTTTGCGAAGCCTTTTGTTGGACAATTAGGTAATGGTCATAGAGATGGTATTTATACAATAAGTAAAAATTTCAAAGCTTTGAATAAATTAGCTACAGGTTCTGCAGATGGTGTTATCAAATATTGGGATTTAAGTACATCAACTGAATTAGCAAGTTTCAAGGCGCATTATGGACAAGTTACAGGGACCGCAGTGACACCAAATGGGTTATTATTATCAAGTGGTGACGATAAAACAGTCAAGTTATGGTCAGTTAATACTGATGAGTTTACAGATGATGATGAAAACCATGTCACTAAGAAAGGTTTATTGAAGACATATTTAGGAGAACATTCATTTCAAAGTTTGGATCATCATAGAGATGATGCAATTTTCGTTACAGGTGGTGCGGAAATTCAATTATGGGATGAATTAAGATCAAGACCAATTTCAAATTTATCATGGGGTGCAGATAATATAACAAAAGTTCGTTTTAACAAGACCGAGACTTCCATATTGGCAAGTGCTGGATCTGATAACTCTGTGGTTTTATATGATGTTAGAACAAATACACCAACACAAAAATTAGTACAGACAATGAGAACTAATGCTATTGAATGGAATCCAATGGAGGCTTTCAATTTTGTTACAGCTAATGAAGATCATAATCTATATTATTACGATATGAGATATATGAAGAAGGCATTAAACGTTTTCAAAGATCATGTTGCTGCAGTTTTAGATGTTGATTTTTCACCAACTGGTCAAGAAATTGTTAGTGGATCTTATGATAAAACTATTAGAATTTTCAAGACAAAAGAGGGTCATTCAAGAGATATTTATCATACAAAGAGAATGCAACATGTTTTCCAAGTTAAATATTCAATGGATTCCAAATATATTTTAAGTGGTTCGGATGATGGTAATGTTCGTCTTTGGAGATCAAAGGCATCAGAACGTGCTACTGTTAAATCTTCGAAAGAAAGATCTAAATTAGAATATGATGAAGCATTGAAAGAAAGATTCAAACATATGCCAGAGATTAGAAGAATTTCTAAACATAGACATGTGCCAATTGTTGTTAAAAAGGCTAAAGAAATTAAAGATGTTGAAATCCAATCATTGAAGAGAAGAGAGGAAAATGAAAGAAGACATAGTAAACCAGGTTCAAAACCTTATGTTAGCGAAAGATCTAAACAAATTCTTAATACTGCTTTCAAAGAAGATGAAGGTGATAAATAGTTGAATATATATGCATTGACGTTTATTAGGCTTGACTTTTGTATTGACTATAAACCAATCAAAATACGTTTAAATTATAGTAGAAGAGTTTGGCCATATTGTTATATAACTATCATGATACTATACTGATTACAATGGAACCACTCTTTTATCAAATTATACTATATTACTTTTGTTAAACTTTTTCTATTTTTTTATATACGTCTTTTTAAAATTTTCTTTCTTCTTTTTAATCTCTTTTTAAAAACATTTTCTAATGAAACAATTGTGTGTTCTTTTCTTTAAATTATAATGATATTATCAACACAAAATTAATAAGACAATTCAAAGACCTGCTAAGAAATGAAATGTAAAAAATTAAAAACACAAAAATCTTGATCACAAATTTATATCAAGAACTAAACCAACATCATCAACATTATCTTTTGCTAAATCTTCCAAGAATGGGATAATATCTAATAATTCATTGTCATGAGCATCCGAGAACCAGCTCGAAATTGGAATAGCATGTTGGGGATGGAAGATATATGAAGCTGGAGAATTATCCAATATAATGATATCATTTAATGGTCTTCCTAGTTGTGATAAATTTTTGATATAATTATTTTGATAATTATAACAAGAATCTCTAAATAATCTGTGATGTACTGCATGATGGATATCTAATTCATCCAATAAAGGATCACCATATCTTGAAACTGAAGCAGTAAATACAACAACTTCATATATTTCACCAACTCTTTTCAAAAATTCATCAACACCTGGTCTTTTGATAACATAAACATTATGAATTTGATTTTCAATATCAACAGGTATCACGAAATCAGCTTGTCTTAGATATTTGAAAGAAGAATGAACTAAAGTTTCATCAAGATCTAAAACCAAACATTTTTTATTTTTAAATTTTGGTTCAATATCTTCTAATAACCAACCATTTGATGCATGAGCTTGACCTTGTTGTAATCTTTGTAAATCGAAAAAGTCATCCATTGTTTCATCTTCATTCATTTCAACATGTGAACCTAAAGAAACGTCATTATCATTAGGTTGTTGATTCATATTGTTATTGTTGTTGTTTGTTGTTTCACTGTGTTGACCATCTTCATTAGATTCTAAAGTGCTATCAGTTGCTTCATAAACATTAACATCAGTCTTTGCTTGACTGTTGGAGTTGTTGTTGTTGTTGCTAGTATGGTTTGAACTTTGATGTGCAGTTGATCGTTGATTATCCATATATCTATTATTATTGCTATTGCTATTACTATTGTTTTGTGGTTGTTTATTAGCTCTTAGTTGTTGCTTTACAGCTTGATTAGATGAATGTGGAGATACTTGGTTATTGTTTGAACCTCTTGATGAAGATGATTTGTTATTTGAACCTGAATGAGTGTTGGAATTTGAATCCTCTCCAGAACAACAGAATATGGACTTGATAACTTTCTCCATTTGATTCTAACCCTATGAGGACCTAACAATGACAAGACAAACACAAAATGGTGGAAGGAAGTGAATGGAACACAAGGATGGTTGATAATAAGTGTAACAAAGGGGATATGACTCTATATAGTTTCTTAATCTTCTCTTATTTTTTTTTCAATCTTGTTTATTATGAGCCCAACTAGTGAACCAAATTATCATCGAGGTGGCAGATATCAAAATTTTGTTGTAGAAGAAAGATGAAGAAGATGATGAAGATTTGTTTGAAATGGATGCAATCTTGATATTGAAATGGAGAATGGCAAACTAAATGAAACAAATAATGAAAACCCACTTGAGCCTATGAAATCCAAACCAAAAGTTAACTGTTTATCTTGGTTTCCTTAATGAAATGAAATGGATGACGAGGAAACGAATCTGATATTATTCTTCAACTTGTGACTGATATGATATAACACCAGCAAAAAACACAACCAAAAGAGACAGATACTATTCGACAACCTGGAACTTGAATATAGAGGTAATCTAGAGCACTGTAATTCACACTAAGCACGGCTTCAACGGAACTTGTCTCGATATGTTTTCGATGTTTGTCTTTTGAGATTCTTGTTGTTAATTTGAAGGATTTTGCCCATTCAATTCAAAAAAGTTCACAAATTTTCGTGGTGCAAAAAAGCTGGAAAAAAAACAAAATCATCCGAAAAGGGAAGTTTTGCTGTTTTGGTACTATTCCGAGGGCTTAGATTTGAAGAGATTTGGGGATTAAAAGAGATTAAAATTAGATAATTGTTCGGTAAATAGATTGGTTGATTTCTCTTGAAGCCTAGCTAATTATTCTTTGATTTATTCTTAAAATAACAATCTTTTAATGCTTATTTGAATTGATATGAGTCAACACATCACGTGAACTGTCATGTGATTCTAATCCTCGGATTATGATTTTGCCTTTAATAGATCAAAAAACTTCAAAATGAAATCGAATCAAATTGAATTGAATTAAACCAAATTCAACCCATTCTCAGGCTATCTTTAGATCATGAGCACTACTGCTACCCCAATCAAGGCGTTCACTCCTCGCAAAAGAATAGAATCAGACCGTTTAGAGACTCTACGAGCCAAAATTATCAAAGAATCATCAAATCTATATAAATTACCATCAGATTCATCATCAGCATCAACACCAACATCTCCAACTAAAGCATTTGAACAATCAAGAATCTTACATAACAATGTCCCCACTAGTGCTCCATCCCTTAAACAAGAAGAATTGAATCGTCAACATGATCGTTCAACAAATCAAATTGGGTCTATTGCTAAAAAATTTGGTTCTGATTCATTACCTTCAATTGAATGGGAACATCCAGAATTAAACAAGATTGAAAAGAGAATGATTAATAAAGAATTGGAAACTAAAAAAGTTATGATCAATTTGATATTATTATTATCTTCAAATTTAATTTATAATTTCTTGGATCTAATTTATAAAAAAATCATCAATATGGAATTATTTGAATTGAATAATCCAATCAATTTCAATTTCAAGAATTTATTAATCTTTTTCCAACTTTTATTCCTATGGAATATTATTAATGGGTTATATAAAGTGTTAAAACCTCAAGATCAATTTACTGATTTAAACTTAACTCCTCATCAAAGAGAATTATTAGGATTACCACAAGTTCCAACAATGAATACATCATTTGAAATAATTAAACCAACAACAACAAATACCTCAACAACTATTAGCTCTGAAAAACCTGAAAAGGAATCTTTCAAATTAAGTCCAAAAAAGACAAGTCATACCCCAATTGCATCACCAATGGCATCACCATCAAAATCATTTTCACCTAAAAAAATTTCAAATCAAGGTCAACAACAACAATCAAGAGTATTACAATTAAAGAATCAAGAATTACCGAAAACTCCAAATCAATCTACACCAACTTATATTCCATCCCCAAAATATTATTATAGGATGGATTCACCAAGTCGAACAAGAAGAAGACCTTTATAAATCTATTTAGAACTCTATTCTAATGGCCAATAACCTGGGAATAAATAATGCATTTTTTCTAATAATTCTCGTTTAACACCTTTTGGATTAGTACTAACACTAAATTTCATTGAATTTTTCAAATCATTACCAATATTACCATTTTTAATTTCAATTTCCAATTTTTCAATAATTTCAATAGCCAATTTATTTGCATTTGCACTATTTGCTTTTAAATTCCCAACAACAGTTTGTACAGTGACTGGTTCATCATCTTCTCTCCATGCATCATAATCAGTACTCATACAAATCATTTGATAAGAGATCTCAGCCTCACGAGCCAATTTCGCCTCAGGGATAACACTCATGTTTATAACAGAACCTCCCCAAGATTGATATAATTTTGATTCAGCTCTTGTGGAAAAAGCTGGACCTTCCATACAGATAACTGTTAAATCTTTTGAATCCAATTGTTTTGAATGTAATTTAACTTGAGGATGACCATCTTCATTTTCTAAAACATGTTCAAATTCACTAATTATTGAACTTAATTTTGGATCAAAAGGTTCACCAAATCCAGCATGAGCTACAAACCCCTTTTCGAAAAAAGTTGAATTTCTAATCCCTTTAGTTCTATCAATGATTTGATTAGGTATAACGAAATCTCTTGGTTTGATTTCTTGTTTTAATGACCCAACTGCACTGAATGCAATTATAACTTTAACACCAATTGATTTCAAAGCAGAGATATTTGCAGTTGATGGAACATCACTTGGTAATAAATCATGATGAACACCATGTCTTGCCAAAAAGGCAACGTTGAACCCAGTAGAGGTCTTTGAAATTGTGATTGATGATGATGGTGCACCCCATGGTGTGTGTAATGTTAATCTGGCCACAGGTGTTAATGAGGAAAGGTGATATAAACCTGTGCCTCCAATGATTCCCAATTCGACAGGTTCGTTGAAATGGGTTGGTAATTTGGCAAAGTCGATTGATTCTCTGTGTTGGGACATTTTGAGGATCCTTGTTGATGGGAATATGAATCTATTAAACTTGACAATTTTGGAATGTAGTTCAATTGATGGTGATGATGATGATGAACGTGGTTGATGTTGATGGTTTTTTTTCATGTGGCTTTTGAAAAGAAAATACATTCGCGGAATTGATGATGATTAATGGAGGCTTCGGTTTGAAGATTAATCGAGACAAGATGGTGATAATCAGGTGAAGGTGGTTGGAGAAGTTATATTTAGTTTATTTGTGGTGGTTTTAGGGTGTTTCCTCGAGTTTGAACCATTTCAATAGCACTACTATTAGTTAAATTCAAAAGTATTTACAGCAATATCATTATTCATAATTTATGTACATCAGCATCTTAATCTAATAGATTCCCTCTTCTCAGCTTATCTCATTCATATTGTGAAACCATAACCTTTCATACATGATTTGTATTGAGTAATGATATCATCACATTTACCAGAATCTTGACCATTGATTAATAAACATTGATCTCTTGTTTCTTTTTCCGGTTTGCAAACACAGCAAGGCTTTGGTTTGGATTCGGTTGTTGTTGGTTGTGACATGGCTAGTGATAGTAATAATATAGTAACTTTGATAAACTAATAGTTAATGAAGTTAATCGAAAGTTTATGAATTTTATTCAAATTTGAATTCAAAATGAGATTTTTAATCGTATGGCTTACTAATGATTATGTAATTAACACATCACGTGATATTATATAATCATTACCCTACCTTATATAATGATTACCTAATTACTTACCTAATTTCTTTCTTATAACCCCCTCATTATTACGTAACAACAGGGCATTTTAAGCGCCATAGGCTAATTCTCATCAGATTCACAAAAGGTTCAATTGGAAGGTCAAGGAGATACAATTGATTATTAAAATCCTATTGGCTAATAACTCAATTAATAACGTGATTTTGAATCTAAAATAGCAATTGACTGGATTGACTGAATTGATATAAATACACCAAAGATTATCCCACTTTATCCAATCTGAATTAGCAATTATAACAAGAATCAATTACAAGACATGTCCTCAGTCGCCACTTTAAACAATGGATTGAAATATCCTTTAGTCGGTTTAGGTTTATGGAAGATTCCAAATGAAGTTGCAGCTGAACAAGTTTATCAAGCTATAAAGCAAGGTTATAGAGCTTTTGATGGTGCCACTGATTATGGTAATGAAGTTGAAGTTGGTCAAGGTATTAAGAAGGCATTAGATGAAGGTTTAGTTAAAAGGGAAGAATTAGTTATTATTTCAAAATTATGGAATACTTTCCATCATCCAAAAAATGTTCCAATTAATTTAAACAAGAATTTAAAAGATTTACAATTGGATTATATTGATTTATATTATATTCATTTCCCAATTGCTACTAAATTTATTCCAATTGAATCGAAATATCCACCAGCTTTTGGATTTGAAAATGAAGAAGGATTTGAATTTGAAGATGTTCCATTATTAGATACTTATAGAGCCTTAGAGGAACAAGTTAAATTGGGTAAGATCAAATCAATTGGTGTTTCGAATTTTTCAGGTGCTTTATTACAAGATTTATTAAGAGGTGCCAAAATTAAACCAGTTGCCTTACAAATTGAACATCATCCATATTTGGTTCAAGATCGTTTGATTCAATATGCTCAATCACAAAAGATTCAAGTTGTTGCATATTCATCATTTGGTCCATTATCATTTATAGAATTAGATAGTGAATTAGCCAAGACAACTCCACCATTATTTGAAAATGAAGTTATCAAGAAAATTGCTTCAAACCATAACAAAACACCATCACAAATTTTATTAAGATGGGCAACTCAAAGAGGAATTGCAGTTATTCCAAAATCTTCAAATAAGGAACGTTTATTACAAAATTTAACTGTGGAGAACTTTGATTTGACAAAGGATGAATTGAAGGAAATTTTAAGTTTAGATAAAGGATTAAGATTTAATGATCCATGGACTTGGAAGAATGCAGGTATTCCAACTTTTGTTTAAATAATCATTAAAATAAACGATTAATAAAATAATAAAGATGTTAATGTAAATTTTCGATCTAAAAAGACATAATGAATCTGAAAAAAAAACTCAACCTTTAACCAACAACATCATCAACAATGACCACTACAACTCCATTAACTAAAAAACTCCATTTAGCACTTTTACAATTTGCAGTATCTAGTGATAAATTGGCCAATTTCCATAAAGTGGAATCTCTAGTCTCCAAAGCCGTTAAAGCCCATCCAAATCTCGATTTAATAGTTCTTCCAGAATGTTTCAACTCACCATATTCAGTTAAACTCTTCAAGAAATATGGTGAAGATATTCCAAATGGTGAAACCACCAAATTCTTATCCTCCCTGGCAAACAAGTACCAAATCAACGTTATAGGAGGTTCATACCCTGAAGCTCACCACAATCAAGTCTTCAACACCTCCACCGTCTTCAACAAATCTGGAGACCTCATAGCGCAACATCGCAAGGCCCATCTCTTCAACATTGACATTCCCAACAAGATCACCTTCCAAGAATCAAGAGTCCTCAACGCTGGTGACAAGCACACTCAGTTCGCCCTCCCTGGCTTTGGCTCACTGGGACTGGGCATCTGCTACGACCTACGCTTCCCAGAGCTCGCCATGATGGCTGCTCGTCGTGGGGCTTTTGCGATGGTGTACCCAGGAGCATTCAACACCATCACGGGGCCATTGCACTGGGAAGCTCTGGCCAGGGCGAGGGCCATTGACAACCAGCTCTACGTTGTGCTGTGCTCTCCAGCGAGGGACTTGAGTGCAAAGTACCATGCGTATGGCCATTCGCTGGTGGTGGATCCCATGGGCAAGGTGATTGTGGAGGCTGGAGAGGGCGAGGAGACCATTTACTGTGAGCTGGAGCCTGAGCTGATTGCTGAGACCAGACGGAGCATTCCTGTTAATGAACAGAGACGGTTTGACATTTACAAGGATGTTGGTGATGGAGGTGAAATTGGTGATGTTGTTTAATGAAAAAAAACAAAATATTACAGATGGAATGTAAATGAGTATTTTGTAGGATAAACATGAGCATCACAACGGATTCAAAACGATCGATCCAGTCAATCGTTCCTAATGCTAAGGATCAGTATGATTATTTGGCTAAGGTTATTATAATAGGTTCTTCAAATACAGGGAAATCTTCAATTTTACATCGTTTTATAAAGAATGATTTTAATGAAATACTATCTTCACAAACTATTGGAGTGGAATTTAGTTCCAAAATCATGAAAACTCAGGATGATACTAGTTTTAAATTACAACTATGGGATACTGCTGGTCAGGAAAGATTTAGATCTTTAACACGAAGTTATTATAGAGGTAGTGCTGGTGTTGTGCTATGTTTTGATTTAACAAATTTTGAACAAACTTTTAATGAATTGGATGGATTTATACAAGATATCAAGGCATTGTGTAATGATCCTTCCATAGTACTCGTGGGGAATAAATGTGATCTAGAAAGTGAAGATAATGATGATTTAATTAATGGTTTCATACAAAAGAATCAAATTACTGGTTTTTTGAAAACTTCTGCAAAGAATGGTGATAATATTTATGAAATCTTTAATTTATTAAGTGAATCTATCCTTGATAAAATTTCAAAAGGTGAAATTGATCCTGAAGATCAAAGTTTTGGTGTACAATATGGTGATAATTTATTAATACCCAACACTTGGGACAATAACACATTAAACAGTTCAAGATTCAATACAATCCAACACATCACACCAAGAAACATAATCAAAAGGAAGAAAACAACACTAAGTCTAATTGATCGAACACTGGATAATAATAAAAATACATGTTTTTGTTAATAATTCTATACTCTTATTCCTCAATGATCCTCTGAAACATCACGCATTTCAATAGCACTTCTTTGACCAGAATGACCCATTTCCACATCAACAATCCCTTCGAAAAAAGTCTCTCTCAACTCCTTCCACCTTGTTGACCATGTCCCCAAACTAACCAATATTAAACAACTACCAACCTGAACACTCCACCAAACAAAACTTCTTGGGAACTCACCACTATATATCCAAACCACAACCAAATTGATAGCATGTATAGTTATGGCGAAATCCCATGCCAATTTACTCCTCCCGACTATTACAGTCATGAATAACACACATAATAACGAATCAAATAACCACATTCCAATTATGGTCAAACCTAATGAATTATCTAAACTGACTAAATCCCAATTGAAAACCCAGCCAAAATTGAAGTCTAGCCCCAGGATCCATGCTATTGAGAATGATAACACCGTGGCTGTTATGTAGTAGAAACATTGGAGTAGTATGATTTGTATTGTTAATTTTGATGGTGATGATGATGATGATGAAGATGAATCTTGAGATGTTATTTCAGAGAGATTTGGGAGTTTGAGGTATCCTTGGAATCGTTGGAGTCCAGACAATGCGTGCCTGAGGTTGTTCATGGTGTATTTGTGGTTTATTTGTTGAGTTAATTGTCAATTCAATGTCAATTTGATAATGGTTTAGTTTTAATCTTGTTTTGTTTTTTCAATTGATGTTTTTTTTGGTGAGAAAATGGCTGTGGAAAATTTGTATGGAAAATGAAGAGAAAACAATGGGAATTTTTGGGTGATTAAACGATTTTTTACTGGTTAAATAATAGTTTCAATTAATTATTAGTTATATGTCAAAATTAAATGAAATTAATCAAAATTTAACCAATTTTAAGTCTTTTTCACTTCTATCAAAAATCTGCCTAAGAGTGGCCCAAAACCAAAACCAAAATATAGAAAAAAAAATTTTGAGATGAGCTTTAAAATTATTTAGAAATTAAATTAAAAGAATTCAGAAAGAGAAATTGGATTAATTAGTGATGGGAAGATTTGATGACTTTGTGCCAACTATCTCTGATAGTGAGGAGGATATTCCTGATTTCGATACAGACGAGGAAGAAGTGAAACAAGAGGAGCAAAGTGCTATTGTTGAGACCCAAAAGAAGAGTAATAAGAAGAAGAAGAAGAATAGTAAAAAAGAACAAACTGTGGACCAAGATGAGGAACAAGATGATTTGAACCATGATTTTGTGTTTGATGTTGATGGTGGTGAAACTGTTGCAGATTTCGAAGGGTGGGATTTCAAAGGTGATGAAAAGACTGGATATGAAAAGAAGGATGTTGATCTTGATGGAATTATTAGAAGAAAAGGTGGTCTTGGGCAACTAGCTGGTAGTAAACCTGATGAGGAAGAAGAAGAAGAGGAAGAGGAAGAGGAAGAGGAAGAAAATGAGGAAGATGATGATGACTTAGCATTAGATGGATTTGGTATGGGTGTCAATAAACCAACTGAAGTTGATGAAGATGAAGATGACGAAGACGAAGAAGAAGAAGAAGAAGAAACACAACCTATTGTTGAATCAGACCAAGAATCAAAAGATGAAGATGAAGATTCCCCTGAAGAAATTGCCAAATTTTATGCCCCAACTGAAGAATCTGAACAAGCTAAAAAGCAAATCCATAAAACTTTCAACTCATTAGACCTATCAAGACCTGTCTTAAAAGGTCTTTCCGCACTAGGATATACAAAACCATCCCCAATTCAAAGTGCTACAATCCCAATCGCTTTATTAGGTAAAGATATAATTGCAGGTGCCGTTACAGGTTCAGGTAAAACTGCTGCTTATATGGTTCCAGTTATTGAAAGATTATTATATAAACCTGCCAAAATTGCATCAACAAGAGTCATTGTCCTAACACCAACAAGAGAATTGGCTATCCAAGTTGGTGATGTTGGTAAAAAAATTGGTAGATTTGTTAATGGCCTAAGTTTTGGTTTAGCTGTTGGTGGGTTGAATTTAAGACAACAAGAACAAGAATTGAAACAAAGACCAGATATAGTTATTGCTACACCTGGTAGAATAATTGATCATTTACGTAACTCTGCAAGTTTCAATGTTGATAATGTGGAGATTTTAATTGTTGATGAAGCTGATAGAATGCTGGAAGAAGGGTTCCAAAAGGAATTGACTGAAATTTTGGATATTTTACCAACAAAGAGACAAACATTATTATTCTCAGCTACTATGAATTCTAAAATCAAGTCATTAATTCAATTATCTTTACAAAAACCTGTTCGTATTATGATTGATCCTCCAAAGCAAGCAGCCACTGGATTAGTTCAAGAATTTGTTAGAATTAGAAAAAGAGATCATTTAAAACCTTCTGTATTATTCAACATTTTGAAAAAATTCACAAAAGATCAAAGAATAGTTATATTTGTGGCAAGAAAAGAAATGGCACATAAATTGAGAATCATTTTAGGTTTATTAGGGTTAAAAGTTTCAGAATTACATGGATCTCTTACACAAGAACAACGTTTACAATCCATAAATAATTTCAAAGATCTAACTGTACCAATTTTAATCTGTACAGATTTGGCTTCAAGAGGTTTAGATATTCCTAAAATTGAAGTTGTTTTGAATTTTGATATGCCAAAAAACCATGAAATTTATCTTCATAGAGTTGGTCGTACTGCAAGAGGTGGTCGTGAAGGTAGATCCATTTCATTTGTGGGAGAATCAAGTTCTGATAGATCTATTGTTAAAGATGCAATTAAAAGTATTGAAGATAATAAAATTGGTAAAACTGTTGGTCGTGAAGTTAATTGGAAAGAAGTTGAAGAGATTAATAAAATTTTGGAATCTAAGAATGAAACAATTGAAGAAATCTTGATGGAGGAAAAATCTGAAAAGGAAATGTTGCAAGCTGAAATGGAATTACGTAAAGGTGAAAATTTATTAAAATTCAAAGATGAAATTCAATCAAGACCAAGAAGAACTTGGTTTGAAAATGAAAGTGATAAGAAAAAACCAATTTCTGGATATTCTGATAAGGATAAAATGAAAGTTTTAGCAAAGAATAAAAAAGTTAATAGTAAGAAAAGAAAACAACAAGAAGCTAGAGAAGATATTCCAAGAAGTTACAAAAAGACTAAAAATGATAGAATGAGTGATCAAAAGAAAGCAAATAAAAAGGGATCAAAGGGTAAAAAGAAATAGAGCAGAAATGTTTCATGTATTTTAATATAAACTACAAATTCACAATAGAATAAACCAGTATTCAATTAAATTCTCTCAAGAATAATAAAAATTTGTAGATAATTTTTCTAAATTTTCCAAATCATAAATTTGTTCATCATCAACAACGTTATTATCAATTTTAACATCATAATTCAACAATTGAACAGTCTTTCTAATTTCAAACAATTTATCAATTTGGAAATTCAAATCATCAGATAATTTATCATAATGACCTAATAATAAATTCAACCCATCTAAATAATTGAAAGAATCATGTTTTTTAGCATAAAATGTAAATAGCACTTTTCCCTTTCTATTAATCAAAGTTATCTTGTTGATGATAGTCTTACCAACAAGATTAATCAATCTTGAACTTTCACTAGGGTTTGTTCTTATAGCTGTTGGATCAACTTGTTGAATTTCTTCAATTTTAAAATTTGCAATTGAATTGATTTGAATTGGTGTGCCAATCTTATCAATATTTGGGATATTTTGAGTTTTGAATTTATACTCTTTATATAATAAATTTTTAAAATTTGGTGAAAGGATCATGAAATAAAAATTTGAATCAGGAGTTGTTGATTGATCTGATGTGTTGAACGTTGGTAAATCTGCAAAGACCCAAGCACCTTTGGATAATTGTAAAAATCTTTGATTTTTGATAAATTCGAAAACTTGATTTTTTAAAATCTTGTCAAAAGATTGAATTTCTAATGATGCTTTTGATAAATTTTCATTTTTATAATTGTTTAATTGAATTTCTCTTAATTTTGAATAATTTGTTGTTTTGAAAATTGTTAGAATTTGATCAACAACATGTAATTCATCATTTAATTCATCGTTCAAATGTTTTAATAAAATTTCCACTAATGGTGATAAATTTTGCAATTCATCTTGTTGTGCACCTGATTCTTTCCAAATTTCTAAAAATTTTGAAATTATATTAAAATGTAATAAATCTCTTAGGAATAAATATTGTTTCAAAATTGGGAAACTTGTTGATTGATCAGTTTGGAAAATTGCCAATAATAAAGTTGTGACTCTTTGTGAAACAGGTATTAAGGGGAACATTTCAGATTTATTATTATTAAACAACATTTGTTCATGGAATGATTTTTTGAATGTGATATTTGAACTTTGTGAGAAAAAATAAAAATCAATCAGTTGTAAAATTGAGAAATTGTTGATAATGAATGATTGATGGTCTTTTTGCATTGCAAATTCTGAAGTTTCTTCAATCATACTTAATTGTAAAATATTATGTTGATCCACTTTAATTTCATTTAAAGTGTTTAATATTTTCAATAAAGATTCATTCAATTTCTTGATACTTGGTGATAATATTTGTTTAAATCTTTGATCTTGTAAAATGTTGTTTAATATGATGAAATATTCAGATTTTTGTAATTTTAGGAAATATTTAATCAAATAATTTAAACTGTAGAGCTGATAATGATTGATACTGAAATAACCATTGATAAATTCCAAAGATTTTAGAATCAAATCAACATTTTCAGTGTATAATTTTGTACTTAGCACATCCAAGAATAATAAATTTGAGTTTAGAGATCTCAATAATGGATTTAGATACTCTGAAGGATCAACTTGATTAAATATTTCACCTTTCAACATAATCAATAAGATCCGGAATGTAGCCATAATGTAATCCACCGTGGTACTTTTGGTAATTGAGCCTAGTATACCATTTAGCAATGTTTCATCCAGCACATTAACAAACAATTCATTTGGTTTTGAAGATCTAATGACATGGGATAATAAGATTATTGATTTGAACTTATCTGGAGATTGATTGGTTATATGGGCTTTTAGATCGTTGAGGAATTGTAATGAGACCGATTCTTCGAGATATTTGCCCTTGGCTTTTTGCTTCTCAAATGCCTGCTCTATTGATTTGGCAGAAGGAGGTGTGGTCATGGTTTGAAGTGGTTATTTGGACGTTGGGTATTAAATGGTTTCTGGTTGAAATGTGCTGATGAAATGATCTCGAGATCTTGAAAAAAAAAAAAAAATTCGAGATTACAACGTTAAATTTTAGAAGGTACATCCTTTTATTTACACTAAAACTATTCATTATCTCATTTCAATTCCAATTCCATTGGATTCTTCATCTTTTTTTGGACCTCTTCTTTTTTTTCCGGATGTTGTTGGCCAAATTATACCTCAAGATGTCATCTTTGGTATAACCTCTTTTATAAAGACATGGCTGATGTTTGGCAAGACAATAGGAACAAGTCTTGAATTTTATGATTTTCTCATTGGAATAAATCAATTTGAACCCTTCGTCTAATTCATCCTCGGTCATGTATTTTTTAATCAAATTTTCATCTTTTATTTCATCTTTTTTGGTTAAGTTTAGGTCATAAAGTACATCAATCTCCATTATTTCAACATGAGCATCACATTTGATCTTTTTAGACCTGCAGAAATCACAACTTGGACCAACTCTTTGTCTTTTAGATTTGGATGGTCTAACTTCATAGGACAATGTTCGTTTTAGTTCTTTTGGTGGTGTTGATTGTTTGATTAATATTGGCTCAATTGATGGCTCTTTTTCTTCTTCTTCTTCTTCTTCTCCTCCACTTGAAAACCCATCGTCTTGATCTGAAGCACCAGCACTTGAAATGGAACTGATTGAGCTTCTCGCACTGAACAAATCACTTGAATTGGAACTAGTTGTGCTCAATTGTGACCAACTTCTTTCTCTAGGTATGAAATCAGCAGCATTCTTCAATTGTGTCAAATCCAGTTTCAATAGATAGGAAATTGGTACATTTGATAGTTCTAAAGAGAATGATGGTTTCAATGGCTCAATAGCAGGTATTAACAACGGTCTGTTGTCTCTTTCTGCTGATATCACAAAACTCATGGCTACTACAGAATAGAATAGAATTAAAACACACCATCAAATCCAAACCACTTCGATCATCTTTATACTCTTGAAAAGGTACACCTGTGGTTATCGGTTGTGTCACTACAAAGTCCGAGTAAACCAACTTCTAGTGTACTTATTATCTTTATTTACCTTGTTGGTTATATACATAGTGGGTCACGTGCTAATCACGTGACTTAATAGCCCTAAATTTTATTATGTAATCAGGATTACAACAGGGTAAATTTCGCGAATCTTCATTTCAATTTTTTTTAAATTTTCTTAAAAGCGTTGAATTTTTTCAGTCTTTTAACTAGTTTCAATTCAATAAAACAGAAACAATTCAATTGGTATGTCTTGAACAGAACTCATATTGATCCCATTCTCTTTTAAATGATGAGAAACAGTCCTTAGTGACTTTTATATTTATATAAACCCAGCTCTTCGACTAATCTGTTCGTGAGAAGAAAACTTGTCAAACGCTCTGATTTCAAAGATGATGATGATGAATCAATTTTAACTAGATAAGTCTCATTACTAACAATCACAAGAATGTCAATTGAATAACAATATTGAATGAATATATATACATGCTCTATTAAAAACTCTATGTAACTTTTCACTTTGTCTTTCCTCCAACAGCCTTGAATATTAGAATATCACCATTCTCAATTATATAATCTTTACCATGTCTATCGAATCTAATAGCTTTTTCCACATCTGCAACATCTTTCAATTCATCTTGTCTTTCAATAACTTTGTCAGATTTTGAAACTAATACATTGATGAAATTTTTTTGTAAATCTGTATGAATTAATCCTGCACCTTCTGGAGCTGTTGATAATTTTTTAATATTCCATTCTTTTGCCTCAATTTGACCACAAGTATAATAACTAATCAAGTTTAATGAATCCTTCATTGCTAAAACCATTTCGTTAATAATTGGTGAAGATTCTTCACTATTAACAAATTCATGTTCATGATCTGCACTAAACATTATTAACTTATCATTTGGTGAATATTCTTTTAACCAATTTTGCACTCCTTCAATATATTTATTAGTTTGGGATTCATAATCTTGTTTGGAAACATTCAATAAATAAACAGTAGGCTTCGCCGTTAGGAACTTGTGTTTATTTATAACCTTAACATCATCTTCATTCCATTCCAAATAATTTGATAATTTACCATTTTCAAATAATATATCATTAATTTTCTCCAGCACTTCATTCTCTTTAATCATCTCCACTCTTAAATTCTGTTTATTCATATCTTTTTTATTTCTCTCCATCGCACTCTCCACTGTTTCTAAATCTTTTAATAATAATTCATCATTAACAATTTCTAAATCTCTTATAGGATCAACATTAATTTCAACATGTGTGACAGTATCATCATCAAACCCACGAACAACATGGAAAATACCATCAACATTTCTAATATCAGCCAAGAATTGGTTCCCTAAACCTTCACCTTTTGAAGCATTTCTCACCAATCCTGCAATATCCACAATCTTCAAATATGATGGTGTTATCTTTGAACTTTTGAAAATTTTGGATAATGAAATCAACTTTGATGATGGCACTCTATACAGTGCCTCTTCGGGCTTTATGGTGGCAAATGGGAAATTATTTGGATTCCCCAATAATGATTTAGTTATTGCTTGGAAGAATGTACTTTTACCAACATTTGCAAGTCCAACTATACCAACTGATAATTTACTACTTGTACGTCCGAGTAATGCATTGTTTGATCCTGATGTTTTCGATTTAGTGGTGACTTTCTTAGCGAGCGAAATGGATGATGTATTGAAACACCTTTTGAAACACTTCATAACTATTCATTGATGTCTTGAAAAGTTGATTGAAAAGTTGAAATCTGGAAGTGTAGTATATTTTTTTTTCACTATACACTAAAAATCATGTTGTATCAACCAAAAATTAAAACTAAATCTATAAATCATGTAAAGAATTATAATGTTCACCAAGAGCATAACTATGCTTATAATAAACCAGTTTCAACTCTTCGTTATTTCCATCCTCGTTTATTTTCAGAGTGGATCTCCCAGTCATCATCACTGAGATTGGTGAATCATATTCTTTACTCAATGCCAATATCTCTAAATCACTTCCCCATGCTGCAGTTTTTTCAATCTTTTCAGTATATTCATCAATGTTTTTCAAACTCATAGTTTCTTCATCAAACAAATATGGGATGAAAGTATCAGGGTCTTTTCTGATATGATTTGCAGCTTGAGTTCTAAGAGTTTTAATATCAACTTCAACACCTTGACGAATCTTCAATTGATCTGCAATTGATGCAAAGAGACAATTACCATCTGGCTTTATGTCAAATTCTTTTAGTTTAGCAATTGAACATAATGATTTTATATTTTCATCTTCAATTTTTTTAAAATCTGGTTGTAATGATGCTTCTTCCTCTGCTTGTTTTCTTTGTTCATCTAATGCTGCTTGTCTTTTGGCCAATCTCTCCTTTTGACGATTACGCTTTGGGCCCTTTTGTTGTTGCTGTTTTTGTTGTTGCTGTTTTGGCTCTTCTTCTTTCTTTTCAAGCTCCAATTGTGCTAATAATTTTTCAGGTGTCAATTCATCATCATCTTCATCTTCATCTTGTTCAACTTGTTTTGATTCTTCCAAGTTACCATCACCACCACGGGATCTAAGTTCCTAAAGGCAGGCATGTTAGTATTTATGTACCACTCAATTGATTTTTCTAAACTCACTTTTAATTCTTGTTCATGTTTTTCTTTCAACTTCAATTCCATATCTGCACATTTTCTTTGAACTTCCTTCTTTTTAGATTTTGTAGCTTGTTTCTTTAACCCTGTTATATTCGCTATAAGCTCCTTGTTCTCTTTTCTATGTCTTGCCAATAATTCATCTTCTGTTTCAAATTCACTCATCTTTTAATGATAACCTTCTATAAATTACACCTTTCTCATAAATGAATTAAAAAATCTTTTAAAGACCATATACAAAAGTCGCGAAAAAAAAAAATTGGTTCGGCCACCTCAAAAAACAAGCGACCCCGGACAGGATCGAACTGTCGATCTTGTGATTAACAGTCACACGCCTTAACCAGCTTGGCCACGGAGTCAATTGAACGGGTAATGTGCGGCGTCTGAAAAGCCTGACTATGCCGGAGCGGATATATGCGCCCGATGTGTTATGTGATTTATTGAACTATTTTAATAAGAAACATGACTTTAAAAATATACCATAATTTTTGCTAAAAGATGAGCTATATAATGATGTAAATTGAATTGTGAAAAAAAGCTTTTTTGGGATTTTTTTGAAATCATCATTTTTTTTATAAAATTTGAAACTAAAATTTAAAAAGCCACGGTGTCTATTTTCCTAATTTAATATAATTTCAGAAGTTAATTTTTACTTAGCGACGTTAATATAACACTCGGCCGCTTAATTGCAATTGAATTATATCGATTTTGAAGCTGTAGCTAGCTAATTATGAAAGCAAACTTGTAATATAATTTGAATTGAGCTAGTAGGCCCCTCTGTCGATATTATTGCTTTGTGTCGACGACGTTCATTTTTCTATATAGAAAAGCCTTTCCAGATTAAGCTACTTAGAACAAGAAGAAGCTTGAACATGATATCAAGGCACTACAATTTCTCAATTTCAAAAGATCATTATAAATCAAAATAATTTGAATAACCGTGTTGATAAAAAAACCGAGCAATTTGGCAGCTCATTGACATTTGAGCTTTCAACCATATTTTTCCTTGTGCTCTTTAAGCTTTTGATTCATTCGTTGTAACATGTCCTCAGGTATCGTTCTATCGTGATAGACAAGCTCAAATTGCTCGATATGCTCTTGTGCACCAGCATTCAATTGATGTATCCCATCCTGGAAAGTATAATACATGTCTGCACCATCACGCTCGGTCATTGTCATTTCGGCATGGCCCGTCAGAAAGCCTTGGATACAAGCAAGTATTGGACCATCAGTACCAGTGATATTCAAATGACGCCTAATCTCAGGAAATATTATAATTTTTTTATCCATTGAAATTCCATATTGGTAATTTTCAGGTGCAAAAGTTTGAACACATCTAAGAAATCTTTGAAGTGCTAAACCCGAAAAAGTTTCTATAGCTCCAGTGGTAACCATGAGAGTTGGAATGTAAAAAGACAATAAAGAAAATAGTTTGACCATTTTGGAATGTTTTTATTGTTCTGAAACAGTCATAGAATGGTTACAATGGGTTAGCATTGTATTTATAGTCACATCGTGACAGTGGCTAGATCACATGGACCAAAGTTGAGCTTGCAAGATTTTTAGTACTTTATTGGTCATACATTCAGTAGTTTTGAATCCAGAGTGCCCAATTTACCAAAGCTTGTGGTTCAGGATCATTTGTTTGACTCATAGGGATATAAATATGACTCAAACAAACCACAAATGAGCTGGATACACACTTCCGTATTCATTTATAATAGTGGTACCTAGCCGGAGCTTACCACAAAAGTAAGAGAAAGGGATCAACTACAAGAATCTCTTTAACCTAAAATTATAATCTTTTAAAATAGTATACAATGAACTGTCTAGTTTAACTAACGATGAAAAAATAGTGTAACGTGAATGGAAAAATAAAACTGTCATAATGGAAATGAAAAAATAAACATAATATATTGTACAATGAACCATATTGAAAACCCATAACGAAAAAAATAAAAATGAAAAACCGAAACCAATGACATAAGAAACTAACAATTTTGCATAAAATGCTTTTTGTTCATCTATTCAAAAAGTTGAATAGCACCAAATGATTGTTCAATACCATATTCACCTGGTTGTTTCCAGTAATCATCAAATGTTGACAAAATTGTAACACCATTATCTAATTTATCCAAGATATCTGCAATAGCAATTTTTTGGTTTTCTGGAGATGGAATGTTTCCACCATTTTGATCACCTTTATGTGGGTAACCAGTTTCAGTAACAATAATATCTTTACCACCACAGATTTTAGCAACAATATCAACTTGACCTTTAACAAAAGAACCAGCAGTACTAGCTTTTGAGTTTTTGTCAAAGTATGAATGAGGATTGACACCAACGAAATCAATATCAGCTTCAGTACATAATGATGGATTTTCTTCAAAAGTCACTGGTGGTTCAGATGTGGTAACTTTACCTTGATAACCTGCACTTTGTAGTTTACCTTTAACTGATTTGATCTTTGAAACTAAGTCTGAAACAGAAATAAAACCAGATTGAACAGCTTCATTACCAATGGTTAAATAATCAAAAACGTCAAAACTGTTTTGTTGACCGTATTTGATGATAGCATCAACAGCATCATCAATTGAGTTACCACCTTCTGGACTGATCCAGAAACCTTGGTTAACTTTCAAACCTAATGAAGCAGCATTTGGTAAAACAGTGGTGATGGAGTTACAATCAGTACCATAAATACGAATTGTTTTAATACCAGTACCTTGAATCAATTTCAAATCAGATTTAACAGCATCATTATCTTTACAAGTACCATCATTATTGTAAGGACTGTAAACAATACCACTTGGAACGGAACCTAGTTTACCACCTGATGAGGTTGGAGTTGAAGAAGTTGAGCTGGAAGTCTGTTCGTCTGAAGAAGTGGTTTGAGAATTACCAGAGTCAGATGTGGTAGCAATTGAAGAGGCAGCAGCAGTTGGAGCTTGAGGAGCTTGAGATTGTTGATTGTTGTTTGAATCTTGAGAAGAGGAAGCTGGAGTTGAGTTATCACCACCATTGTTATTGTTGTTATTGTTGTTATTGTTGTTATTGTTGTTATTGTTGTTATTGTTGTTGTTATTATTATTATTGTTGTTGTTATTATTGTTGTTGTTGTTGTTATCTGTTGGTTGAGATTCTGGAGATGAAGTTGGTGATAATGTAGTTGTTTGGCCAGCATTAGTTGGTTCAACATTATCATTAACAACACTTGTGAAAGTGGTTGGTTGAGCTAATGATGCAGCATCAGTTAAAGTGTAAGTATAAGTAACACCATTACTAACCAAAATTTCAACAGTTGGCGCAGTCACAGTATTTGTAGCTGTTGAATAAGTATCAGTGACAGTGACAGCGTCTGCAGTATGTTGTCTAGTGATGACAATTGGTGCTGATAAAGCAATTTGACATAAATTGAAAGCTAAAGCGATTGATGAGAATTTCATTTTTGAAGATGTTCCAGATAATAAATGAATGACTGTTAGTGTGATTTGATTTAAAGAAAGACTATAAGTTGGAAACTATTATTTTGAAAAGAATGAATGTGGGTGAGTTATCACGACTAAACTTCTGGAACTTTGATCTGAACGTTGAAATGAATGAATGGAGATATTGAATTCAATGAAAACCAAATAACCTTAATGGAATGAATGGGATCATCTCACCTTTTATATTCCAATGTAAAGGCTGGTATTTTCCCAAACTTCTCCTACTTTATTATTGTAAACCAAACTTCTTGATCTGGATGGCTGGTTACTTGAGTCCAGATCATGCATGAACGTGCATACTGGTTGAAAAATTATTCACCGAGTTTTCAAAACATTCTAGATTCTGTCGATGAGTTCCAGATTTCAACTACCAGCACACATTCAGTGGTTAAATGGGCTTGTGGTTTGATGATTCAATGAAAAGAATGGAGAGTTGAAGTTCAAAAGATGTTTGAGTTTGTAGTTGATCCCTCAATCTGTATCTCCGAGATTTGATTTTGATGTCTAACACTGTTTTGTTCCTCCAAATAATGTTTCTTTAGCTATGTAGTTATTATGAACTTTAATACTTGATACCTCTTATCATTCTATTGTTTGGACCATTCTCATTCATGTACTCTTGCTTTCAAAATTCCATTTCAAATTTGGTTAGTTTCTGCCCAAAAAAGTTTTCATGCATAATCACCGAGAAGACTTATGTAATCTTTCACCGAGAACGAAGAAAAGCCAGCACAAAACAGCACCAGAATTTGAAGTAAATACTTCAAGACGAATCAGGAAATGGATCAAGCATCTTTCCTAAAAGGTAATGGCAGGTTTTTAATTGACACCATCAGTACTTGAAAGTTGACATCATCGTTATAGGTTCAGATGTAGACTGATTGATTTATCCAGCCTTATTTTGGAGAGCACCAGATGAGGTTGATGATTTGATTTTGTTTAAAGGTTGGTCGACGTTGAGATCATCATGTATGGAACTTGATACGAATGACAGTTTGCTGGCGCCAATGTTGATATCAATAGACACAATGATTTGGGATGTTGTGATATTCAGGAGTAAACTGGAAGGGTGAAAAGATTTTTCTTCGAAGAAGCTTCAGATCGCGAACCACACAAGTATTGTTACGACTAACCACAGAGACAAGATGAAATTAATTAGCTATATTCATTTTACTATCAAGCTTTGTTTTGAACCATAGTCACTTCCTCTAGACCCAGATCAAACTAACTCCTGGTTAGCAGAGTGCTGTATAGATGATGAAACAATACTCACAATCAATTTCTTTGGATCAATAAACTCAGCAATGTACTTGAGAAAGTTTTTATACTATTTTGAAGTCAGTAAAGAAGTCAAAATAATGGTTTGAAGATTATACTCACTAGTTTCTGTCTCTTTTGAGACTCACTTGTGATTGAGGCTGATAGAGACTTTATCTTATTCACCGATTCAGTGCTTATACTTGGCTTTGATTTTGCAGCTTCAATTTTATGTGATAAATCTTCCACTTCTTTCTGCAACGACTTGAGCTCAGCATCAAGCTCTTCATCTGATGGATACTTTGTTGTTTCTGAAAGTTCTGCATGCTGTTAGTTCAAAAACTTGTTTTATCACCATTTCAACTCACCAGTTTGTAAGGCACTCAAGTTTTGACTTGCCTCCTTGATGTTCTGCTTCATAACCTCTAGTTCCTCATCATAATTTATAGATTCTTCTGATTGATCCTGACAGCTGTTAGAATCTGTTTTGATTTAATTATGTATCATTCACTCACCACTTCAACTTTATTTGCAACCGATATTGACATCTTTCCAAGAACCTTTGTAACAATCTTGTTCTCAGCAGTCAAGTTTTCTAAAGCTTTGACAGCGGCAGCCTTGGAGATGTTGCCATGTAGGTTCTGGATGATATCGTTGACTGAGTAAGGGCGGTACTGTTGCTCGAGGTACTCTAAAATGGTCTTTTCAGCTTCAATTCTGTTAGCCTTTGATTAAAAACCCACATCAAAACAACTCACCTTCATCTCCTTTCACTTGCACTTTCTTCTCTTTCTTTGGAGGCATCTTTGCTTTAGTTTTTAGAAGTTATGAAGAAAAGAATGAGTTGTATAAAGCTTTCATCATTTCAGCGGCTAATTCTACAAGTAAAGATTTGAAAAATGACATCTATTCCATCTATTTCAACGACTCTGGCATTCTCATAATCACAGTAACAAGCCCAGTCCAGCCTAAAAAGTGCTTAGCTCCCTTGGCCTTACCTGTCTTGTCATCATACTGTTCATGGGCGAACCCTGTTGCCCTCCACTGTCTGTAGACGTTGTTGACAAGATTCTTTCTGAGCTCAGTGTATGTCTTATTGGCCAACGCAAAGGTATCTTGATCAAGTTGCTTAGCGTTTTCACCAGTACCATAATGTAATAAACTGTCCAAGACCAAATAGTTGATATTGAGCCAAATCGGACCTCTCCAGTAGTCTTCATCTGTTCTATAGAATTCATTGGACTTTGAAAGGGATCTCAAACCAAATGGTGAAAATAACTCTTCTGGATCAGCAATCAATTCGATAACATCACGAATGTGCTTGTTGCCAGGTGCCAACATCTTTAATGCAAATGGGAATAGAGAGATATATCCTTTAGCACAGTAGAAAACATCATTGTCAGCTTGATCAACAGAAACATCACAATATGCTTTATCCTTTTCTGACCAATGAAGATCTTCAATGTTTCTTTGGATGGCATATTCAACTTTGGAGTACTTGGCAGCATCTTCCTTTTTACCTAATAACTCAGCAATCTTCTTCATAGATCTTGTCATTGTACCTACCCATGAAATCAAATCAACATTCAATTCAGCAATATCTGGTGGTTGGGCCCTTGGGTAATCATCAAGACCAGATGGTAAGTTATGTGTGAAAGTACGACCTTTCCATCTATAAGCTTCCACTGGTGAAGATGGTTCACGCTCAAATTCTTCCAATTCACCCCTTTGAGTTCTCTTGAACCATTCGTAATGTGATTGTAATTTCGGATAAATTTTTTCAGCGTAATCAATCAAAAGATCTGGATATTTTAAATGTGCATCCGTCAACTCTGTAAAGTCAACTTTCCCATACGCATCAACAGTTTCTGGTTCATCAATGTCACCCAAATCCGCTGAACCTTCTTGAGCTTCTTTAGCTTTATTTAGTAAATCAGTGAATAACAACATTAAAGTTGGAGGATTTGCAATATTTGGATTTTGAACTTGGAATTCAACTGGAACTTGACTTCTTGCTTCAGCACCCAAGATTTGTTCTCTAGCGATCCATCCATCTTCATCAATCAAATTGAACCAACTTTTCAATATTTCCAAAACCAAATCTGTATCATATTGTAAGATTGGAATCAATTGGAAACCTTCATCCCAGTAAAACCCTCTAGGGAAAAAAGTTCTTGAAGGGATAGCACTAAACAACTCAAAAGGACCTTCAGGTTTCCCATCCAATTGGATATTTTCATATTTCTCTTCATTAAATTCTGTTTCTCTATCAACTAAATGATCACCATAGAAATATCCAATACCTCCCATTATGTTAGATAAAAACTCTTCAGCAAATTTTTGATATTTTGGCTTGTTGAAAGGTGGTTGCAAATCAAAGACTTTGTTGAATTTATTTTCAAACTTGGAGATGGTTTTATTTGTTAATTCATCAATATCTTCAAACTCTAATCGTTTATCAGCATTCTCAATGTTAAAAGTGATATCAAATTCAAAAGCGCCTGTGAAAGTTTTTTGGATAAAATGTAAGTTACCTTCAAATCCATTGATATTTCTTAATGACATGAGTGAACTTGGATGTGGCATAACCTTTGCATCTGGATTCTTTGCAGCGATATCATTAACAGACTCACTAATCAAAACATTGAAAATATCCTTAGCTTTCCAAACATTACCATCCGGTACTCTCATTGAAAGATAATGGGTTCTAGCTGGATTCAAAGCTGGATCTGCCAGTTGACTCTTTTTTAGACTTTTATGTAGATTAGTCTTTGGACCATCACTAACATCAATCTCAAAACCTTGGAAATCTATGGAGTGACCTAGCAATTTGATCGAATCACCTTTCTTAAACCCTTCAGGAGGTTCACCAGATGCCGAAGTTAACATTCCTTCACCTTCTAACCCAGCATAGAAAACAATAGAATTAGTTTGAGATTCATAACCAGGTCTTGGAACACCTTTCACTTTCATAGCCCAATTACCATCTTTGGACTTTACGAAATCAGTAGTTATATCCAATTTCAATTCATTATCTTTAAACTCTTGACGACCTCCTAATCTTGGATCATATTTGGTCCAGCCAAAACCTTGGAAATCTGCACCATTATCACAAAAATGTCTAATTTTATGGATGTTTTGTATATCATCGGCATTGAACCAGAACAAACCTGAAACCAAAGAGTGTGGGATTCTCGGTCTTATACCCATGTAAGCATTTGGTCTATAAGGACCCCATAATAACGATTGATCAATGGCATTTTGGTAGTCTTTGATGAGTTGTTCTTTATCAACATCTAGCCCCGAAACAACTGTTAGAAGAGCCGTTAGAAGCAGCAGAAAGTTCCTTAGCATACTGATAGGCCAATTGGAATATCTCCTGTGGTTTTTAAATGAAGTGGGGAGGAAAAATGTGATTGGACTTCGAAGCTTTTAACAATCGAAGGCTTTGAAGGTCAAAGAGGCTCGTTTTTTTTCTTCGTGTAAAATTCGCGAATTTTCTATGTTGATGTTTTTTTGAGCTTTTCATAACATCAACAAAACCCATAAACATAGCTGAGTACAGCAAGATGGATACTCAAGATCAAGCAACTAGAGCATTGATGGCAGTGGCGGAATCGATGGGCGTCAAAATCGATCCCAAAGTCCTCAAGTTGAGCGCAAATCTAATCGACCAAGGTGTTGATCCAGTTGTGTTGGCAGTGAGTACACAATTGCAAGATAAATATCACAAAAACTAACGTGTTTTATTGCTATAGAAGGCTATCAAAGACATTCAAAAGGAAACCAGAATGTGATAGAATCCAGATCTACAATCTTAAAATACTCATATACGTTAAAGAAGAAGTTCAAATCTGGTAAACAATACACATTTCAAGACTATGTCCAAAACGCCAAATCATGAAGACCACTCTTTACAACACTATATCATTTCAGTCATGAAAAAATTGGTCCAGTTCTTGACCCGAACAACTCTCTGAAGCAGACAAGAAGGTATTCACATTTCATTTTGATGATTTCATAATAATATAGGTTGATTCTCTGATCCATTTGCATCTGTAGATGATTCTCTATTTGGTTGGAAAGAATTGAATCCAATCACACTCCCAGCTTGGTACGACCCAGAGCCATTCCCGTTAGGCAGTATAGGTGCATTTGATCTTGCATTCTGTTGTAGATTTGTAGCAGGTGTTGGTACGTTATTAGGAGTAGCAGCCTGATTCTTCTTTGTGTATGTTCTTTTCCTTTGAGGTGCCTTCTTGGAAGGAGGAGCTGCTGTTGTATTATTATTATTATTTGATGTGTTTGATGTATTTGAGGTTGATGATGAAGTTGTAGACGCCGTTGAAGGAGGTTTGACTTGGGGTTCTTGCTTTGGAGGTACTTTCAACTGGAGGTCCTGGTTGACCAGCTGAAGCAAGGGCGTTAGCTTCTTGTACCTCTCCACGTAGTCCTCCAATGCCTTCTGCAGACTAGCTGCTCTCTGGGTGTTTTCTTCAAATGCTTGTTGTGCTTCAATGTTTGTTAGTACTCGCATTCCAATACTACTCATTTAGGCTAAAACTCACGTTTGGTGCTTGGGTCTATCGTGGCTATTCCTGTAAGGAAAGCAGCCATTTCTTGCCTTATCAGCGTGATCTATGAATCGCGTTTGTTAGTCAGTTGTTCCATATCAAACCCATCAGCAATATACTCACTTGTTTCTTCAAGTAATTCACTTCCTCCATAACATCATCTAGATTAATACTGCCCTCTTCGAAATCCTTCACCGTCAAGTTTTGAGTGGAATTTATTTTCTCTATCGCTGTGAAACTCTCCATGGTCCTGTATGCCCTCTAATATCTTGATAAACTGGTTGAAATTATAAGATGGCGTTCGTTTAATTATGACCTTAATCTTGAGCTGGTTTTTTTTTGTATCACCGAAGCAAAAAAAGTCGCTAGAAATTTTAGCTCTTGAAATGGGCCACTACTATATAGCCTTAGAAGTCAGGAAATATGAGGAATAAACAGGATTTTGTGAGATGAAGGTATGCTTTTATAGTATGAAAAGTTGAAGAAGAGTAAAATAAATACTAAGGACAGCATTACATCTGAATTTTAAAGACTACTGCTCTAAGATCTGGAAAAGAAAAATTTGGCACGGCTGAAATTCTTGTAAGTAAAAGCTCGCATATTCATTAAGATAATATCTAAAACGAGTTTCAAACTCAAAATCAAGTTCTTGACCTTATGACAACAGTTTGCTCTTTCAACGTCCAATCACAAGCGAATTTTGTCTTCAATGTTTCAAAATCAATATGAAAAACTGAATCAACATAATCCTTAGGCAACTGGAAATATGACTTTTGAATACATTTCAATGAATGATTGATCATCCTATTTTCACCAAATTGCATCATTCTATGGTACAGAAGATCACTTTCTGAATGATATAGATTCAACCATGTGAAATAATCCAAAGTTCTCCATGCCTTCAACACGCTGTGTAATTTGATATCATCATTTGCATATTTATGTACAATCTCTATCGCATCTTCATTATTGTTACTGAAATGTGCCAAATGCAATGCAAAGATATTTATAATCTCATTCAAATTTGAAGCCGATAGCTTTGAATGATGCTTTAATAAATAATTGATGCTAGGTACATATGTTTGATAATGACCAACTCTTGTTGCAATCCTTATGGAGTATAAGAATACTGATATGGTGAATTCATCTGGATCAAACTTTAACAATGCTTCTCTCAATTTCCCTGCAATTTGTTAGTGACTTGTCTTGACAATATCAGGTGAAATAAAACTCACGTAGTGACATCAATGTGTTATCTATAAGTTGCTTATTTTCCTTCTCATTCAGTGTCAGTCTTGAAAATGAACTTCTGATTGTCTCAACATCAGAATTTGAAAGATCTTGGGTGAACTAGGATGTGTCAGTATGTACTTCATCTTGAGCAAAGCAGCCCAAATACATACATCTTGTTGGATTTTCTTGAAATAGTTCGATCTTGCTTGTGGATCTCTTTGCAATCTATTATCTTCACCACGACTTATCAGTCCATACTGTTCATTATCCTTCTTCTTATCATTAGCAAACCTTTGTCTTCTTTTCTCAGCAGCGTCTGGATCTATTGGAATATTTGAAACTTGAGTGGAAGGCTTGGGAGTGGATTCAGATTTGCTTCTAATGTTGTAGCCATTTCGTCTTATATGTGGAGGTTTATATGTTTTTGAACGACGGAAACAATCTGCTGACGAAGGTGCCGAGCTAAGGCTATGTTCTTCTTCACTCATGAGATCCAGTATTCTCTGAAAAGATCACAGCAATTAGCGTCTGTCTTGTTATTACAAACTTGTCTTTATGGCGTTGACAAAAGTTGTTTGCAAAAATCAAAATACAAAAACCAAAACACTGGCGGACAAAGACGCCGTTCGCGACAATACATAGTAAACAATCATCAAGCAATAATTTAATCATTATTTATACACATCAACTTCATTAAATAAATATATAGAGTCACACAGAGGCATCCGTTGAGCTTCTTCTTTTCTTCTGATAGTCTGAATTGACTTTTCTCAAGTTTAGCCACAATGCCGCAACGAGAGTAACGAACGCAAAAAATGCTGAAATCTTAAAAGTGTCATCATAACACTGTACACCTTTAACACACACTTTGGTATTTGTAGACTCATCAAGTGGCGAGTTCTTATCATAATTAGATCCAAATAAATGAGTGAAGAAGTAGGCTGGTATTATTGGACTCAAATTGATGAATCCCCAAGAGAATGAAAATACCTGAACCCCAAAAAAATCTAAAAGTAATTGTGGTATAGAACTCCAAGTGAAGCCATACCCAACACCATTGATGACAGAATTGATCCATAGTTTATCACTCTTCACAATGGTTAATCCCAAGATTTGGACAAGGAAAAGACATGAAGAAGGTATCAACAAAATCCAACCTCTTGATTTCTTGAATGAATTAGATAACAAATCACCCACAATCCCACTCAAAAGACGACCGGCACAATTGGAGATTGATAGAATTGATACTTGAAATTGCTGTTCCCTTTGAATAAATAAGTCATCTTCCCCTTGTAATAATGATTTCACCATGTACCCCACAGAATAGATATACATCTGACCCAGGGAAGCCAATAACCCAAGAATTAAGAAAACTAGCCAAAACTCTGGACTTTTTACAACACCACCAATACTGAAATCTGTTGCAGATAGTTTCTTGTGCATTAACTCTTCAGCAAGATGTTTTTGTTTCGGAAAGGGAGAAGAGTAAGACTGAAGCTCAATAGATGGGGAACTAGAACCTGATCTTAAAGGATAATGACCCCTAGCGGTATGTCCTTTATGAGAGTTCTTATCAGCTAAGAAAATCATTGGTAAACCAATTGTGCAAACAGCAGCAGCAGAATAACCCAGGAATCCCAGAAATCTTGAAGTATCAGCCCTAAAGAACACCGAACCCAAGAAAGAATAGGCAAAAGCACTCAAACCATATGTTGCTATTGGGAAAGAAGTAGCAATACCTCTGTTATTAGGGAATGTAACAGCACAACATTTGATAACAGCAGAATTAATGAATGTAGACCCCAAACCAACCAAAAAAATCAACGCGACTGAAATGTTGACATTTGGATACACGTCGTCATACTGATCTTTCAGCCCAATATAGCCTGTGGCAATGGCCAGTGCTCCAATGATTACTGGTATCGTGAATCCACGTTTGTCTATGATCAAGCCCGCTGGCACTCCAGGAAGAGCCACTCCTATTGTTCCTGCAAAGGCTATCAGAGATGCCTCTGTACCTGAGTATCCCAGTTTCAGAGCCAGCTGTGGGCCATAAGCCGAATACAGGTACAACGTACCACAAACGAACCCGACAAAAGTACACGACAGTAACGTCCCGGCTCTCTGTAATTGTGACATTTGGGTACCCTTTTTTTCCAAGTATATGGGGGTATCTTTGATAATGATTTGTACCTGGTGAAGAATGTGGTGAAGAAAGCTGAAGAGACATTTTCGCGAATTGATGAAAAACTAAAAAAAGTTCAGTTGGCATGGCTGGTGATGTCGTTAAGGTTTGTGACTGGAAATACAAAGAGAATGCTTCTGAGGAATGGCCTGAGTAGCCCCAAATTCGTATCCAGACGATTGTTCAGCTCCAGCAGTAAGCTTCTGAAAGGCATCAATATTGCATTTTTTGGGTCAGATGAGTTCAGTATAGCATCTTTGAATAAGCTACTACATATTTCAAAAACCAGGCAAGATGTAATTGATAGAATTGATGTTGTAACAAAGTACCCAAAGGCTACAGGAAGAAACTTCAAAGACGTAACGGATGTACCAATTGCAAAAGCTGCTGAAAGTGAAGGGCTCAAGCTTATCAGAGCTGAAACAAATTCAGAGATCAATGCTTTGGTAGATAATGGCTATGATCTAGCAATTGCTGTGTCTTATGGGAAGTTAATACCCAGAACGTTCATTGAAACTATACCCTATACAATAAATGTTCATCCCTCTTTGCTTCCAAAGTATGCTGGGGCCAGTCCTTTACAATATGCTTGGATCAATGAAGACAAATTTTCAGGTGTCACTATTCAAACATTACATCCAACAAAATTTGACCATGGTGAAATTATAGCACAAACAGGAGAGATTTCCATTTCAGATTGTGAAAAATTCAAGACTGTTAGTGATAGACTAGCCGTTGAAGGTGCTGAATTACTGGGGAAAGTTGTTGAAAGTAGTGCCTATAAAGATGTTCGTATCAAATCCAACTATACACCATCATACGCACCAAAAATTAGTCCAGATTTTTGTATGATTGACTGGAACTCTCCTGCTACTAAATTGACTCGACAACTTGAAATTATGAAGTCACTATTCTCATTCAAGGAAATAGACATTATAAAGAAAAGAAAAAGAGTTCATGACTGGAGAAGAGTGATATTTTATGATGCTGTCGCTCTTCCAGATATTGAAGGATTTGAACCTGGTGAGTTTAAAATAGATAACGATATGGTTGTAGTACAGACATCAAGGGGCTCCATTGGGGTTAAATCGTTAAAATTTGAATATGAAAAACAGGAAGATGCCACTAAATTCATGGAGAAATTAAAGAAAAGAGCAGGTGAAACATCAATGAGATTTACTCACGGACCTGAATCGGATAAATAAATATGGGGTTCAAACTTTGTAAATAGATCAAAAAAAGTTACAATAGATGCATAACAGAACAATTTATAATAGTATACAAATAAATCAAAAACCACAATTTATCAGTCTATTAAGGAATGACTTGACAATGCTTATTATACTCATTAACTGCAACTCCGATGTGTTTGTAAAGGAACTTGCGTGAGTTTTGATCAGGCAATGGAATGAAAGGACCTTGCTTTCTATTAGTTAAGCCAATTTTGATACCAGTTTTCTCTTGTGTAATTGACTTGACCTCATCATAAGAAATTGACCAAACAACCTCTAGGGAAGTTATGGAAATCAAGAAAATATGCTTGTAAGTGACAATAATAGCCATTTCTTCACCAGGCAAGACAACATGAGCCAAATAATCTTCATTCACATATTCACCACCACCTGCAGTTTTCAACCAAAATTGACCTTGAGCTTCTCTTTCAGAAAATGGTCTTACGACAGCATCATGAGAAATATATCTTGGTAAACGAACTTTATCAATACCATCAGCATCAAATGCTGTAGTTGTGTTTCTGATACCTTCACTAACATTGTTGACTAAGTCAAAAACACCAATAGCAGTTTTAGTTGGAAGACCAATTATACCTTTACCAATACCTTTGAAGAGACCAGAGGCACCACCTTCACTTGCACCTTTCACTGGTGCCAATGCCACACCAGAGATACCACTGGAAATACCATCAACAAAGGACGAAGCCCCAGCACTAAATCCGTACAAAGCGTGTTTTGGTCTATTTCTTCTTCTTGTCATACGACGACGCTCTTGAAATTGCTTATCCATAGTTGCGACAGTTAAACCTTTTGCAATGGAACCTGAAACTTTAGCGAAACTATCAGAAAACCCAAATACAGACTTTTTCAAGAAACTTAATCCACCTTTAGCAACACTGATACCAAGTTCTTGAGGACGATCATTCATAACCAAACCCTGATATGGTTCATAAAAGATATCCATCACACCGGAACTGATATTATTAAACAATCCCACTGGGTTTCCAATAAGATCAGCAGAACCAAGAACTTTGTGAATTTGATAAAAGAATGCTTGACCATAATGAGTTTGAACAGATTGCATTAGCACTGGTATAGGAACTCTGACATTTTCAACAAACAATGCATTCAACTTTATTGGCGCATCATTGATGTTACCTATGGCCATAGTCAACACATTGAAGAAAAACATGACAGGATTTTGCGAGTTTGTTTTATCTTCAACATTGATTCTTTCAGTACGCACAAAAGACAAATTCAATTGAGTTGGTTGGAAATGTAAAGCTTCGAAATAGATATCATTCCCACCAGTGGTATTGATAGGCTCTGGAATGATTATAACATCTTCACACAACACATCATGGATTTCCTTGTTCCAAGACGCGCCGGGAACCTTAGAGAAATCAAGCAACGCAAACAAGAAATCTTCATCAATCTCCAAAGACATTTCCTGCAGTAACATAGTTGCATATTTGACATAGGTTACCCCATAACTATCATCTTTAACTCTTGAGATTGCGCCTGAAAAGGCCGGATGGTTGCTCATCTCTTTTGAAGACTGTGGAACAACGGTTGGATATAAAATAATTGGGTAAATTCCACCATACAATTGATTATCAATTTGAATCCATTTCAATTTACAGCTTGCAGTTTGATAGAGCTCAGAGTCATTAAAGTGTAGCTCAATACCACGCACTGAAATATAACACAATTCCTGTAGTCTGGTGTTGATCAAAGAAATACCAATACCTTCGAACTTGAACAAAATCTTATTCAGTATATCCGAGTCTTCATCTTCCGCCTCAAATCTGTCATTTTGGTTAACTGAAATTGAAGACGCAGTTTGTACATCTCTTAGTTTGTAAAGACTATTAGAAGGCTCATACTTGGAAATAACCAATGATTGGGTTGGACCATCTGCAACAACATTCAAATCGACTATCGTTCCTGAGTTAGATAGCCTCATTGGACGAAGATTACCAATTTCAGCGAGTTGAATATATCTTTCTCTTCCTTCAGCTCTCAATACCAGCTCCTTTATAATACCAGCAGGATAATCCCAAGCATATGGCATGACACTTTTTGGAGGAATCTTGTAGTAAATTGGCTTGAATGGGGTTCCGTCTCCTGTCACCACCTCATCGTTTTCATTCAAGTTTGGATTCTTTTGATAAAATATAAACTCTTGGTCACTAAAGTTACGAATTGAGAACGGCCAACGGTTCTTTGCATCTTCAATATGAATAAACAAAGTTGACTCTTCAAGTAAAACATCAACTTTAAGAAGAACCTGCCCAACATCTTGCTCATAAACTTTCAAAAAAATTGACCCAATATCTTTGATATTGAAAGGAGAAGACCATTTTGATTTTCCTCCAGGCAAACGTAATTTCAGTTGCTTCTCTTCAACTCTTGGTAGTTTATATAATGGTTCCAGCTTACCGGATTCCAAATGGAGGGAGTCTGAAGATCCAATATCTAGTATTTCAATACCGGACTGAAGATTATTCTTGATGATGTAACGAGGTGAAATTGTAACCACTTTTGACAATTTATATTTTCCTTGACCCTCTTTGATATCGATACCAACATTCATCTCTGACTTCTTGTTTGGTAATTGCATCGCAACCTCACTCGTTCTACCAATAGCTTCAAAACTGACTGGTTTACTCCACTGTGAATCACCGAGCCTAACCAAAGCACGACTGCCACGATCTCGTTTCTCTTCAAACGAGAACATTTTTGGAGCAGTGCTCTTTATCATATCATCGTTAGTCTCAACCTTTGATTGTAGCACATTATATTTTTCACTGATGAACAAGTCTCTGCCCGTACGGTTAAGAATGATGTAAGGAGCATAAATGACAACTTTAATACCAGCACCCTCATTTCTAGTAGCACTGTAATGAATATTCAACTGCAATTTTTGACCATCTTCGTTTTTGGTGACAAGACGATTTTCTCTTTTGAACTCACTATTATTAGGGGCATTGATTATGGCAAAATCACTTTTTTCAAACCCACAATCTACTGGTTTCACACTAAGCAATAAGAAGTGTTCTAATTTAACAACATGAACAGGACTGGTATTTCCTTTCTTCAAGAAATTTCTCCAATCTCTCTTTGCACTTCTATCATATAACCTGTAAGATAAATCAAATGGTAATAAATTTTCAATTTCAAGTGGAGCAGAGATAACAACCTTCATATGGGGGTAGACTCTTGAGAGTGGCTCATCCTTGTCATACTTTGCCTCAGCTTGGAAGAAGAAACTAGTTGTGTCATTTGGATCTTCAGATGGACATCTAATAGAAGCAGCTGATTTTGCCAAACGTTTCCAGAAAATACTATTTTCTGACCATTGGAAGGGAACTTTGATATCAGGTTTTATTGAGATTGGAGTATCATAAACTTCGTCAATTGGAATTGCTCTTGAACAACCCTGCTTGATTAAAAACTCATTTTTACCTTTGATGATAATATTCACTTGTGTATCATTTTCAATAGTCACAGTAGAGCTCAACTTTATAGTCTTGACATTATCTTCACCCAATGAAGTTTCAACAGCCAACCTACTATGTATACCATTCACCGGTGGTGTTAGCATGAATATTTCTTCCCCTTCACTTGTGACATGGACATTGGTAACATCTTCATAACCAGATTCAAGCAATTTAACACCAAGGACACCTTTTTTGTTATCTGTTGTCAAGTTCTCACGGATGTTTCTCCAGTCTTCAAATTCCCAAGGAATCTCGTCTCCTTCTTTGATGGTTGTAAGGCTAGGTTTCTCACTGCTTGTATCAATCCAAACTTCTATATCAAAACCGGTCTCATTGAGAATTTTGTAAGGTTTTTCAGTTCCTCTCGCCTTGATGTCTTCTTCCGTGGAGATGGATGACATAACTTGAGACAACAATGCAATTGAACGAGACGAAAGGGAAACCTGAACGAGTTTGCGAGAAACAAAATCAACAAAAAGCTTTTGTCTTGGTGACTGCACCCTTGATATATGCGCTGCTATTGGCCATGGTTCAATGAGAGGTTCCCAAGATGATTTAGCATAGTTGAAAATATTGACAAATGTCTCGATACTGGTATCAGCTTCCAAATCAGTAGACCAGTTTTTGGCTGTAGCTTGGAAAGGACTAACCGACATATCAAGAACAGGTAGCTCATGTATATCACCAATCAAAACCAGCCTAAACCCTTCTATATCAGCAGTAAGCTCTTCAGCCTTGATAACTATTTCCGGTTCTTGAATTGAAGAGCGCTTCTGATGAGTACTTCCAACGGAGGTGATTATACTTGGTGCATACTTTGAAAGTTTTTTTCTGAACTCTTTAGTGAAAGTTGTATAGTTTGTACCCTCTTCTTCTCCATCATCAGGGGTTTCATCTAGCAATCCATTTTGTTTGGCAAGGTCCATTGCCCTATTGAAAATTGTAATAGCTAACCTAATATCCCTCAATGAAACTCTCATAACAAGCGGTTCAACAGAAATTTGAATTGAAGTAAGCAAACTCTCTTTTGTGCTTCCTCTATTGTCAATAGTCAAGGAAGATGAAAAGTCATCGATGATTCTCAAACGGTTATTCTCAAATTGGTCCATGCGACACAAGAACATACCAACGTTATTGGCACTTGCTGTTGAAATATTTTGGCTTGAGGCAAGAAGCTGTTCAATTTTGAAAACAATAGCTTCAGAGTTAGAGACAGTTGGGTCTGCAATCAATATCAATGATGTATCAACAACATTTATGGTGATTCCAAATCTTGACGTCCCTTCAGAACCTAGGGGTTCTTCATTCTCTTTAGCAGTAATTGATTTAGTTGTGTTGAATTCCGATCTATGTGTTTCACCTTCAGTGATCGACTTTGTGCTGAGCTCATTATTTGGCACCACTAAGGCTGAATCAATATATGATTTCAACGAAAACAAGTAATCCAAAGCCAGTATAAATTTTGGACTATTAACATTGACAGCTACAACCGTATTCTTTTTATCAGCAGGACCGTTAGTTGAAGCTGTGGCTGAGAAGTGGTGCTTGTCACCAGAGACTTTTGGAATGATGTTTGCAAATTTGTTGTCTTTAATTTGACGAATGTCCTCAGCGGAGAAGGACTGAACATAAACCTCGGATTGGAAATGACTGTCATAGTTTTGAATAAAACTGACACCAATTTTTTCTAATGAAAAGGTTGAGATACCAGTATTAGTTAAATCTTGTATGCCTTTGGTATTATTGTGAATAGTTAGCGACACCTTTGGCAAAGAAAAATTGAAGTCAATTTTGGTGTTTTCAGGATTTTCCACTGGAACAGGAGTAGCAGGCTTTTGTAGTACTTCAGATTCACCACCATATGTTGCATTTGGTGCAATAACCTTGTTTGCATTTATAGCAGCATCTTCAATATCAGCTAAGGAATCAGAATCATCAAATTCAAAAACAGCAGGGATAGATTGAGACAAAGCATACAAATAACCCAGTTGAAGCTCTGTCAATTCCGCATTAACTTCATCCATTTTACCTTCAATCACCATCTGTGGCTTCTCAGTAGCATTTTCATTGAACTTCACATCAAAAGTCAAATCCATATCTTCAATAATTTTGAGCAGTTGATTGACTTCCCCTTGGTAAAAAGATGAGGTAACTTTTGTTGATCTCAAACCACAACTGATATTATTTATTGTATCCCCATCTATTTTTAAAAACTTGTTGTTTGCAAAGAATTCACCAAGATATAGAGTAACATTATCATAGATATCAGCATTATAATTAACCAATTTTGGGAATACAATAATCGGAGTCTTTATTGTTATAGCAAACTGCATTGAATTTTGGTCTTGAATGTTCACTTGATTGAAAGCTGCATCTCTAGCCGAGTCATAAAGTGATTTCATTCTTTGAAATTTACTCAAAAAATCCAAAATCTTATTTAAAGGACCCTCAAGGAAGTTGACACGCAATGAACCAGCATTGAAAGTAAAGCTGCTTTGATAATCTAATGTTTTATCAGAAGCAGTATCAAATGTTTCATAGGTGAACTCAGCAAGATCATTACCATCAAAACTTAACAACTTTCTGGCCAATGAATCTCTAGGTGAACCTTCATTACTTTCATCATAGACAGTTAATGCTCCTAATTTGGAATAAACTTTCAGTTTTTCCGGTAGCACAAAAACATTAAATAGTGCTGTAGATAATTGTAAAGTAGCCAATTTTATTCCACTATCATTTAAGGCTAGAATGATACCTTCAAGGTTAACATTGACTCTAATTTGTTGTGGGGATGTTTCAATTGCAGAGGAATCATTATGTCTCAAAGCATCAGCTGGTGTTTCTTCTGGATTTGGATCTGTGAATGTTGTCAAAATGAAGTTGAGAATGGTCAATAAACTCTTTCTAGTAACAATAACCTTTAAAGCAGATAAATGGAGATCAACATCTTGATCGAAAACCTCAATCTGTTTACCATCATGATTCACCATCCTCTGTGTTCTATCATAATTCAACCTAAAGATATCTTTTGTATTATCAATTTTCTCTTCTTCAGTAAAATTATTAGAAGAAACAATTTTTCTAAATTCTTGAGGACCAGAATTTTCAATATAATCTTCAATGTTAAAAGTTGAAAGCACCAAGTCAACATGCATACCTGTAGAGGTTTTGAAAAATTCCAACTCAAAATGCTCAGCAACTAGATCAACTATTGGATCTGCAGCCATAGTTGTACCATCATTACATTTCGACAATAATAACTGAACCTTGTCAACATTAAAGTTGAATTCAAAATCATGTTGCTTACCAGCATTTTTCAGTGAAGCTGCTTCAGATTGATCATTCGAATCACTTTCACTTAGATCATCAATATTCAAGCTGGAATCCATTGGTTGAACCAAGTTCAATGGCGACGAAGATTTTGGTTCTTCAGCTTCTTCACCAATACTAAAGTCTGGCATACATTTGTCAATGAGTTGCATCATTATTTTGTACTGATAATCATTCATCTTAGCAATGAAGCTAGGAAGGTTTGCAGTCACTCTGATCTTGGCGAGGTTTGGTGCCTTTGGTAATATTGATAGCTCCAATAGCATCTTCATGTCTAATTTATCAAGGATAGTTGATGTATTTCCATCTGAATTGTGTAACTGTTCAATTGTTGACTTTATAGTGGGGCCAATTAGAACCTGAGTATCTTGAAGGTGTAAATTAAATTTATCATACATCAGTCTGTTCAATTCTTCAACATCGATCTTATCATACTCTTCCTGTGATAAATTTTTGATATTGTTTGTTTTGTCTTTATCAGCTAGATCACTTATCAAGCTAATATGACCAGCATCAATAACAGCACAAGGTGAAGACCAGGAGTTTGCATCCAAAGGAAGAATGATCAAAGGAGCTTGGAGATCTAGTTTAGCATTGATAGTCTTATGCTCTTCCCAAATAGCCTCCAATCCCATTCTTGTTTGAGTAGTAAGACCTTCCATAGTTGCTTCTGCAGCATTTAAGATAGCATTGATTGTATTTAAATGTGCTTTAGGTGGCGTGAAAAATCTAATGATTTCATTAATGAAATGGGCATGATAAAAAATTGTCATACTTCTTAATTTAGCCAACAATGCAGAGTCAGCTGAACCATCTAGTGGATTTTTCTCAAACGAAACTCTGAAGAATGGCTCTGAACTTTCTTGAGTCTCCAGCTCTGTATTGAGAGGTTTCACACTAACGACATGTTTATAAAGTGTAGACTCTGTACCATCTTCAACTTTCAATTCTTGCAATGTGAAATTAGCTAAGAACGAATCCGGTCTTTGATAAACTTGAGTGGCACAACCTTCGAAAATCACTTCAGCCAAATTCTTTTTAGATTCTCTGTTCTTGATAGTGAAACCACCTCTTTTCAATTGTGCAGATAATTCGAGATTAACACGATCTCTTGGAATATTGACTGCTTCACTTAAAGCCCGAGTCTCATCAAATTCAATAGCATCATAAAGCTCTTCTCTTTGTTCATCTGTTAAAACCAATTTATTTTCATTAGTGTTTGTTTCTGCCCCCTTTGACCACCAAGAGGAAAACCAACCACCGCTATTTTGGTTTGTAGCTTCAGAAGTAGCTGTTTGAGCAGCTGGTGCAGACTCAGCATTTGCTAGTCTCTCCTTTCTCAATTCACTTTTAGCTAATGATCTAAAGAACTTTATATCTTCAAAAGTCAACTCCTCTTCTAGCGATCTGAGTTCTTTTTGACTTTCCACATCTTTCAAAGGCTGATTTATATCAGGAAGTAAAAGTTTTTGTTTCCAAAGCTTGATGTATGCTTTTCTATTATCACGTCTTTTTGCGAGGAAATCCCAACTCCAGCTATAGTTCTTTTCATGGATTTCATTTAGCACAGACTTGGCAGCATATTGGAACCACTCTTTTCCATGACCTTCAAGTGGAACTGTTGGTTTGAATCTTTTGAATTTGTGTGTTTTGTTATACCAATGGAATTTGGAAGCAGTCCATAGAGCATCTCTATATTGGTGAGAATCCAAATCAACACTGAAATCTTCAAAAAATAATTCTGTTTTGAGATGAGGTTGGGTTTCTGTTGTTCCTAGCTTGTTGACAGTTAAATGACCTGTTCCACTCACTGGTCTCAAAATAAATTGTGTAAATTCCTCATATTGTGACAAATTATCTTGGTCAATAATTGAGTTTTTAAATTTTGTCAAAAGCTCCTCATGGTCTTCAGTATATATGGAAGCTGTTTCTGTGTTCCAATAACAGCATAATGATTTCAAAGTCAATAATTTATGAGTCAATTGTTGAGAAACCGAGATAAATGTATGTTTCCAATCTTCATCTGTTGAAATAGCGGACAACTCATTCAATGTCACACCAATTGCATATGGGGTATCTGTAAATATGCACTCTGTATCTTCATACCTGATATGAATGTTCTTAATTTGAACTTGTAAATTATCAACGATCTTTGTAACAAGACTTTCAGTGAAACTTTCGTTTTTAGCGGCATCTTCTGGTGAAAGACTATTTGTTGGATTAGCCTTGTTCAAAATCTCTAGATCATTTAACCGCTGAAACTTGAGAGCCAATTCTCTTCTAATTTCTTCCTCGTGGTTATATTTGTCTTGCAAAATAGGCGATGCTAACAAGTAAACATCTTCTATAGTCACCTTTACTGGTTTCCCTTTCAAATTGGACCATGGGATTTGCAAAGTCAACTCACCCAAGTGACCAAACTTGACATCAATCGGGAGTTCTAGTTTATCTAAAGATTCTTTTTTTAATCTCAAATCTCTAAGTTTAACATCACCACTCCAAATACCAATATTCAATTGCTTTGGATCGAAGTTTTCAACGTAATTTCCCTAAGAGTGTTAATAATGCTCTCATAATATTGTATAAAAGAACTTAACATACCAAAAACCTGTTCAAAAGACTTGCGACAAGTGATTCAAGCATTTTTAGCTCCTTGTGGCTATCAACTGATCTGGATCTCTATACGATATAGCACTAGGGGATTTATGCTCTTCAATCGATTTTATATCACAAAAAAATCGCCCAATTGTCTCCTGTGGGTGCTCCAGATTAAAAAGAATGATATCTCTGAGGAATGTCCTTATCAATATTATATGGCTGTTCTTCAACTAGTTGTCTAAAGGTACACACAGCTTCAAAAACATAGATTTTTTTGCCCTCTACAATTGCTACAAAGTGGCCCTGGTTAAAAAAAAACGAGCACCAAAATCAAGGTTTTCAGTTATTTTCGAATTTGGGATTAAACTTGTTAGTAAAGACTGGTTAAAAATAATTTAATAAGCCATTGCTACTCGAAAGATTTCAATTGAGCTCTTTTCAACCAAATCACTCTATATAAAATTGATCTTTTTAACCTCTGTTTCTAAACTTTACCCACCAAATGCTTGATCTTGGTACGCGCACTCTTAAGGGAGATGGTGAATGATCAAAGTGATGAATTTGAAGAGTCGTTCCAATCCTCTTCCACAAGGTCTTGTAAACTCAAACAAAGATGGCCCATTATATCAAAAGAGTTGTGTTTTCAAGTGCATTTTTTGCTGCTGGGTTTGCAGGTTTTGCCAAAGTTTGGCCTGAAGATTCAAAAGAAGTAAACTCAAAAAGATTATCTGAACAACGTGTGGAGATTTTGGAAACCATCAAAAAATCGCCAAACTACATTAAATTATTGAGAGATAATAACTATACTGGTGACGTTCACTCTTCTCGTATTCCAAGATTGCATCAAAAGGATCATGTTAGTCAAGGGTTACTGTTTGGTCCACAGCATTTAGAGATTGACCCATTGGTGTTCACGAACCCTAAGGATCAAGAATTACAAGCATACTATCATCTAGGTAAAAAACTAACCAGTTATGACGGGAATATACACAATGGTGTGATCTCAACAATATTGGATGAACTCTTATGCTATTGTGGATTTCCTGAACTTCCTAGTCGTAGGGGTGTCACCGCAAGATTGTCAATTGACTTTATTGATCACGTTAAACCAGATACAACAATCTTATTGAAAGCAAAAGTGAAAGAAGTCAAAGGAAGAAAAGTTGTTATTGGAGGTCATATCGAAACTGTGGAGAAACATCCTAAAATAGTAGCTACTGCTAATTGTGTTTTGGTTGAACCTAGATGGTTCAAATACTTCAAATGGCTGAGCTTATTCTAGATATTCCACCTTATTTATTCAAAACTAATAAAGAACTAATGAATTATAAAAAAAGTAGCGTAGTTATACCTGTTTTAGCGGGATTTTCCCGGCTGGGTACCAAAAAAATTGCTTCCACTCAGAGTCGAACTGAGGATCGCTACATTACTAGTGTAGCGCCTTACCAACTTGGCCATAGAAGCTTAATATAAGAAAATAATTATGTGTGTCAGTCACGATAGGGCGGCCGGTTCGGGCACATATCACCCAATTTGGCTTTTAAAAGTCAAGAGTTAGGGCATCTATTAGATTGTATATTCATAAAGATACCCCTAGCAAGTTATTTTGCAATCAAAGTGCATTTAGCTTATGTTTTGAAGGTTATAAATCAAACAAAATTGCGATGTTACATAATCATCGGGTTGATCTTTCAAAGATTTTGGCAAAAAAAAAAATACTGGTGGTAAAAATTGAAGAACAAAAATTGAATGGGCCTAGCAGAAATCAATTTGCTTGTTTGAAAACCTATAATGTTGTCAAATAGCAGATTAGCAGGATCCAGATTATCCGCCGCTGTTTTCAGATCTGGACTTGGGCGTGCTTCAAGACCTGTTGTTCACAAGATTTTGACTCGTCGTCAAATATCCCAATCTGCCCAACAACTGAATAATTACCAAGAGGATCGATTCAGAGATGCTCAAGAAACCCTTGAGCCACTTGATAGAAATGATACATCATACCAAAATCTAAGGGCATACAATGCAAGAAAGTTAAGAGAAACATTGGATCTGCTCAAAAGTGCAATGGAAGACCAAAAACCCGTTAATGAGATTCTTGAAATTTTTACCTATAGTCTAAATGATCTTGATAGTACAGAACGTTCGTTTTTTCAAACAAGAACCAAGATCGGTCCTGTTATCAATGAAATGATTGATATGGCAGAGAAAGAATTAGCCAATCCTGTTGAAGGTGCTACTATTGTTACACCAGATGAGATTTTACAAAGTGCTATTGCATTAAATGTTGCTGATGTTATCAATTTTGAAAAAGTTATACAGATACAATTCAAAAATGGTCAAGTTTCAGATGTTTTATCATTATGGGTCTCATACTTGGAGTATGCTGCAACTTTAAACATCACTTTCACTCCAAATATTTTGAAGAATTACACTTATTTAGCTTTCATGGAAAGCTGCGCCAAAGAAAACAGAGAGTTGGATGACCAAACCGTTGAAGCATTATTGCAATCACCTCCAACTCAGAGAATTGCAAATTTGTCTAAAGTTGTGAAAGAGAATGTACAAAAGAGCGACCCAAGATATAAAGTTCTTATGGGATGTCTTGAAAGATTATATCTAAAAGACAAAAATCCAAACTCTTTAGCCTTTTTAACGAAAGCTTCAGCTGCAGCTAATACTGGGAACTCAATGAGACTTGATGAAAGCTATGCTAACATTGAAAAAGTCTCCAAGTTTACTGGTATTAAAATAAATGAAGAAACATTAACCCATTTCATGGGATTCTACAATAAGATTGGACGTCATTCAACAGCAATGGGTTTTTGGAATGAAATTGTCAAAGCAGGTATTATTCCATCTACAGCTGCTTGGAATCATCTTTTAGATACTGCCAGAAATTTGGGACCAAAAGAGAAACGATTATCCAATGTTGAAGGTATTTTTGAACAAATCCCTGCAAAGAATGATGATACATATGTTAGAATGATTTTGATTTACTCCAATTTCAAAGCATATGATAAATTGGAAGCACTCATGGATGAAACAAAACTAGCATCTCCAGCAATCGCACAAGTTTATGCACAAAGTTTGATATCTAGAGGTGAAACTGAGAAAGCTCAAAAAATCTTTGAGGGATTGAAAAGCAAAAATATGGCATTGAATTTAGGCAGTTATAACACTTTACTTAAAACTCACATTAGACATAAAGATATTAAAGCAGCCAAGAAAGTTTTAAAAGAAATGAAAGCATCAGGGGTCAATCCAGATGTTGCTACTTACTCTATGATTATTGATTTAACTTTCAAGGAATCAAGATTAAGAGGGGATTTAATCAATGACGACGTTATTTCAAAGATTTTGGAGGATATGCGTTTGAATGGTATTGAACCAAATACTTATACTTTGACCAGTGTCATTGATGGTTTAGGTAAAGATCCTGGGTATGAAGAATCTGCTTTGAAGTTATTCCAATATTTACAAGAAAAGCACCTAGCTTCATCAGTTACTTACGTTTCCATGATTTCAAATGCTTTTAATTATGGTAATACTAGACAAGCAGAGTTATATTTCAAAGATTACATTCAAGAGGGATTCAAACTTACTGTTCCAATTTGGAATTTGATTTTTGAAGGATATTTGAAAAACAGAAACTCATCAAAAGTTGCTGAGTATTACAAGGTTTTCAGACAAGCTGATGATGTAATTTTCAAAAAAGCCAACAAATTCACTTTATATTTCCTATTGAAAACTGCGAAAAACCATAGCGATTTCGAATTAGCAAATTTGGTTCTTTCTGATATTGCAGAACAAGGATTTGAAAAGAAACTCTCAACGCAAACAATTGACTTGATCAAAGAATTACAATCCAATCCAAGTGTCACAATTCCAGAGTCTGTTGAAGCCAGTTTGTAAATAGCTTGATCTGGCTATTCCTGTACATACTACTGAAAATATCATTAAAAAAAAATAAGATTATACTATTTACCATGTAGATGTGTTATAAAAATTCAAATTATTCACTCATTAATGCATTATTGATATGGATTCAATTGTCGTTAGACTCTTTCCCCATTGCCTTATCCCAATATGGTTTCAACCAATGTCTCATACGATCTTTAGCATTAGTTGGATTATCTAAAGCAGGTCTGACATCTAAAAAGAAGGTTGGCATTCCATGTGGATCATCTGGACCTCCATAATAGTCAATCACATATCTAACTTGGTCCCAACTTCCAGAACCATTAGCTCTCAAGACGTACCAATCATGTCTATCAAAAGGAGGTTCAGTGTTGAAAGTTTCTGGGAAAACTTTACTCAATTGTAAATACATTCTAGCTCTTGGAGATAGATCATGAGGTCTTCCAGTGAATTGTAATAATCTTGGTTGTTTCTTGTATTCTTCAACATATGGTTTTTCCCATTCCAATATTTCTTGCCATGCACCTTCATTTAAGAAATTATGGACATCAACCATAGATTCCACTGCATCTTCTGGGATACCGTCACTTTTACCTTTCTTCATCATTGCATTGAACATTTGTTGAGGAGATGGATATTCCCATACACCCTCATTTTCATCTTCACCTCTAGGGATTGTAGAAAATGTACGTTCTGTTGGTAAGTCCAATTTTTGACCTGGTAATTTAGAAGAAGAAATGAAAGAAGGCATGTTGTTCAAAGGGTTTAAAGTGTCATCAGTTTGACCATTGTCTTTCTTCATTGGACAAACAGCAGGAACTTCAGCTTTAGGTGTTGAATCATGTTTCACTGGACATTTAGCAGCTGGAGGTGGTGTACTGATATTGCCATGGTTCACAGGACATTTGGCAGCACTAACATCTGAAGATGCTTGTTTGACGTTCTCCGAGTTATCAGCCCAAAACCAACCCATATTTCTGTACTTGATGAATATTAAGATATTTTGTAATAATGCTGATGTATTGTTGCCAGTTTATAAAGGAAATTTTCTGGTTTGTAAAAAGGAAAAGAAAAAAAATTCCTGACTAATCACCGGCTCTGATTGGCAGACGATGGGCTTTGAAATTTGACACATAGAAGTGAAATTTTTGTACTACAAAAGTTTTGAATAAACAGAATGACAGGAACTCAAATATTAAACGTAACTATATAGTACTGGAACAACGCTCTGAAATGATCAAAGATATTGTGTGGATTCATACACTTTTAGTGTTCTTAGAGGTGACATCAATGGACTCTTGAATGTCTTGTAAATCTTCGTCATCTTCATAACCTTTAGCAGCTGGTTCAGCCATTCTCGGAGGGTGGTCAGGTTTTGTTAAAGCTGTGAATGGTTTACCAGTTGAAATGGAATGAATTTTCAAAATAGAAACCCTGAGTGCTAAAATGATGGCAGCAGCAATGACTGAACCGACTGGAGCTGCAACAAAAGCACCAAAAGCTGACCAATCACCACCATAGATACCATTCCAAACTAATAACAATTTACCACCTTCTTTAGCAGTACCGTAGTAGATTGTACCGAATATGAAAACGGTTAATAACCCACCTAGACCACCACCAACAACTTCCCAGCCTGTGATAAACCACATATGACTTGAAAGACCCATGATAATGATTGGAATGACAGCAGCAGATAACAAATCCGCAATGAAATAAATTTGCAAGACATCACTTGCAACTTTCAAACCAACAACAACAACTGGAATGATAATAAGAACAACAATAATACGAACATAGATGACTGGTATTTTGTTACGGAAAATATCATTCGAGATAGTGGAGGCCATGGCACTTTGTAAAGAGTCCAAAGTACATGTTGACAACACCACAGTGAAAACTAAAACAAATCCCATAACCCAGGATGGTAATTCTGCCAAAAGAATGAAGAATGAAGCGGCTGAACTTTCACTACCAACTGGGACTAAACCAGCCCAAACCGCAATCAACCCAGTAACACCAACAACTGTGACAATAGCAGCCATTAAGAATGCAGCAATTGAAGTACCAATCCATAAATCTTTATCAGAGCGTGAGGCAAAAGTTCTTAACCAGAAACCTGACATGAATAAATCATTAGTGAAAATGGCAACGACAAGAATATAAATTAATTGCCAACCTAATTTTGAATCCTTTAGTAAACCAGATTCTGGGATACGTTTAGTATCGATATCAACATAAGAACCCATGGCACATGAGATGACAATAATCAAGATGAAAACAACTGCAATTTGAATGTTATCAGTGATGAAACTAACTTTAAACCCACCAATAGCAGTGTAAACACTAGTAACGACACATTCCACGATAACAACAGGCAGGGCATTCAATCCGGTTAATGTGTTGACAGCATATTGAATACTTGAAATTTCAGAAACCATAAACAAAAATAATGTTAGGATAGTACAAGCTGAAAGATATAACCCTGCAATTTTACCAAATCTTTGGAAAACCCATTCAGTTAAAACAAACCCATGAGGACATTCTTTACGAATCTTTGGCCCCAATAATGAAAACAACAACATTGGTAGACCACCTGCAAGGGCATAGACCAATAAACCTTGAAGACCAGCTGTATTTGCAACTTGTGGATATGTTGAAAGAATACCACAACCAATACCTATAATTCACCTGTTAGTACATGATCCCCCACTGGATATATTTGAGATTCAGAAACAAAGTATTCAGGTCCTCACGCAAGCATTATCTTGATCGAGTTAGAACGGTATGATCTCAGTTCCACAATAAAGTGAAACACCCGTTAGAATCAATGTTTTCTGAACAATCACTTCACCTGAAGTTAGTAAAGACAACCATATTCTTTTCAAGCAACCAAAAGTAAGAACCCATTATTAAAAACCTGTTTCCCTCCAAAGAGTCATACATACCTGAAGCAACGAAATTGAAAGCTAATGGGATACCCTTTTGAGTACCATTTGATGATAAGAAAGTTTTTTTATCACGACAGTACCAACCTATAGCAGTTCCTGATATTAAAAGAATACCATATGTGACATAAATAATAGCATTTGAAGCTTGGAATGATAAGGATCCCATTGTTGTACAGCTCTATTTTACAAATGTGTTTGTAATCTTTGGACCATTCCTATGAGGTGAAAGATGAGATGAGATGAGATGAGATGATCCTGAGGTTTTATAGATTTTTCAATCGTGCTTGGGTTTTATGCCTTTAATGGTCTTTTGGCAGGCTTTTCTTTTTCGCGCATAACATTTTTTTTCTTTGGTTGCAGCATGAGAACTTCATCATGTGAGTAAGGCGATGGGTTTGAGTTGGAATTGTGGGAGACTTTTGGTGTAAATTAACCAGAGAAAGTAGTTCAATAGGAAGTTGGAATGCTATATTTCATGGTAGTTTGGTTAAAAAATGGTGTTTATGGTATAAAATTTGATGTAAAATTGTGTTTTTACCAGCGATGAGTTGACAATTTAGTTATGCAGTTATAGAGATATCTTAAACGGTTTTAACTTTTGACAGAAAAGCCATCGTAATTTTGGAAAGCCGAAAGATGAAGCGAATAAAATGAATCATGTGTACAACAGAAGCATTCCCTCATAAGATGTCTTCATTAAAGTGATTTCAGTTCTACAAATCAATAATTAAAGCAAAAGACTCATTTCCATTAAAATACAAGTATTAATTGAATAATTACATGAAAGAACTAAATCTAAGCTTGGATTGAGGCCAAGATATCAGAATCACCAGCATCTAAGATAGATAAAACACCAACTCTGAATAATTTACCACAAGCAGTACCTAATTCATTGTTACCACCGTGGAAGTAGTGGACATTGGTTTTTGACAACATAGCATAGTATTCCAATTCTGATTTTCTCAAGACTGGGGTGTTGGCAGCAATGATAACCAATTTAGCTTTACCTTGTCTTAAAGATTTGACAACGGATTTGTAACCTAAGGTATATTTACCTGATTTGATAACCAAGGCTAATTTTGAGTTGATGTTTTCTTGAGCTTTAACTTTTGGGGCCTATGAAAAGGGTTAGTACTTGTAGTCTTTTATATAAAAGATGATATAGTGGGTGTTCTATATCATCTGAATGGAATACTGACCATCTCTGCGTATTTGTATAAGTAGTAACACTCCGGTCTGATGTGATGATTAAAGGAAAAGAGTAGTACAGGTTAAATTTTTCACATTCGAATTTGAATTTTTTTCATGATGATGGTTATGGAAGTGAGGTGTTGGGATGTTAACTCTTTAGGGCTTTGGTTTTAAAAGTCATGTGACATAATCATATCTAAGAAAACAGTCACATTCACTGCTCACCCATGCTTCTGCCATTTCAGCACTGAAAAACTCTTTTTTTCGCCCCAAAATTTCGCGACTGAATCGCTGTGATTTTTTTTGGCTGGGAGCGTGGCCCTGGCCAGTTTTTTGTATAGGAACTGGGAAACATTTTCCAAAAAACCAATCATTTGAACAACTTTCGAGTCGAAGCTATTATCAACACATCAAATTCACGAAAGCATTAAACAATGAAGGTTGAAGTCGATTCATTCTCAGGTTCAAAAATCTACCCAGGTAGAGGTACCTTATTCATCCGTGGGGACTCTAAAATCTTCAGATTCCAAAACTCAAAATCTGCTTCTTTATTCCATCAAAGAAAAAATCCAAGAAGAATCTCATGGACTGTCTTGTATAGACGTCAACACAAAAAAGGTATTACTGAAGAAGTTGCCAAAAAACGTTCAAGAAAATCCGTCAAGAACCAAAGAGCTATTGTTGGTGCTTCTTTAGAATTAATTAAAGAAAGACGTGCTCACAAACCAGAATTCAGAAAAGCTCAAAGAGATGCTGCTTTAAAAGCTGAAAAAGAAAAAAGAAAAGCCGACAAAGCTGCTAGAAAAGCTGATAAAGCTAAATTAGCTGGTGCTCAAGGTCAAGCTGCTAAAATTTCTAAACAACAAGCTAAAGGTGCCTTCCAAAAAGTTGCTGCCACTTCCCGTTAAGAAATGAAATCAAATAATTTGGAATTAAGAAATATATATTAAATGGATTAACACATTGATGTATTGATTTTGTTTTATTTTTGGTTCTTTTTCTTTTCTCGGTTGCTTATAGTGTTCTAATATATTGTTATTTTTTTTGATACAAGATGATGAGAAATGGAGTACAAAAGTAGTTGATGGATTCAAATTATGCAAAAATCTTTATATCATATGTTGTGATTTTATTTTTTATTGTTGATTAGTTTTTATTTTTAATGAAGGTGGGTTTGATATGAAATACTGACATTGGTAGACCACAGTAATATTTCAAAAACAATTAATCTAATTCAATTACTTCTCTTCTTTACTCTTCTCTAAAGCGGCTTTTGCCTTTGCCTCCACATTACGAACATACTTCTTCACATTTCTTAAATTAAAAGGCAGTATAATGTTCATTACAACAATCCAAGCAATCAAAATCCCAATATTTCTACCCATATGACCTTTATAAGTGTTCAAAAACACAACTTTCAACAGCTCATTCCCTTGATACATTGGCATAGCATAACCATATCTAAAGAAATTATTCATAACAACTAAAGGACTGAAAATAACTGAAACATTTGTAACCATATAGAAAACAATCCAAAACCCAATAGCAGGTCTATACCTTGCAAAGATTTGAATGGCTGCGTTTTCATTGATACTGCCCAATGCACTCATTGTTAAAAACACAAACGCCCATTCAACTAAAAACCCAGATCTACCAAATGTAGCATTGACTGGGACTTGGAAAGCTAACGTCATTAATGAATAAACTAATGACATGACAAGATATGCTGATTGAGATGCAACCATATGATATAGTAAATATTGACGTGTGTGTAATTTTTTGGCAATGAGTTGATGAGTTGAAGCTGCGAAATTGAACTGATGAAATGATAACACTAATAAATATAGTAACCCAATTTGAACCACACCAAGAACAATTGAGCCGAAAACTGGTCTATTATCAAAGTAGCTCCACCATAATGAACTTAACAGTTGTGGATTGGAAGTTAAAAGGTTTGATACTTCATCATTAGATAACTCTGAAATTAAATTATTAATGATTGAATTTGAACCAATTGAAACAAATTGTTTCTCCAAAGATTGAATAATATTCAGGACATAACTTGGAACACCTTGAGGATTTCTACCAGACTCATAGATAAATTCAATAGAATCTGTGAAATTATCACCTGTTTTCAAAGCTTGATAATAATTTGAAGTGATATCTTGAGGCACATAAATCCCACCCCAATACTTTTGATGATGAACTTGACGTATAACTTCTTCTCTAATAGTATTATTATGGGATGTTGCTAAACTCAAGAAATCTGTTTGATTTTTGATATTCCATGTACCATATTGTTTCATTTGTGCTGATTCCAGGATATTTGTCAAAGTTGCAGAGAATAGGGGTGGAATTGAACTACTATTTGTTTCTCCAATAACAACCAGATAGTTAATCTTGTGATAATATGAAGCTCTGTTGTATAAAGACCCCCAATAAATACCTAGGATACCAAGAAACAAAGCAAATATCAATACATAAACTTTCCCAATCATGAGACAAACCTTCTTTATGGTTGCATGTTTTCTTTTCCTTCTTTCTTTCTTATCAATTTTCTCACCAGCAGCATCACCTCCAACCTTACCATCATTTTTCTCTTCAAACTTCCCAGCGCCAGTATCACCACTACTAACCTGTTCTGTCTTTTGTTCTTGTTCGCTTATTTCACTCTCATCAGGATGTTCAAGGATTGTATAATTCTTATCAACCCCACGATACGTAGCCGTATCCTTTGCAGTTTCTTCACTTTCTTCATCTTCTTCAGGAACTTCCTGTCTACCAAAAGCTGAGTTTATGAGCTTGACAGATGAAGACCGTGACCTATTTCCTCCTGTATTACTTCTGGTTCTGGCTATATGAACTGGCGGTAGTTGAGACCCACCAGCCATATCATGGTCATCGTGGATGCTGATGTTTGTGGAAGTATCCAGTGGGTCCACTTCTGATGACCTTCTGCTCATATTCTTTGATAGTGTTCTTTCAGTTGACTCTTGTACTCTTTGTACTGGGTTGGAAAGTATGAAAAGACCTTCTGGAACGTTGTTATGTTTTTATTTTTGTAGTTACATGTTGATGGTCGGCGCTATTCCTGGAAACGGACATAGAAAAAAGTTTAAACCGAAAAATGAAAACAATATGAAAACATCGACATTTTGAAGAGAAGGGATACAAAAACCACCTTTTGGAGAATAAAGGAATACTAGACCAAGATGAGCACGAGGACTGATGTTGGACAGAGACCTGGAGGCGAGGATATCAGCGACGATGATAGTTTTAGTGAAGAGAACTACAGCAATTCAAGCGACTCCTTATCAGAGTCATTCAGTGCAGAATCCATAGCTGATGAAGTTCAAGATTTGAATGAAGATGTTATCCAAGATCAAATCCAACAGGATGATTTCTTTGGGACTGGCCAGATTGAAAGAAATATGTCGAGAAGACAAAGTGATGAAGAAATGGCTGCAGCGCAACCAACTCCAATTAGAAGAAGGTCAACAATTGTTGACAGTTTGAAAAGAACAGAAACATTTAGACAGATTTCAAAATTTAGTTGGTGGGACTCAGAAATGAAAAGGGAAAGGTTGAAAGTTTATTCAACTTTTTTAAGAAATTATTTAATCTTATCAGTTATCTTGACTGTGATTTTGAGTATTTATTGGGGGTCTTATTATAAAAGGGAACAACATTATGATAATTTTAGGATATTGGTTGTTAATGGAGATCAATCTGAAATAAATGGAGTTCAGCCATTAGTTGGGAAAACAATTGAAGGTGTTGCATCTAATCCAAGGATCCAAAGTATTGGTAAATGGTTACCAGGAAATTTCACTAGAGAGGAAACAATAGAGGAAGTTCATAAGCAACGTTATTGGGCTGCAATTTACGTTAAGCCTAATATTAGTTATCAGCTATATGAAGCTATAAGTCAAAACAACACCCAGTTCAATGTCACTGAGAACTTGGTGGAGGTTATTTATGAAACTGGTCGTGATTTATTAACAATGCAGTCATATGTTATGACAATTTTGAAGAATTTCGAAAAGGCTTTCATTCAAGGTTTTAAACAAACATACCCAGTACTACTACAAGAGCTACCAGATGATGCTAAAACAAATGCAATTAGCTTTTTGTCAAAACCACCAACTTTTTACTATTATGATCATAGACCTGTTTTATCATCTGTTTTATTAGCCCCATTACAATTAGGGTTGACTTATCTTGTTGTGTTTGCATTTTTCCAATTCATAATGACCATCAAGATTCAATTATTTTTAGCTACAAAAGTTCAAGGTTTCAAATATATCCTGTTGAGAATTTTTATATCACAAGTTTCTTATGTTGTGATCTCATTAGCCTATGTTGTTTTGAATGCAGCTTACAAACTAGATTATAAGGCCACTTTTGGGCATTCAGGATTCTTGGTCCTTTGGTCAATCTCATACTTAACCATGGCTTCATTGGGTGGATTGAATGAGAATGTTGCGTTATTATGTTTTACATATTTCCCACCGTTAGTTGGTGGTTGGTTGGTGTTATTAATGGCAACAAATGTGGCACCAACAGTGAGTCCAATGGCGTTGACAAACCATTTTTTCAGATATGGATATGCCCTACCTATTCACAACAGTTATGAATTGGTTAAAGTTGTTTTCTGTAATACTTATAAGGGCCAAATGGGTAGAAATTTTGGTATACTGATTGCTTGGGTTGTGCTATCCAATCTGATGATCCCCTTCACTATGATCCATGTTTCCAAAGTGAAAGCTAGAAGAGACAGAGAGGCCAAAGAACGAGCATTAGAAGGGAAATGAATATGAATGAGTTTACTATTGTTACACGGGTTTAGGTGCTCCCTTGTAGTTTATATGGGTGTGTCCCCTACGCTCTTGATTTTTTTGTTTTTTGTCAACTGATAAGCCCAAAACAACAATTGGAAATCAAATTGCTGTACCCCTAGACACAATTGCGTAATAGATTAACACCAAATGGATTATATTTAAACAAGGTGTAAAGCGAACAGGATAGATACACTTCTTAACTATGGCAATATCGTACGAGATTCCTCAGCTATCAAACTGTAGCTGCCATTTTGTAGTGTGCCATGGTGAAGGCCGCGGTCGAGGCTTTATCAGCTGAGACGGTGAAAACCGATGATGAGATGAAATAAAATCTTTATCGTGAGAACGATTGTTAAATGTGATTTGATATATAAAGACACATTCGAATCCATTCATTTTCTACTGTTGGAATCCTTGTAACCATCAAATCATAGATTCATATACACTATTCACAATGGCTTACTCTGCTCTACAATCATCATCATACGGTAAAGACAATGTCAAATTCCTAAAAGTTAAAAAAGATCCTCAAAACCCAAAGAAACATGAAGTCATTGAAGCTACTGTTAAAGTCTTGTTGGAAGGTAACTTTGATGTCTCTTATACTGATGCTGATAACTCACCAATCGTCCCAACTGATACCGTTAAGAACACAATCTTGATTCTTGCTAAAACTACAGAAGTTTTCCCAATTGAAAGATTTGCTGCAACTATCGGTGCACACTTCATCAAGAAATATTCACACGTCTCTGGTGTTTCTGTCAATGTTATCCAAGATCGTTGGGTCAAATATGATGTCAATGGTTCATTACATGATCACTCTTTTATCCATCAAGGCCCAGAAAAGAGAATCACTGATTTATACTACAAGAGAACTGGTGATTACACTTTAACTTCATCAATTAAAGATTTAACAGTTTTGAAATCAACAGGTTCTCAATTCTATGGCTACAATGTCTGTGATTACACCACTTTGAAACCAACAACTGATCGTATCTTATCTACTGATGTTGATGCTTCATGGAAATTTGACTCTAAAAAATTGGGTCCAATTTCAAGTATTGCTAAATTAGCTGAATCTGGATTATTTGATAAAACTTACCAAGCTGCTAGAAAAATCACATTGGATAGATTTGCTTTAGAAAATTCTGCATCAGTTCAAGCAACTATGTATAACATGTCTACAGAGATATTGAAAGCTGTTCCTGAAGTTGAAAGTGTTTCTTACCAATTGCCAAACAAACATTACTTCTTGTTTGATTTTGAATGGAAGGGCTTAAAGAATGATAATGAATTATTTTATCCATCTCCACATCCAAATGGTTTGATCAAATGTGAAGTTGTTCGTGATTCAAAAGCTAAATTATGAATTACTCTTTTTTTTCATTCAGTTTTATGATTTGCATTATGACGTTCATTTAGATTCTTTTTATATGTTTATATGATTTCTTTCTTTTATATACAGTTTCAGTTTAATATACTCAGTTTTAAAAAAACCAACTCCACCATTTTTGTCTTTTTGTAACTGGTGTTCCGAATTTTTTATTACTTGCAACTGCATTTCTGGAATCAACAATTTTTTGACTAGTTTTAACCTTAGCTTGTTGTGCTAAAGTTGATAGTTTCTGTGAACCGATATTAAACCCCATTTTCCTCAATTTACCAACAATTGCAGGTGTTATTGCTGCTGTTATTGGTAATCTAATGAAGATTAAAGATTTATGTATACCATAAGCCAAAATAGCTTCTGTGAATAACGTTGATGACCAGATTGAAGATGGTTCATCTTCCTTGTTCTCTTCACCCTCTACTTTAGGTGGACGTTCTTTTGGTGTTATACCTATCATTTTCTTGAATTTATCTTGATATTCATGAATCTTGTCTTCACCAACGGAATGAACACCAATAAAACATAAAGGAAAGTCAATACATGATAGTCCCAAATAGACAGCTAATGCAGAGTATCCATATTCTTGAATTAAAGCTTTGATTCCGGTTTTCTTTTTGCCATTGGTTCCACTTGAACCTGATTGTTGTGAAGATGAAGATGAAGATGATGATTGATTTGCCTTTGTTGTATTGAATCTTTTTGACCCATTGTTGAAGATTCTTGTTGTAGCGTTACTTCTGTATAATGGTCTTCTGATACCTATATTGGTTATTCTGGAGAGCATTGTAGTATATATGAACTTCTTTCAAGCTTCTATAATCCTAAAGGATGGGATTATTCGGTATTAAAGCAGACTGGTATAGATTTTTCATGGTTTTTAGCTAAAAATGGTTAGGCCAGTTTTCGCGAAACAAAAAATAAAAGATGTTGAAAATGTCAGGTATTACATAACCAGAATAACCAATTATGCACAATTCATCAATACTCAACATTTCACATCAACTATAAGAAGAATCAAGAATCCACTAATTGTAACATTATATGTATATTAATAGAACATCGGAATTACCTTATATACACACAGTAGAGGATATTCTGTCAGGTTAAAACCACGAATAAAATAAAACAAGTGATCATTAAATCAACATCAACTAGAAACAATGGCTGTCACAAGAAACTCCAATAGAAGAAACACCTCTTCAACCTCTTCAACCTCTTCAACCTCTTCAACAACTAGAGTAACCAAAACCAGAAAACCAGCCAGAAAAACCAAGGCTAATCCTCGTGTTACAGCAATTGAAAACAATATTTCTGCATCACATGCTGCATCAACATCTGAAAACACACCAAACTCAACCACTTCAGAAGAAAATTTTTCAACAAATGGTGTTCAACAAGCTGCA